AATTTCTTTATCATTTCCGTCTTTACCTTCCTCAGAATTTATTGCTGTATTGTTTTTATTTTTTACACTGTTCAAAATATCTGATTCAGTTTATGTTTCTGTGGTTACAGCTTCAGAATCAATAAAAAGAAAATTATAATCAGTACATCATCGTTAATTTCGAGGTTCTTGCTCGGCTGTACCCACATTTCTTTAAGTTCTTCTAAAAGAATATCATCGTCCCCATTTTCCAAATTCTCCGCGCTAAGAATCCAGCTTTAGCAAAACTGTTATGAATAGTATGATCTGTAACATCATAGTTCCATGCTTTAGAAACTTCTGTTATGCTTTCTCGTCAATTGATTTTTGGAATGAATTCCTGTATGAAATGCAAACCAAAAGGAAAAAGAGATTTTACTGCTCTCTCTAAAAGTCAAATGGCTGTGAAAATCAATTCAAAGTAGTTTCCCCTATAAAATGCTTTAACAAGTTTGAAATATTCTGAAATATTTTGGGAAATAGGAAAAGTAGATCTCAAAGAAATGTTCGTTAAATAGGAAATTCACTTCGCTATTTGAAAGTTATTTTATGAAGAAATTTCTAAAATGTTCTGGGTTCCTCGAAAAAAAATCGTAAAATAGAAAAATTCGCAAAATGGTTCGTTAAATAGAAGTCCGACTGTATATTAGAGTGATAAACACCATTTCTATACAACAGAGGATACAACACCGAATTAAAATTCCCCGTTCTTTAGTATTTGCTCTGATAAGCTTAATAATCCACATGGATAACATACAGAGGATACATCAACGAATTAAAATTCATCATTCTTTTATGTTTGTTTTTTTACTTGCTCTGATAAGCTTAATAATCTATATTGATGGCATTCCGAGGATACATCACCCAAATAAAATTGCCCGTTTTTTAATATTTGTTTTTTTATTTGCTCAGATAAGCTTAATAATCCAAATGGGTGACATAAAGAGGATACATCACCGAATTGAAATTCCCAAGTTTATCTAAGATCACGAGTTTGCTTATTTTATATAGCTATGCTAATGAAGATATTTCTGTAAAACTAAATAATTTAAATTTATAGGCAATTGGGGAAAAAAAAACAAAATTAATGGAGAAAAAGAACTAATTCGTTTAGAACTGTAAAAAAACATCATACTACTATCGACGCAAATGATTTTTAAATTAAATTTGGTAATAGGTACTGCTGGTATTGGGGTGATTTGCACTGCAGTAATAGGTTCCAAACATATAGAGGTACCCAAGACAGAAACTGTGGTTATAGGCTTTTTACAGTCCCATCTCTCCTCAAAGGAATAATTACTGAAGAAAATAGTTTAATTGAGGTAGTTTGACAAGATCAACCAGTACTTGTAAAAACGAGTTTTGCTTAATCCTTATGAATTCAAAAATATCTAGAATAATTTTAGTTTCATTAATTGTGTTCATATATACATACCTGCCAACATTGGAGAAATAAAATAACAGAGATTTCACTAATAGACCAAATTTTGGGTTTACGACCACTGATGTTCAACTCCATTGCCTTGCAATTTTGAATCCAATCGGAAAAACAAGGGAGCTCCTGTATCAAGTATGGGGAGAAATTTGCCTCAGGGAGTACTTTTTGATGGAACTAACCCGCATTTCAGTTACATGTAGAGGAAAACCACGAAAACCATCCACGGTTAGCCTGACGACAAGGGGACTCTAACCAGTGATCCATCTACCATTGAAGATAGCACTGTGATCGGTGAAAGCCAGATGTGGAATTGGTATAGAACAGTCAGTGCTGGGTTTCAAACCTAAGTTCACCCATTGGAAGACGAACGCTCTATCCCCTGAGCCATCGAAGCTCGATTTAAACTATTAACACTCAAAATACTGCAGTACTGGCAATAACACCACCTCTTGAGGAATAAGAGAAGTATTTTTGCCACCAGTGGATATTTTATCACCAATATTTTTTTTTTTTTTAAATTTCTTCAACAAATACAGAGAAATTTAAGAATATACAGGTAAACAGGAGACAGTAGCAAAATACAGGAGTCTTGGTTAAAAAAACAGGAGACTTGGCAGGCACAGGGTGCATAGCCAAATTATTCAACAAAAAATAAGCACCTTTTAAGAACTCAAAAAATATTTTCAAGCACTTTAAAAAAATATCAATTAGGGAGGGTTGGAAGCGAAAATCAACACGTTAAAGGGAAAATCTCATATTGAAAAAGGGGAAATTAAGCACTTTTTAAAAACACCCAATGAAAAAAGCACCTTTAAGGGCTTTTAAAAAATGAAAATCGAAAATAAGCACCTTTAAGCACTTTTTAAAAACGCTATGCACCATGAGGCATCTATATATCTTTCATTTTTGTCCACAATCTTATAGGATTGATTAACAACAATCTATTGATTATTTACTTTTTTTTTTATCTCACATGATGAACGGATAATCAACTAACTGATAATAAAGAAAATTTTTATCTTCTGTTCAAAAAGCAGAAGAAAAACGCTAAAGTCAAGAAGTGTGCTTGCAAAACGAGAATGGGCACATAGACGGGATAGTAAAAATTCACATTTTATTTACTGTATATCTTTCAGCAGATTATTATATACCTTTAGTGGTGGATTTTGTTCCTTCTGATTGTAAGCATTGCTACAAAATAAATCCAAGCAATAAATTTACTACAAAAATTTATTGAAAAGTATGATCAGAATATTTCACTTTATATGAATCAGGACATATATAAAGTTAGCTCAGTTATTAACAATGCATAAGATAAACAAGCATAAATTATTTCATAATGAAACAAGAAGTAAATCATTTACTACAAGTTGCATATTTAAAGAATACCCAATAAGAAGAAACAATACCAGAAATTTCCAAAAAAGCTGTTTAGAAATATAATCTGCATAAACATTAGGGCATAACTGCAAACACAATAACTTCCCCCAAAAATAATTTCTTGTCTATTTGTTTGGTCAGTCGCAATGACCACCAGTCTTTCATTTTCTAAAGAGGGAGTGGTTTGGCTTAAAAACAGTTATTGAAGATATAAGCAGGCACAGGAAAAGCAGTGAAAGGTATTGTCCACTTATGATTGATAAAATATCATACTCTAAAACAAACAACGATTTATTTTTTAGAAACCATTTTCTTGTTTATTTTAATTAAAAAATGGATTACTTCTGAAAAAGATGCATTAAAAAACTCATTATCCTTTATTCTACTGCTGATAACTTATAAGTTTGAAAAACTTGTATTCTCGATATTTGCATCTTTTGTCAAGTTTGCACAATTGAAGTTTGACTCAAAATTATATTTAGAAGCATTCTATTACATTGAAGAATCATTGAATATTAAATTGTCGTGAAGATTCATATATTTTTCATTGTAATACAGTCTGACAAACAAATGTTTTAATATTATGTTTTTAATAATATTTTTAAAATTCGTTCAGAGACAATAGAAAAAGAAAACTGTATCAAAGTTTTAATATTTTTCACAATAATGATATTACACTAAGTTAAAATATGTTTGTCATTCAATAATGCTCGTCAATAAATAAAATTTAAAAAATAAACAGATAAGGAAGTAGGTTAATCAAAATACATGCCATTCACAGAACTTTATTAGATTATTTTTAATTCAGTAAGCATTTTGAAAATTCAACTGAAAGATTCTAATTTAAAAATATTCTTAACAAAACAAATATTGTAAAAATTTTTGGGAGAAAAATATAACATGCATGACATTTAATAAATATTCCTTTAAAAATAATTTCTAAAAGTTATACAATATCAGTGTCCAGCTTTTTTCAGAAGAGGTACTTTCTAAAAACAATTTGTTTTCGGGGTCGCAAAGTATATAATGTATATCAACTGACAATAATTTAATTTTACTTATATTAAGAACAATATCATTTTCTTTTAAAAATTAAAAGACAAAGTACAGCAAATTATACATATTTCCAAAATATGCATATCCCATCATATGCATTATGTATATTTTCAAAATATGCATATCATAATATTATATGCATATAATATTTATGACTGAAATTTTGCACAAAATGGCTTTTTTTTTAAATTTAAATTTGTTATATGATTATTTTTATTATTTTATAATAAACTATAAATTTTTATAATCTGCTAATTTCTATATTTATAAAAAAAAATTGTTTCAAATTTTTCCTGTTTAAAATCTAATTTAATTATTTCATACTATATACAGGGTGCACAGCTAAATTTTTAAACAAGAAATAAGCACCTTTTAAGCACTCGAAAAAATATTTGTAAGCAATTTTTTTTTTAAAAATATAATAAATATATATGCACTAATATATAATATTAACAGCTATAATATAGAACACCAATATATTATATTAGTATTAATAACTTTACATTCTGGAATTTTTATGTTATAATTTTGGTGTTTATAGAAATCAATTAGGAAATAGTTATAAATTTTTTCATAATAATTATGTAGTTGAGGAAGGCAGGGGTCTGCACATTGAGTTCATTCATAAATTCATTAGCACATTGAGTTCATTCATTAGCACATTGAATTCATTAATTTTAGTTCATCCCTATTAAACACTTTCTTTACATTTTAAATGAGAATACTAATTAAAATGTTAAAGATAAAGATTGACATAGATGATAAGTTCACAAACATATTAGAAAAATGCATTACAATTTTATAATCTCTCAGATTGAGGCTAATACTTTTATTACGCATACACCCATGACAACTTTCATACCAAAGTTTTCAAATCAATTATGTAATACTGAAAAATAACAAAACAAAAAATATGCAGATTTAGAATAATAAAAAAAAGAAGCAAACATATGAATATATATTTGTAATAGCATTAGTAAAAAGTCATCTTAAAGCAAAGAAAAACAAATAAAAGTAATTCATTAAAATCAGATTCACTGATTTAAACAAAACAACAAAAAAAGTTTAAGTGATGGAGTTAAAAAGTTTCAATTCCTTTTGAGTCATCTGGTGTTGATGAGAAGCCTCGATCAATCAAATTTCAGGAATTTTTTGGCACTGGAAAAAAATAGATATACAATAAGTATACATACTTGTTCTATTAAAAATATAAATAGATAAAATCCTGATATATAAAATTCTCTATCATATAATAACAATGAAAATATAAATGAAAAGTATGCAGTAAACTAATTTAATAAAGTTAACTTTCTTTCTTTTTTAGAAAATTATTGATTTCAATTAATTTAATATCTTTTGACATCCCTCTCTAACTTAGAATTGAAAAAAAATTGCAAACTGTAATGCAATATTTACTAATTTTACATACAATATTTACTTATTTAATAAAGTTAACTTTCTTAATAATTTCTTTTTTTCTCTAGAAAATTATTGATTTCAATTGATTTAATATCTTTTGACATCCCTCTCTACCTTAGAATTAAAAAAAAAAATTGCAAACTCTAATACAATATTTACTAATTTTATATACAATATTTACTAATTTAATAAAGTTAACCTCCTTAATAATTTTTTCCTTTTTAGAAAATTATTGATTTAATATCTTTTGACATTTCTCTCTAACTTAGAATTGAAAACAATTGAAAACTCTAATACAATATTTACTGAATTGAAAACAATTGAAAACTCTAATACAATATTTACTAATTTTATATACAATATTTACTAATTTTATATACAATATTTACTAATTTAATAAAGTTAACTTTCTTAATAATTTCTTTTTTTTAGAAAATTTTTGATTTAATATCTTTTGACATTTCTCTCTAACTTAGAATTGAAAAAAATTGCAAACTATAATACAATATTAACATTTAATACATTAATGTACTAACCTACTGATTGTTGGACTCTTTCTCTCTGAATAGTTTTCCTCAGAATCAAACTGTATTCTTTTTTTACCTTTAGTTGAGCTACTTACAGGACTAGGTGAAGAATTCAAAGAAATATTTATATCTTGAAGCATTTTTGTTGACTGCAAAGAACAATGGAACAGCAATTAATTTCATCATGTCATTCAAACAATAAAACTTTGTAAAACTAATAAATAAAATATAATTATAGATTACAGTGTCCAGCGGAAGGTTGATTTCAAGATTAAAAATCTCAGAAACAAAGATTGAGAGAGAATTAAAACGAGTGGTATGTCCACTGTGAAAGTTGCAAAAATTTTGGAGTTCAATTACAAAATTACCAATTGTTATAGCGGTGTGGGGTAACTACCACTACAAATATTAAAATACCAATTCACTAGTATATATATAACCAAAGTCAAGGAGGCGAGCAACATTGCCCACGACACACTGCCACAAACCCGTTTTTATAGGGTGGGTCACATTCACACATCACAACAGAGGACAGCACAGAGAGAGAGAAACATCCATGCCTAGAGTGGGATTCGAACCCGCAGCCAATGGCTTCGCAGTCAGGCACGCTAACCGCTCGGCCGGCTATTCACTTGTATATAAAATATGTTAACTTGATATTCTATCATGAGGTACCTTTTGATAGATAAAGGTTGACATACTCAAAAATTAAATCCCCATAATTATCGACTAAGTCAACCTTCATCTATCAAAAGGTACCTTTTGATAGATGAAGGTTGACTTCCGGAAGTGATATGAACATGCCAACATTGATGGATGATCCACTTTAAACAGTTGATTTGCTTAAAAATGTACTGCTCAAAGAGGAAAAAATCCAAAACAAAATCTGGTAAAGTAAATAAAGTCTCCCAGTTAATAAACAATATAATAATAATAATAATAATGAGAGATATGCAATAAACAAAAAATGAAGAAAAAAATATAATAAGCAAAATTGCTATAAATAAATAAACAGCATGAATCAACTATTGGTATTCGTTCATCAAATTCTATCACAGATAAAATTTTGACAGGGGAGTAATGAGGCGTAACTACTACTACAAATATTAAAATACCAATTCACTAGCATATAAGACATGTCAACTTGATTCTATCTTGAAGTACCTTCTGATAGATGAAGGTTGACATAATCGATAATAAAATCTCCCTACAGCGGCATACACATATTACAAGTTTACTTCAAATGCACAGGAAATTAAGATTTTTTTCGTGATATCAAAAAACTCAGGTTATGTTATCCAGGGTGTGCAGCTAAATCTTTCAACAAAAAATAAGCACCTTTACAGTACTTTTTAAGCACTCAAAAAGAAAAGTAAGCACCATATGCATTGACAAAATGCAAAATAATTTTCAAAGACTTTAGATGACCATGATAAAATAACTAGTTTCTGACAAAGAACTTTTTTCTTGATTATATTAGCCATCATAAAGAAAAATCTAAACATTTTTTGGTTCGATTTCAGGGGGTGGAAAATGTAGCCTTAAATTAAGAATATCTTGCAAAATACAGTAGAGTTAGAGTCGCATATGAGAGTGCTAGAATCCCACCGAGCCCATCTCTGTAGGCGCAAATGCGGACTCGCAAATATTTCATCAAACATGTAAAATGATTGGTGCTTGCATATGCTGCGCAAGCGGACTGATGCTTCACTGAAATTGATTGTGGTTGAATGAATTGTGAAAATGTTGAATAGAACAATGTGAAAACCACACTTTTGCACAATAAAAATCAACATGGTAACGAAAAAAATTTCATTTTTGAAAAGGGAATATTAAGCACTTTTAAAAAAAACTTCAATAAAAAAAAAGTGTCTCTAAGGGCTTTTAAAAAAACGAAAATAAGCACCTTTAAGTAATTTTTAAAAACGCTACACACCATATTATCCAAGTTTGTTCGTGGTTTGACTAAACAGTGAGAAAAATAAAACAGGTATATTGGGGTTTTTGTTGGAAAAAAAAACAATAAGAATCAAATTTTACAGATAAAAACCCTGATATTTCTTAGAAAAACATACTTTTACTTGGGTTTACCAAGGAAAAAAAAAAGTTTCTCGCTACCTTGGTTAATAGCAAAGAAATAAAAACTTCTTTTATAAGCTAACTGCAGATGAACACCAAATAATTTTTAACATTAAAATACAGTACAGAACCCGTTATCCGGAAATCAGAAAACCGGAAAACCAAAAAACTGGAACGAAATTTTAGGAATTTTCCTGCCATTTTTAAAAAAAGTAATAATAATTTTTTCCTCATAAGATTTTAGGATTTTTCGTTCTGTTTTGAAAGATGTTTACCTCACCATCATTTTGGAAATAATCATTAGTGTATTACTTCATCGTTTTTTCTTTTTAAGATTATTTCCATTTTTTTTTTTAGTTGGGTTTAACTATAAAAAAAAAACGGCTTTTTGCAGCGATTAAGAAAACCAGAAAAATCAGTTATCCGGAATATCGATGGTCCCGATCGTTCCGGATAATCGGTTCCCTACTGCAACTACAAAGCTGCATGAAAGTTATATTTCGTTAATCTGAAACACAATTTTGATTTTCATTAGAAATTCAATATAATGAGTCATTCTGCAACACGTGATTTGTTTTTATCCGAATACAAAAATTTAATCTTACCTGTGTGAGTGAACCAACTTTGAAAGATTGTTTACGAAATATTATTTCATTGGGGTTCTTAAAAGGTGAGGGTGTGAGAGTCGTAACAAAGAGATTCCGTTTTTCAGGCAAGCTATAATAATAAAAAAACACATTTATTAAAGAAATTCACACTAAGTTAATAAATTGTTTAAGGGAAAGGAATTTTCAAAACCCTTTTTTTAAAAGGACCCTGTCAAAAAAAAAAAGAAAAACAGGGTGCATAGCCAAATTTTTCAACAAAAAATAAGCACCTTTTAAGTACTTTTTAAGCACTACATACATTAATAAAATGAAAAATAATTTTAAGACTTTACATGATCATGATCAGTTTCTGACAAAGAATTCTTTTCTTGATTATATTAGCCCTATAAAAAGATCAAGAGATTTTTCGGTTTGATATCAGAGGTTGGAAAATGAAGTCTGAAATTGAGAGTATCTTACAAAATGCAGCAGAGTTGCACATGAAAGTGCAAGAACCTCGCCGAACATAACTCAGGACACGCACAAGGGGTCTCGTGAGTATTTCAGCAAACATGTAAAATGATTACCGCTTTCATACACTATGTTCTGACGGGACGCCAAAATAGATTGTGGTTGAATGAATCGTGAAAACGCTGAATAGAACAATATGAAAAGCGCACTTTTGCATAATACGTGGTGAAAATCGACGTGGTAAAGATAAGAATATCCTTTTTGAAAAGGGAAAATTAAGCACTTTTAAAAAACACCCAATGGAAAAAAGCACCTTTAAGGGCTTTTTAAAAACGCTACGCACCATGAAAAATAAATTGAGTTTGTGGTAGGGCATAACAAAGTATGATGTGTTGATATCACAGGGTTGTTACTTAAATCTGTAAAAAAAAATCCCTGTGTTTTCCCTGTAGATATTATAAACAATATATTAAGAAAAAATATACATTCACTGTGCTTTTGTGTGAGCTACATTGGGATAGTATACTAGTTTTAATTAAGTGCTGCAAAAACTTAAAATAAATAATATGCTCAACATACAATGCTCAACATACTTAAAATAAACAATGCTAAAGTAAATGATATAGTTTAGTATACTTGAAATATCCTTAAATATCCGATAGGTTGCACTTGGAGTGGTCAATTTTTAAAAGACAAAAATAAGAAATAAAATTCCCCGTATTTTCCTAGTTTGCAAGGAAAAACTCAAAATTCCCTGTTTTTTAAGGTGCCTTTTAAATTCCCTGTATTTTCCAGATTTTCCCTGTGGAGAGGTAACCTTGTCCGTTATTTGTAATATATTTACTGCTATAATGAGAACAATATTAATTTATCTAAAATATTAAAAAAAAGCATACATGAAAATAAAAATTGCTTTATGGTTTTGAAAAATAAGAATTTAAAATGATCGAACACTTTTTTCTTATATAAAATGAAACTAAACAAACCAGAGGATAATAAAGGATACTTTAAGAAGATAAATTTTCTAAGTATAAGAACATTAAGCTGTTAGATGAAAAAAAAATAATAGATAGTTATTAAGAATCTATGCTGATCTAAATGAAATATGTGTTATATAGTTACCGTATATTGAGGAAAGTTGACTTTTAAAACCCCCAAAATTTTAAGAAAATCAAGCGATCTACTTAAAACACCAGTAATAAAATTGGACATTCGTTGGTCGTGAAATATTGATGCATTATAAACAATGAGATAGGAATAACTCTGAACTGAGATAGGATATTATTGTACACTTTTCAAAAACTATTTTTATAAGTTCTAAACAATAAATTTTGCATTTTCTCTCAGCATAATTTCTGTAAATATAGTTTTTTTTTCTTCCAGAAATAATGCTTTAAATTGTATTAAAAAAATTATGAATAAAGAAAGTTCAGGGAATTTATTCAAGAGTATTTCATAAAATGCAACATATTGATAAGTTTGTTTGTTACTTTTAAATATGCAACTTTATGGTATATAAAGTTGCATATTTAAAGATTCCAGAACAACATCTGTATCAGATTTAATAAAGTTAGCAGTGCTTTCATACAGATCCCACTTTACAATGAATTCTTCATCTTCTGAGTCCCATAAAAATCAAGACTTTAATTCACCCAAAAAATTCAAAATTCCAAACTTCTTAAATGATTTTAGAATAACATTAGAATCCATATTTTGCAACACGTCTAGTATCATTTAAATGGTAAACTTACTTGTTAATGCATCATTATTTGAAGGCAAATGTATCTCATATTCAGAGAGGAATACTTTTAACTTGAGAAAATTTTGCAATCTTATTTTCTTGCATGTTTTTCAATTTTAGAAATTTTCATATTTGGTTTATCATATTTCATACATCATATGCCAAAAATTCACTACCTCATAATCAAAAATAGGGGGTTGACTTATACACCGGGATATTGATTTTTAGAGCCACTGGAACAAGAAAGCGGGGAAGACCATAGTTGAGATTAGCTAGTTCGGTGGAGTCTGATTTTCTTGTAATTAATGAAAAGAGTCGGAGATCATGCATAAATTGGTAGTCGTTATGGAGAAATCTTCAGAGGAAGGCATTAGCCCACATTGGGCTGTCTAGCCAACTATGATGATGATGATACAGTCTTTATATTTAAGAGATTAATGAACTCCAGATAGATATTCATACATTACAAAATTAATGAGTCATTGATCATAAGATATGAATCAGATTTAATGCATATTTTGAGAAAACATAATTTAAAAAAAAAGAATAAGAATAAAATTGCAAGCTTCCTCGTTTACACTTTGCCTGAATAACTAAAGTGATATAGGATAATTGAGTGTGCCTTATGAATGGGTTTTTACTGTACATATATTTTTGAAAAATTAAGATAGTTGTATAAAAATTAAGATAAAGAGTAGTTAAAAAATAAAAAGTAGTTACTTTTTAGCACAGTCATTTAAGAAAACGCTGTTATGCATTGAAATGATAAAAGTAGATAAAACATTCACCTGTACAAAGGAGATAAAACTACAGGAGAAGAAGTTGTAGAAGACAGAACCTGTAATGAAGGATAAAAGTGAAAAATACATAAAACACTTTTACAAGTAAGGACATATGTCTGATTTATATTTTAAAAATTATATCTAGAATATAGGCTGCTTTGAAAATAAATGTGAACACAAAGCAGTGAAGAATAGTAATAAGAATATTTTATACTAATTTTAATAATACTTTATTATCTACCAAAACCTATCGGTAAATTATAGTATTTAACCTCAAGGTTTTGAAAATGTACTTTACTAAAAAAACAATTTAAAAAAAAAATTAAATATAACCCATAAATTATTCTCTACTTTTTACATTCTTAAGGGCACTTGCATATCAATTTATTGTATCCCAAATAATGATGTAGAATTGGATGCCCACATAAAAGTATTTTAATGATGTTGATTTCAATTCTTCGGGATCAAATACCATCATTTCTACAAGAAACTTATTTTAGATAATTGAAAATTTTTGAATTAAGCATAAATGTAATCCATTATTTTCACCCAAGTACATTCAAAAATAGCTAAAATTCATGTTACTTTTTTGAGTAAAATAATAATTTGCTAAGTTTATAATTAATATAGTTCACAAAATTAAGTAGAAATAATTTTAAAGATTTGATACATTTTTTCTGAAATGTGCACCACAGATAAGAAGATAATAATCAAACCTCCCATGGGTGCTACCTACTTTGTATCTGGAGTTAATGATTACTATTGTAACGAAATTGGGTTTTAAAATCTTTCAAAACTGTCTCTTGTAATATGCAGATTTTTGTTTGAATAATTCTCAAATGCTTCGAAATAATATCTCAATATAATGATATTGTAATATTAAAATATAAAAGATTTTTTTTACAAAGTTCATTAAAAAAAATAATTTGAAAAACAATTACAAAATTTTTTATGTGAGTTATATATGTTTTTTCAATTAGATCCAAGGTGGTCAAGTAAATATTGACGATTTGTTCCGGGCTACAGATTGTGCAACCATGTAAATTAATATCAAAACTGTAATTTACCTGCTTTGAATAAAGTGATATATGAAAAACCCATTATAAACATGAAATTTCAACAAAATTTGTAACTTTTTAAAGAAAATAATATTATATTAAGTTTAATGAAACATATATCACATACTTCTTTTTTATTACCACATAGACTATTGATATAAGTTTGCATTTCTTGACTGAACTCGCGATTGAGAAAGTGCACTATAAACTCCTTCTTTCCATTGGATAGAACTTGTTTATATACCTATGTTAATAAATAATTACAAACTTAGTGTTACATATTAAAGACAAATAAATAATCATAGATTTAAATAAAGAAAAACAATGAGACATTAACATCTTAAATAGTATAATCATAGCAGCCAACATGGATGGGAAAAAATCCAGTAGATTTTACAAAATAATATAAATTTAACGATAATTGTTGCAAAAGATACTAAATATTTCACATGGGGAATTTTAGGGATTTTTATAGTCATCAAAATAGAAAAACTGTAATATTTTCTTGTCTTGACTAACATTAAATAAGCTTGAAATGTTAGGCATTATGTTTACTCATAATTTTGAATAGTAATACACATTTAATTCATTAAAAATAGCTAAAGGATTTTCTAAAAGTTAAAGGAAGTTAAGGAAGATAGTTAAAGGAAAAAAGGGACTTGTGAATAAAAATAAACTTAAAATTTTAGAACAAAAAAGTTTTAAACTGATTTTTATAAATGAGGCTCACTTCATTATGTAATAATTACAATTATTTATATATTCAAGCAAGTAATAATCTGTGTGAAAATTCTATTTCAATAAGGATTTCTCCAGGAAACTTACTCTCAATTTTAGGAAATTTTGAAAAATGTACAAAAATCAGTAGAATTTTACCTGTAAATCAAGAGAAACTGGCAAAATCCAGTAATCTACTGGAAAATCCAGTAGAGGTGGCAGCTATGGTTTAATGAATTTGATATGGTTTTATTAAAATATTGAATAAAGAAAAAGACATATAGGAACTCCTGATTGAGGAACTTCTTTCATTTGATAAAACTTGTTTAAAAGCCAATGTCAATAAATAATTATAGATTTAAATAAAATATCATAAAAGAACTTAAATAACTTTCATAAAAAATAATGAATAAGAAATGTTTTATAGAAATATTAAACAAAGAAAATATACAGGTTCTCCCGGCTGGAAGAAAATTATTCCTAATAAACATACTTTAATAAATAATTATGGACTTAACAAGATCATGCAAAATTTTTATGGAAAATAATTAATGACAGGTGAAAAATGTATCATAACATCATTGCAATAAAGCAGAGACTTAAAAATTTGTCAGACTCTAAACTCATTTTCAATTGAAAGATTTCAACATGCCCTCAAATGTGTTATATACAAATAGCTAGATGAAAATATAGATAATATAAAATAAGTTATTTTGCAGATTTCAAGGACGGAACAGAACTTTAACCATTTTGGAGCAAGTAAATTTGATTTTCGGAGCAGATTGGAGCAAATAATTTTTATATTTGGAGCATTATATTAATTAGATAAAATTAAATTAATTAAAAATAAATAATAAATTGGTTAATAAACAGTGTTTTTTTAAAAAAATCACAACTGATTTGAATTATTGATTTAAAAAAAAAAAAAAAGAATCAAATGATTTATACTGTGATTTTAATCATGATTTATGTCAAGTCAACCTTTGCTGCCATAACACCAAAATTAATTGATTTCATTTTGCATTCTGACTAAAAGTTCAAGAGGTATGCAAGGAAAAACTTTTACAGCAATCCTTTTCAAAAATTTTTATGAATTCTGCTTTATTTCCCATTACAATTTTAAAAATTAACAGACCTTTAGTTTTGATGAGATCAATATTGGAGTTAAGAAACCTCCTTCACAGTTGTGTGTGTGTGTATATATATATATATATACACAGACACACATTGGTGAGAAAAACTAAAATTCAATAGAAACAATAGGCTGAGAAACAGCTTTTTTGTTCCTCAATGAAATAGATACCCCACAAAAACAAATTGAAAGAAATGTTATATTCCTTAAGAACAAATTGTTAAGATAAGGCTTTCTGCATTCTAATTCTTCATAAATCTATCAATCCTTATTTCTCCCTCTGCTGACCCTGAGGAGTGGTCCGTTCGCTGTTCAAGCCCCCATCCTCTAGTCCACCATGTATAAGGGAGCAACCACAAACAATTTGTAGCTGACAAATTTTGTGGTAGGGTTAAATTTCCTTGAGGAACGAAAAAGCTGCTTGTGCTCAGCCTTAGAAAACTAAAAAGTACTATATCTTTGTAAATAAAAATAGTGTGGAAGTTCAATTTAAAATAAGTGAAAAAACAAGCGATTCTATATTAAAGAACTTACTGTGGAGGAAAAATTAGATAGTTGGCCATAACAGGCAATTATTGTTTTAAACAAAACGGGTCTCTCAGCTACTTTGCAAACACCAAATATGCAACACATAATGATCTAAAAAATATAAGACATTTTAACAACTTAATACAGAAAAATGTACAGGATAAAGAGACAGTTAAAATAAAATACATTTTGATTCATGAAATATTTTACTCCCTAACTATAGCAGTTATCATAAACTTAGGCAGCAATAAAGAGGATATTATTTCTTTGATTGGTTTTACAATTTATATTTGTACATTTCTTAATATTTAAAAAGAAGTAGGAACAAATTTTATTATTTAGAACAAAAGATAAAAACATTAATATATTTGTTAAAATCTTCCTTTGTATAGTGTTCTTGTAAGCCATGCAAGATAGCCTTGTAAGCTGAAAAACTGTTAGCAAAATTTTTAAAAGGATATTCGAAAACTCGCTACTTTACCTTTCTGATTTAATATTTTAAAAACAGAAATCGCTGACAGAGAACATCAAACAGAATTAATTTGTTTTACATAATTGGAAAATTAAAGCAGTGAATTTAGTTTTTAGTTCTTTTATAAATTTTGGGACCAGTTTTTAAGTTTTTCTGAGACTAATCTAACTGACAAACTGGGATAAAAACAGACAGAGGGAAAAAAAATCACTTTTTCCAGAAAACCTTTAGCTCTAAATACCTGTTACATAAGCTCTAAATAACTGTTATATAGTTAGATTATTATAAAATCTCTTTTATAATTAGATCAATAAGTAATTATTTTAAAAACAAAACTTAAGAAGTAAGCATTCTAAAACTTCATTTTGCACTAAATTAAAAATTACTTGTTAGATCTAACTAAACCTGAAAGGTATTTTATGCAAAATTTCTTTCGTATTAAAATTATCAAGAGCAAAGTACACAAGACAAATATAAATAAAACAAATAAAAATAAAATAAAACAAATTGTGAAAGGAAATCATATCTAAATTATCTGATGCATACTGACAAATATGTATTTTTTTATATAATTCAGTTTAATAAAAAAAAACTTTAATTTATTTATACACGTACTTACACCACTCTGAAAACAATATTAAACAAAAAAGAAAAAATATATAATCTTTAATGAATAACAAATAAAAAGAATTAAAAAAAAATTTAAAAATTCAGTTTAAAAATTATTTATGAAAATAACTAAAATAACATGTTCCCCCCTCCAATTGCCAAAGAAATGTTTGAAAATGCAAAAACATTTTATTTACATTATTAGAAAAGACTGTATTACACTTTAAACATAAATACTAATTATTATTATTATAAAATCCAAAAACAATTTATTTACATTATTAGAAAAGTCTGTATTACACTTTAAACATAAATACTAATTATTATTATAAAATGGCTGAAATGACAAAATTGTCTGCATCAACCAGATTAGCATGGCTGAAAATTGTAATACTAAAAATTATAATTCAGAAAAGTTCAAAAAGATCTACTTTACCTGATCTAAATGTCGATCCTTTAACAAGTGTGTTTTTTCATAAAGCACATGTTCAACACAAGTCCAGATATTAGTTAACTGTAATTTGAAAATAAAAAGGCATATTGTTATATCACAAAATAATTTAATATTTAAATGAAAGTTATGCAAGAACTTATTCAAGGAAAATTTATAATACCTATATAATATTCCTCTGAAATTTAGACCATACAAACTATTGGAACTAAACCACATAAATCCCGGATTATAAATTGCCCCCTATTTTTATTCAGGGTTACCACTCAAATCCGGAAAAAAAATTCCCTGTCTTCCTTGTACATCTTTTACACAATATATTAAGAAGAAACACAACAATTGATGCACTCTTGTGTGAGCTATATTGGGCTAACTATATGTATTGGTTTTAATTGAAAAAAAAAAGGAACAGCTCAACATACTTAAATAATGCTATAGTAAATGAAATAGTTCCGAGTGGTCACCATTTTTTAAAAGGCGAAAATAAGAACAAAAAGAATCCCCTGTATTTTCCCAGTTAGTAAAGAAAGAAAAAAATTCCCTGTTATTTTAGGTGATTTTTCAGTATTTTCCAGGTTTTCTCTATTCTTCCCGTAGAGTGGCAACCTTGCAAATTCTTCTTAACAGTTTATGTCAATAAAACAGAACAAGTGCACAGATCGTGTCATCAACAGATCAAGTTATGTCAATAAAACAGATCAATATGTATATTATCAGCCAACAATTTTTCAGAAAATAGGAAATTCTCTCGCGACAACAACACACATTGTTTATTGAAATAACTTCGTATGAATTTTAAAAGCTAAAGCGGTTGATAGAATAAATAAAATTAAATTTGACTATCGCAAATTAAAATGATTTATTAATACAATTAAATTGATTTATCGAATACAACTTTCAATGATAGATGTTGCATAACCACTTACTCCACTGGCAGTTTCTGTAAGAGGTAATTTGTAAAGATATACTGATACAGAATTATTCATACCTATCTCATAGTTTATAATGCATGATATTGCACAATCAACGAATGTATGACTTTTTTAGCATTGTATAAGTTGACCCTCTGATTTTGGTAAAATTCCGGGGCTTTGAAAAGACAACTTAAACAATAGAATATTTGGTAATAAACTGAAAAAATGATGGCTAAAGGAACTATCAACAGATATGGCTACAATTTATGTAACGGCTACATATATAAAGCTATTATAAAGATCTTATAAGGGAAGAGATAAAATAGGTAGTCATAGGTAGGTAGTAAGAAATTAAATAGATAGTAAAATTAATCATTTTTTTAAAAAGTTTTAACAGATTTGTTTATTTGTTTTGTGCCTTTTTAATTATAATAATTAAATAAGTAGAATAAAAACAATTTCTTCATATTAATGAGCAATAATTGTGCTGGGAAATTACCAAAGTAATTAATAAACACAAAATATTGCTGCGCTGTGAAAATAACCTACTTGTTTTAAACTAAAAGCATATGTCAAAAGGCGAACATGTACTTGGCTGTGAGAAATGTTTATTTCTGTTGATTGCTTGCATAGTAAATGCCAAAACTTATTGTGTTACCCAAGATAAAAAAGGATAACTATTTTAGAACAATTATTTTTTCTTAACTATTATTTGTTTGAAATGCAATAACTACAATTATTATTTCTTTTAAGGACAAATTAGTTTGTTAAAAAATGTTTACAACATATATAATCAGTACCTAAACGAATTTTAAATAAGTGTTCAGTTTTATTTTTGATTTTAAATTATCAAAATCTCAAATCAAATATCAAAGTCAAAAGCACAAAATGTAAGATAAATGAAATAATTATTAAACAACCATTAAATGAAATAAGTATATTTCTTACTTCTTCTTTAATAAATCAATATGAAAAAGATTTAATAATTATAATATATAATACGGTGGATATTTTCATTAATATTTAAAATAATGAATGGTTATTTTCATATCAATATTTTAACAAATAAGAAAAAAATTAAGTTAACTGAAAAATATAAATAAATAATAAACACACTTACAGTGTCTCTATCTATATCCAAAAGGTTACACATTTTTTCTAGTCTCTGGTAACCTAAACGACAAACTGAAGGGGAAAAAAACAATTTAAAATATGGAACATATATAGTTTTTATATGACAAGGTTGAAATAAAATAAAAAATTTATGCCTAAGAAAATTTAAATACAAGATTTTTTATATGACAAGGTTGAAAATGAGTTGAGAACTACAGGAAACTAACTTTTATTAATTGAAGAATTTGCTATTAAAAGGAAGTAGTAGTGAGTTATGTACAATGGTGAAAGTAAACTGGAACAATTTAAAATAACAGTATCTAAACATTCTTTTTAAAATAAAAATTACCAGTTCATTCAAGGTAGAGGGTTGCCACAGAAAAAAAATGAACAATATAGTTGCTTTTGGTAGTCAAACGCATGAAAATAGTTGCCGAAAACTATGAAAATAGTTGCATAAATAAGAATAAAAATATTACTAAAATTTTATTAAATCACTTAATTGTCACATACCATTATCCATTTAGTCAAGATGGAACCAAATATGATAATTTTTATATAAACATAAGTGTTCTAGCCACTAAATTTTTATATCAAAAGACTTAGTATATTTGCAGAAAATTAAATATACTTGATATTGTTCAAAAAATATTTCTTCATTGAAAAAAAACATACTTTTTCTAAAAAAATATCAGATTAACCAATTGATTTAGAAAATATATATTGTGAAAAGTTATTACTCAAATTGGAAATTCTCGCATCGTAATATCGCATTAAAAATTGGGTTTATTTAAAAACATGCAGAATTTCGCAGCAATAGCCATTGAAAAGGCGATCGAGAAACAAAATAGATTTACAATGGAATCTGTGCCAATTGAGAGCATTAAAAAGAGATGACTCAAATTTGCAATTCAAAATTGTTTACTTTTTTAAAAAGAAAAATTCATTGTGTTCAGAAGCTACAGCAGGCCACAGGTTGTCAACCCAATTTATGCTAAAAAAAACATTGCTAGGAGCACAAAAAAGTCTCCTTTTCCTGAAAATAGTTGCTTTTTTAGTCTTTTCAGGCAAAAAAAGGTTGCCATAGTCACCTCAAGTCAAAAATAGTTGCTAATAGTCACCTGTGGCATCCCTGAATGGAATTCTATAAAATTTTTAAATTGCGAATAAGTCCAGAAATAAAAATAATAAATGCCAAAACTGTGTTTTGTTAAAACAAACTTTTTGCATCAAATTCAATATTTATATATAGCATCAAATTCAATTTTCTGACATATTTTTCCAAATGTATTAAACAAAGACTGTTTTTTTCTTAATTTCAAAATAAACTGTCAGAGAACAATCCTTCATGATTTATTATTAAAATGACATTCAATTCAAATTGACAGTTGCTCTTTGTTAAATAGTAAGATTATTGAGAGACTAGAAAAAGGAGGATATCTTAAACGTATGACGTAATGATAGTAAGTTATAAAACAAAAGGAAAACTTACATATAATGCAAAGTTTGAAAATGGTGGTATATTGTTGTTTCGGAACAACTAAATGAAATGAAATAATTATCAATGATCCCTCAAACCAACCACCATCAATCAAGTGTAAAGGAATGGTATACTGACTACATTTTTTGGTTTGGTTAGGCTAAAATGAAAGGAAATAATTCCTCAAACCAACCACCATCATTCAAATGTAAAGGAATGATATACTGATTACATTCTTTGGTTTGGTTAGGCTAACATTAAATGAAGTAATTCCTCAAACCAACCACCATCAATTAAGTGTAGAGGGATGGTATACTGTTTACATTCTTTGGTTTGGTTAGGCTAACATTAAATGAAGTAATTCCTCAAACCAACCACCATCATTAAAAAAGTAAAGGAATGGTATACTGACTACGTTTTTTGGTTTGGTTAGGCTAAAATGAAATGAAATAATTCCTCAAACCAACCGCCATCAATCAAGTGTAGAGGGGTGGTATACTGATTACATTCTTTGGTTTGGTTAGGCTAACATTAAATGAAGTAATTCCTCAAACCAACCACCATCAATCAAGTGTAGAGGGATGGTATACTGTATACATTTTTTGGTTTGGTTAGGCTAAAATGAAATAAAATAATTATCAATGATCCCTCAAACCAACCACTATGAATTAAGTGTAAAGGGATGATATGCTGATTAGGTTCTTTAGTTTGGTTAGTAATATTACACAATCTAATACTAAAATAATTTAATTATGGCAAATAATGTAACATTTAACTTATTCATTAAAACATGTGATAAAATTTTGATTAGATAAAGTGCAGATTGCTATTTTTTATCAGTCTTCAAAAATATATGTATATTTGTTCAATTTATTTCAAATAAAATTTTAAACTAAATTGCAATGAATTCAAAAAAACTGTCAGTTATCTAAAATACTTGCATTTTTCTGGAATTTTGTGCCTCAATTATTTTATTTATTTATTGGTTTACATGAACAAGACATTCAAGAGATTATGCACAAGAAAAAGCATGCTTCAAATAAATTTTCACTTTATTTAAGCAAAGTGAACTCAGGTTAGATATTTTTCTATTTTCATTTAAAGATCTAATTAAATTTTGTAGCAAAAAAAAACTTTTTTTTCCCATTACAAAAAGATGTACTCACAAATGATATAGTGATGCGATTTGAAACGAAAAATTTGCCTAGTTAGTTTAATCAATATATTTTTTGATTTTAGGAATACATAAAATTTTGAATTGCTTCATTTGCTTAACAAATCAGGCATTTTTTATAATTAAAGTTTAATTGAAATATAAAAACAAGTAATATAAAAATAAAAAAAATTTAAAGTCAATTCCTACTTAGGCCAACAAAGAAACAAATTTATTTTAGTTACTTTTTATTAAATAATTAAAAAAATTTCTCCTATATAAAACTAAAATTAATTAATTAAATTTAATTAATGAATTAATATTTGAAAATATTGTATTAACGTGAAGTGCCATCCACCACAAGTTTAAAAAAATGTATTTGATCTGAATGGATGAATAAAAAGTAGTTTATTACCAATTGAAAATTTGAACAAGGTATTTGGGAGAGGGTGAACTAATAGTAGAAATTGAATAAGAGATTAGAGAGGGACAAAAAAGTATAATTTACCTTTAGTGAGAAATAAATTAATTCCATGGCATCTATGGGGAGTGCTGGGCGATTGCTGAGAAATATCCTTATTAGGAGACCAAAATCTGAAACAGAGGTAGTTATGATCAAAAACAAGTTAAGCAGTCAAAAGTAAATTTAAATATGTGAAAAATTTCTCTTACAGGGTACATAGCCAAATCTTTTAACAAAAAATAAGCACTTTTTAAATACTTTTTAAGCACTCAAAAATTAATCTAAGATTTCTCATGATCAAATAAATAGTTTCTGACAAAGAACTCTTTTTTTTTACTATTATATTAGCTATTATAAAAAGATCAAGAGATTCTTCGGTTCGATATCAGAGGGCGGAAAATGAAGCCTGAAATTGAGAATATCTTGCAAAATGAAGTAGAGTTGCACATAAGAGAATCTCAGCAAAGCTAGCTCAGAAAACGCCCATGTGGACTTGGAAGTATTTCAACAAACATGTAAAAGGATTTGCATTTTCATTCACTACCGACCGACGGTATGCCAAAATGAATTGTGGTTGAATGAACTGTGAAAACGTTGAGGAGAACAGTGTGAAAAGCACGCTTTTGCATAATACATGGAGAAAATAGACATGGTAAAGAAAAAAATCTCCCTTTTGAAAATAGAAAATTAAGCACTTTTTAAAAACACTCAATGAAAAAAGCATCTTTAAGGGCTTTTAAAAAGCGAATATCGAAAATAAGCATCTTTAAGAACTTTTTAAAAAAGATACACACCATGCCTTAAATAAGAAGGTGAGTACTGAAACTAAATATGTACATATAGTTTTTGAAAAATTTAAAAAAAAAAAAAAAAAAAACTCAACTTTAAANAAAAAAAAAAAAAAAAAAACAGAAGAGATAAAATTTGCAAAATAATTCTAGAAAAATTTTTATAACAGTTAGTTTTTAATAAGAGAATATTTAAAAAATTACGTTATTACAAATTTCTTTTATAGCTAGGGATTTCCTACATATATATGTACATGAGCTGTTTTCTTTGTATAGTTAACTTATTTTATGGATTCTATGTTCTTGTAGCTTATGAGCAGTAAATAAAACTTAGTATTTTTCACAATTTTCTTCGTTAATCTCTCTTTTTTCTTGGCTTTTTACTGTGTTAAATATAACAAAAAAACAAGGAAAGAAACAAAAAAAGGAGGGGGGAAAAAAGAGTTTATAGAAAAAAATTAAGAACTTACAAATAATTATTAAATAAAAATTAATTAATTTTCGTTTCTTTAAAATCTTTCCACTTTTTTTTTTTTATTTCTTTCCTTCTTTTATTTTTTATCTTCATAGATACATAATAATTATAAAAGTTTTTTTTTTTTTTTGCGTATGTATGTTTTGAAGCATATTGATTGGATTAGATTCAATGTAAAGTTAACAAGTGCCAGAAGCAACTATAGTGAATCAATCTCAGACATTATGCACACAAAGTAATTAAATCAAACAATGTTATTAATTAAATCAAATAAGCCACACTTGTTAATTAGAATATTTACACAAGAATTGTATTCTAACAAATTAAATTATTAAAAGCATACCCTGGAGATTGTTGAGGTGAACTGAGCTTAGCTCTACAAGGTGGAGAACAGCCATTTCCTGATATATGAGGGAAAACTGACGACCCCTTTTACATTAAAAGAGAAATTATATACATGCAAAGACATATATTAAAAAAACTAATAAATAAATTAAAAATAAAGGTTCAGAAATTATTGTAGATACTTATTATAGCATTTTGTATACTTATTATCTCAATTTTGTACAATTGTACAATGAAATTATGAAAAAAAAAAATTTTTACATTTTTCTGTGCATGAGCAGTTTAAAACAGCTAGTTTAATTACCCATATCTTGTACAGTTTTTAACGAATTTCTTTCAAATTTCAAAACAATAATTTTGCATTCATTATAATTTAGCAATAATTTTGCAATTGACTTTAATTTGCTCCAAAATTTTTGTTTCATTTTATTGAATGTTTTCAAAGTTAAAGCAAGAAAGAGAGAGAAAAAACGCTAGCTGAGTTTTGATTACTAAGTTCATTTACACTTAGAAAATAATATTAACGATTTTTCAGAAAAAAAATAATAATAACAATAATTGAGAAATTATCGTACATACTTGGTATAGCATGCATTTCAATTTTGCATTATAAGTTTTTTTCCCTTAAAAATCTGATTTCTTACAGATAAAACAAGATGTCTCGCAAAGTTCTGGAGCAAATTTTTCCAGGATTACCAGACATTTATGTTAAAATTACCATAATTTTTTTTTCACAATATATTCTTAATTTAAATTAGTGAAATATAAAACAGTATAAAATCATTGGCGATAAATTTAACTTTTAGAGCACAGGCTTACACATTATTTTACTTTTTTTCTAAACTGCTACAACAAAATAATACTAAAAAAATTTGCCTGAAACATATTCATATACACAGTACGAAAAAAAATATATACTCACCGACTTCCAAGCTAGAGAATCTAGAATTTTGTCTTCTATTAATTTCAAATGCTGCAATAATAGTTATATAGAATGTTACTTATGTAATTATAAATTAGTTCTATTCTAGAACATACTTATTATTATTACAGTGTAACGTCCCATATCCGGACGTCCGTCCCTTTTCCGGAAGGGTCGATTTCCCGGACACTTTTTAACAATCAAAATAAACAAACATTTCTTCATCTTCCTCTCTCCTTAGAAAAAAAAAACATGAAGTCTTTTGACAGGTTTTTCCCCTTCTCAGCTTCTAGAGATCTATGCATTGAACCCATAAATCAACAGAAAAGAGAACAGAATATCTACTAAGACCATGACGCTCCTCCTCTGGAATGCAGGAGGGGGGGGAGATTTGTTTTCAAAAAAACACAACTGAGACTATGCAGCTGGCTAGCAAAAGAGGCATTTCTTGGAACCTTNTCCTAGAAACTTTGAGATATTTTCTATTAACTTTGAGATATTTCCATTAAACCTCTCCGAGCAATCACAGAGCATTATTTAAATTTTTTTTTACAGTCAGAAATTGGTTGCTTAGCAACCTAGTGAAATTAAGTCTTCTTCTTTTGAATTACACAATGGGTTACCTTAAAATATTAATTTGCTTTGGCGACTTTTTCTGGCGGTTTTCTGAACTATCGCCAAATATATAAACCTTTATTGTGACCCCATTTAGGATCCAATTTTTTCAAACTTTTGTCTACCCCCCCTAATTCAAGTGTCTGGATTCCAAATTTGTAAAAAAAAATACATGTTTATTCAGAGAAAGTACGTTTTTGTGTCTGATTTCATAACTTAATTAATAGTTAGCACTAATTAATTAGTATATTTGAGGTCACCCCCCGGAACCATTAAGATTGACACTTAGTTCGTGAAAATCCGATCATTAGAACGAAAGTTATTCAGGGTGATATCTTTTTTTTTTTGCGGACTGTACATATAGTTTTTTGGAGAAAAAAAATTATACAAAAAGAGAAGAAGAAAAAAAGAAGAACAGATAAAATTTTCAAAAAAATTCTAGAAAAAAATTTCATTAAAGTTAGTTTTTAATTAGAGAATATTTAAAAAATTACTTTATTACGAATTTCTTTTATCGCTAGGGATTTCCTACATATATATGTACATAAGTTGTTTTCTTTGTATCATTAACTTATTTTATGGATTCTATCAGGGGTCTGTCTAGGTTTTCCTGAGGTACCTATTTTGTGAAAATTTAGACATAATTTGTGAAAAATTTAAAATTATATTAAAAAATCAACATAAAAACACGGTAAAAATATAGATTTATCATTTCTTAAAGGATACAAAAATAAAATTTTATGAAAAAATATTTTGTGAAAACCGTTTTTCCTAAAGTTGAATTTGTGAAATTTTCCTAAAATTGAATTTGTGAAGGTACCGCTAAACAGTAGAAAATTCGACCTGGACAGACCCCTGTCTATGTTCTTGTAGCTTATGAGCAGTAAATAAAACTTAGTATGTTTCATAATTTTCTTCATTAATCTCTCTTTCTTTTTTTATTGTGTTATAAGTAACAAAAAAAAAACTAGGAAAGAAATTTTAAAAAAATGAGGGGGGGAAAAAGAGTATATAGCAAAAAATTATTAAGAACTTACAAATAATTATTAAATAATAAAATTTTATTAATTTTCTTTTCTTTAAAATCTTCACTTTTTTTTCACTTCTTCCCTTCTTTTTTTTTTCACTTCTTTCCTTCTTTTATATTTTATCTTCATAGATACATAAAAATTAGAAAACTTTTTTTTTTTTTTTGCATACGTATGTTTTGAAGCATATCGATTGGATTAGATTCGATGTAAAGTTTAATAGCTCAAGTGTCAGAAGCAACTATAGTGAATCAATCTCAGACATTATGGACACAAAGTAATTAAATCAAACAATGTTATTAATTGAATCAAATAAGCCGCACTTGTTAATTAGAATATTTAAACAAGAATTGTATTCTAACAAATTAAATTATTAAAAGCATACCCTGGAGATTGTTGAGGTGAACTGAGCTTAGCTCTACAAGGTGGAGAACAGCCATTTCCTGATATATGAGGGAAAACTGACGACCCCTTTTACATTAAAAGAGAAATTATATACATGCAAACACATATACTAAAAAAGCTAATAAATAAAATAATATTAAAAGCTCAAAAATTATTGTATATACTTATAGCATTTTGTATACTTATTATCTCAATTTTGTACATGCAATTTACAATGAAATTATGAAGGAAAAAAAATTTCTTTTAAAAAATTTTCTGCATATCTTGTATAGTTTTTAACGATTTTTTTTTCAAATTTCAAAACAATAATTTTGCATTTATTATAATTTAGCAATAATTTTGCTACTGACTTTAATTTTCTCCAAAATTTTTGTTTCATTTTATTGAATGTTTTCAAAGTTAAAGCAAAAAAAAAAAAAAAAANGTCACTACCCCGCCCTCAACTTGAATGACAAGTAAGGAGGAAATGAATTTTTCTTCTCCACCTACCCACCTTATTGAATGACGGGAATTTCCCCTTCTTGCTTGAATCGTTCTAGTTCAAAATGGTGGAGAGAGCAATTAATATTTTCATAACTGGGAATTTTTTTCGTTTTCTATATTTATTTTTAGAATAGCAATAATTATTTTTTTTCTAATATTTTGTTTATGATTGATTAGATATCATTCTAATACTAAAACATTATTGCCCGAAAAATAATGTTTATTTATTTTCTGCTTCTTAGATTCAGATCATTTTAAGCTTTGTTTACCTTGGAGGTCAATTATATGGAAAAATCAAATATACGGACTTCGGAAAGTCCCGCCGATTCCGGATACGAGACTTTCCACTGTATTTAGAAACATAATTATATACTAGAGAATGCAAATGATTAATTTAATGACATTTTTAAACTATTATATATTATTAATTAATGCAACTAAATGTGTCTAATCACACACTCAATCAAATCATTCAAATATGTATAAAAATACTTCATTTAAAAAATAATGATAAAATAAAATTAGAGTTTTGAAGTTGTATCACTAAAAGTATTTGAATCAAACCTATTATGGAGCAAAACTGTGTTAGACCATGAATGTACTGTAAAAGTTTGATTGTGATCATGATATTTTTCAAAAAATAAAATAGAAAGCATTACAAAATTGAAAAGAAAAAAATTATTTTGATGTAAAACAAACATATTTTTCATGATTTTAAATTTTTTTTCGCATAGCAGCAATTAATAATTCTAAGATGAAAAGTAATTCCTGTTCTAAGGGTACAGCTAAATTTTGTATTAATCATTCAATATAAAAAAATAAATAGTCCTGTGTTGTGAGCAAATCATCCATATTTTAGTTATTTCTAAAAGTTATACCCACTATAATTATTTCTGATAGTACAATACACTTTGATATAATAGTGTTCTGGATTGCTAGCACTTTTCTGGAACATGTTATGATTGAAATTTAAAATTTTTCTGTATACCAATAAGTCAAATGTTGTTTAATTCATTATAATAATATAGGTAATTAGTGTTGTCAAGTTAGTTTACTATTGTTTTAGTAATGTCATGTATTTAATTATTACATCGCTTCATGACATTGCTGAACAAAAATGACAACATATTATATCCATATTACCCAATATTGACATGATATCAAGATATATATACATAGTTATATATAAGCGAAAATATATAAACATGGAAAATAATAAAGATTAATAAAAGAGAAGAAGAAAGTTACTAAAATAAAATATCTTCAATTTTTTTTTATTAATTTTAAAAAAAGTTTTGAAAAATTAGAAAACAAAATAAAGACATAATCTCCTCATCAGCTGACACAACTATATCCGCAAAAAGGAGTGCTTTCTAATATTGTATCAATATATCCAATTAGCAAAATATATCAATACAATAGTGTAAGGAGCACTCAAAAAAATTTTTAACGGAAATAGAACACATTAAGTAAAAAATATAAATTAAATAAAACATATCAAGCAAAAACAGAACATACACATATAGAATAATACAAACACACACATATGCATAATAATAACGATTTAAAAACATATATTGGAGGAAGAACAGACAAAGAAATGTAGACAAAGAAATATCAATGATTAATGTTGCTTACATTGATGATTTGAAGTGTAATAGTTGGCGCACTTCTAATAAAACTTTCAATGATTTTAAAAAATACAAATGGTTCCAAGTCATATACTTCTAATATCCATGGAAAAGCAATGCCCTGTGCTTGATAATTACTTCCATTAGGCACTGGAGTAAAATTGACAGAACCTACAAAAAAAATAACCTTTGGTCAGTTAAATTAAAACACACACATTAGAACACTTTTAAAAACATATTAGTAGATTTAAAAAAATATATATATTTTTATTTTATTTGTAAGTCAAATTGTTGGTTTAACCATGCTACAGAGGTTTAAAAACCCTTTAGTTAGAAGGAAAAAAATATTTTAATAATTGATAGGTCAAATTTAAAATGAGAAAAAAAAATTGGTCTGCCATGTAAGCTGAATCTGCAAACAGTTATTAAAATTATATAAATACAAATGAAAAAAGGAAAGACACCAATCATCTGCAAATTTTAATTGCTAATCTGAGTGAATTTGCAGTATTTTTAATATTGATTTTAATGAATTTAAATTCGTTAAAATAGAAAATTTTAATTGTTTTTGTTTTTAAATTACATTTAATGAATAAAAAAAGATTTTGAACAAATAGATTATTCAAAAATTTTTTTAATTCAATAAAAACATTATTTTTTCAGAGATGCAAACTTTTCAAACTATCAGTAATGAGAAGTAACACAGAAATATATACAATTAACGTTTACGAAATTCAAATTAGTACTATTTTAAGGTGTATATATTACTTAATTCTACATATGTAAATAATATTTTAATAAACTTATGCATGCACTTACAATACTTCGTAATACTAAGATGAAAATGAGATTGCCTTTTTTTAAATTTATTGTTCCAATCAAATCTTTTTTTTTTCATCTTGTTTTTAGGATTGTTTTAAGAAGTAGAAAAAAATCATTGTAGATTAGTTGCAAACAAAATTTCAAAACTTTTAGTAGTTAAGAGGGAAAAAAAATTCTCAAAATTCATAATAATTAGTACATATGTTTTTTTAATCATTCAGAGTGCGAAGCCAAATCTGTCACCAAAAAATAAACACTTTTTAAGCACTCAAAATATATTTTTCAGCACTATATACATTAACAAAATTCAAAATAATTTTCAAAGACGTTACATGATCATGATAAAATAACTAGTTTCTGACAAAGAACTCTTTTCGTAATTATATTAGAAATCATAAAATATTCGAGAGATTTTTCGATTCGATATCAGAGGGTGGAAAATAAAGTCTGAAATTGAAAATATCTAGAAAAATGCAGCAGAGTTGAGCATTAGAGAGCAATAATCTCACCGAACCCAGCTCAGTAGAAGCATATGCGGATTCCCAAGTATTTCATCAAACATGTAAAACGATTGGCGCTTTCATACCCTATTCACTGACGGAATGCAGAAATAGCTTGTGGTTGAATGAATTGTGAAAATGCTGAAGAGAACAATGTGAAAAGCACGCTTTTGCATAATACATGGAGAAAACCGACATGGTAAAGAAAAAAATCTCCTTTTCGAAAATGGAAAATTATGCACTTTCTAAAAACACGCAATGAAAAAAGCACCTTGAAGGGCTTTCAAAAACGGAAATTGAAAATAAGCACCTTTAAGCATTTTTTAAAAACGCTATGCACCATATCATTATTTTCTCTTGTTAAATGAATTAAATAATTTTTTTTAAAAATTAAGTGATTAAAAAAGTTAATTGTAATCATTTTATTCAATTTATCAACAGGTTTGCAAAAGCTCAAGCAGATATTTTTTTTAATGACGAATAGTTGGGTCTATCTTCCCATTGGCCTCAGAATCGCTACTCTCTTATCGTTGCCCAGTAAGCACCTGTGGCTAAGCCACGGCGGTGGAGTAGCGTTGCCCACGTTATACAACCACAAACACGTTTATAGGGTGGGTTATATTCATACAGCCAAACAGAAGAAAGGACATAGAACACAGAGAGAAAGTTACATCCATGCCTACAGTGGGATTCGAACCCACACCCACAGGCCCTGTAGTCCAGTACAGTAACCACTCGACCAGTGACCTAAATTCAGTTTTTAATTTTCCAAAAGTTTCAGTATTTAAATGTTTCAAATTATGCACAACATATGCTATTAAAACTGGCAATTAAAAATAAAAGACGTTTTTCAAACCTATATTTCCACAAGACATAATTATAACTTCAAGGCAGCATGCTAAAAGAGATCTGTGGAAAACACTTTGTTGAATAAAAGTAGAAAATCCTGCGGGTGACAAACGTTCAGATTCCTAAACAAAGTAATAAAGAAATTATTAAGGGACAATTTATAGAAACAAGTAACAAAATATAAGCCAGAAATTTTACATAAGTAAACATTTAAGCCCAGCAAAGGAAAATTTACTGTAGATTAGATGGATATTTATTTTTGAATAGAATATTGACTGTGTTCATTTAAAAGGGAGAAATAAAAGAAAATAATACATTTTAATATACAAAGTTGTTTTTTATTTCACAATATTGTATATTTAGAAGGAAAAAAACACTTAATTAGTAATTTTCCAAAGAAAAAGCATTAAAAATAACATCACTCAGAGATAAAGTTGTTACTTAATATAACAGGGTTGCCACTCAAATCTAGGGAAAAAAAGTTCCCTGTGTTTTCCCTGTATATATTATAAATAATATATTAAGAGGAAACACAAAATCACTGTGCAAATGTGTGAGCTATATAAGGATAACTAATACTAGTTTTAATTGTTGGAAAAACTTAGAGAAATAGAACTTAGAAACTTAGAGAAAAAACTTAGAAAGTTCAACATACATAAAATAATAATACAGCAACTGGAATAGTATAGTATAGCTGAACTATCGTTAAATAATCCATAATTTGCCACTTTAAGAGGTCTACATTTTGTAAAAGAAGAAAATAAGAAATAAAAATTTCCTGTATTTCCCAGCTTATTAGGAAAAATTCAAAATTCCCGGCATTTCCTTTGTTATTTAAGATGATTTTTTAATCGCCTGTGGAGTGGCAACCCTGTATCAATAAATAAAATAAAATAAATAAATAGCATGCCAAAATACCCATTTTAGGAATATAGCACAAAATACATGGTTGCCATCAGCCACAGGGCAACTAAATATAACAAATGGAGATTAAAAAATTCTCTATTAATGGACACTTTTTTCACACAAAAAGCACTCCATATGCATTTCACCATGACTTTTTTTTTTAATAAATCTGGAATTGTTAAGAATTTAATATAATCCAAAAATTACTTTATTCCACACTTGTTACTAAAAATTTTTCTTTATTTTAGAAATGAACCTTGTAGTACTTACCATATTTGAAGAAATGCTTCTAAAGAAATGCCTTACATTGATAGCAGTCTTTTAATTATTCAAAATTTTACATTTTTGAAAAAGAGGCCAAATGCTTTAAAAAGTAGCCACTCCTAAATGTGCTTGTTACAACTGGCCACTTACTAATAGCATCCAAATTTTTAATTTTGACCTATACGACAAAACAAAAAAAGTATTTACAAAATGGAGATAGACCTAAAATGTAGTTGCTTTTAGACAAAAAGAACAATAAGCTGAAGCAAATGTCAATCAATTTGTTCTATACTTTGTGTCATTGCATAATGGAGTCATTGAACGAAAAACAGCAGAGGGTTATGTTCTTTTTAACAGTCAAAGGCAAAGTAGTCATGAATTTTATCAACAATTCGAAAGGAGGCATGGAGAGCAAGCACCTTATGTTTCTTTTCAAAGGTTCAGGAATAGAGTGTGCACTTTCAGAAATGGAATTATAGCTGATCAAGAGAGGTGATTGTTTACGCAACATCTACCTCTCATCCTCGTAGTCAGTAAAATAATATAGAATATTTAACCTTTTTTTTATAAAAAATTTTTAAGCAGAATTTTGTGTATTTTTCCAGTTGATTTTCCCCACATTCATAATTAATAAGCAAATAATCACTGCAAAAGTCATAATTTAGGCATTAATGGGTCAAATTTAGAAAATGAAATGCGGAGACTTCAACTAAATCAACTTCTTCAGCACTACAGCCAAGTGCAAGTCAATGCTTTTCAAACCGCTCTCTCCAAGATGAGCAAATTGATACAATATTTTACATCTTACCACAGTTAATCATTTTGTATATGGATTGATCTCTTTTTTTTTGTTGTTTCCATGTTTAAAAATATTAGTTTTTAGTAAGGTTTGAGTTTTCACATGGATAGATGTCACTGCCAACTAATTTAGAAAGATTTTATTACTCTTACAATCTTTGGTAGTCGATATTTTCTGTATAGTTCATGGTTAAAGTTATTAGCATGAACAAGACAGGAATGCTATTTTCATTAACTGCACCAGAAAGCCACTGAAGGGATGAATGGCTGAGTCAACCATACCTGGTTCGAGGGTAAAACGCTGGATCTGTGGAAGGGGATCCTTCAGTCACTGGACCTCCTGATAACTTACAAAATAATAAAACAGCTAAAATGCATAACAAAATCACATCCACTAAAAAAATATTTCTTTGTCTGAAAAAAGTATTTAAGGTTAAAGTTTACCACAAGAACTGAGGAAACAATTTACAAATGTCTAAATAGACTTATTTTAACTTAAGCAACTCAAACTTGGTTGAAAAAGAAAAAAATCCATGTCATGATTGAGAAATAAATTTTAAGAAGTATTTTTGGAAGTGTTCTCCAATGAATGGAATTTAGGAAAGAACAGCAAATATAGAATAAAATGCTTTAAAAGTGAGCAATAGAAGACTGCCGATAATAATCACCTGACCTATAACCTCAGCACCAGTTGGTTGTTTATAAACAAGATGGCAAGTTACCATTACAGCTGTTAGGCTTGTTTTATGTCGGCTTCTTTTCCTTAACAACTATAACTTATTTCGTTTGTTTTTCTAAGTATTAATTGCATACTTCATTAATTTATAAGAATTCATAAGTTATGAGATGATCACACAATATGATAATTGCTTAAGAGATCAAGCACTGAATTTATATTTAAAGGATAGGATTAGTCAAAATAGAATTGAAAAAAATTTCTTCAAATTTAGCAGTTTTCTAACGATATAAAACTGGTTTCACCCACCAGATTTTCTGTTCTTGTATCTGAATTTTCAAAAATTAATTGTGGGGTAGAATATGGTAATTTGGATCATTTGAATATGTATATATATTTATTAAGAAATATTAAAAAATTTTCCATGAACAGTGTTTGCACATTCTTGTATATTATGCACATCTGGCCAAAACCAACCCAAACTCAAAAGAGAGAGCAGTCCATATTTTGATGGTCTGACTCAATTGTGATATAAAAACATAAATAAGTGGATGGTATAGCTGGTTAGGGGCTATCCTAAGTAGTAATGCCAATGAGGAAGAAAATAAACAAGCTACATGTAAAAAAAAAAAAAAAATTAAATTACTTTTTTTAACAATGCATCCAACATGATATAATAGAATCTAGAAGCTAGAGTAAATCTTCTTTCAGCTAAACTCTCATCACTACCTTCATGGGCTTTCACAAATTGATGGACGAATAGCATTTTCGATGTATTGAGAAATTCCTTTATATAGGAAGAAGCATTAAAGTTACATTTCTAAAAAGAATAAGAAAAAATATCAGTTACTCTGAAATTTATTATACTTCAGTATACAATGTGTCTATTTTAATAATTGCAAAAATGGATATTCTGGATTTTATACTTATAAGTGTCAGTGTAAAATATAATACATACATTATTTAATATCTAAAAATCAAACATAAATGATACACCTACTTTCTAATTTAATGAAATTTTAAGCAGATAATGACATCTGCAAAAATGATATGGTTATTGAAAATAAGTTACAAGTTTTCGAATTATTGAAATAAAAATAAAACTTCATGTTATTAATGAGTAACAGTAAATCTTATTTTTACAGTGTGAAGCATACCAATTTTAAAACTTATTTTCACAACAACTACTCATATATAACTACAAATTAAAAAAAAAAAAATTACAATTCTTTATCAATGTTATCCAATTATTTTTAACAGTAGTTAAAAGATAATTTATATATTACAAAATAAATTGGGTTTACATAAATAGATAATTTATAAAAACCAATATAATTATTTTCATGCAGCAATAAAACTGCTACTTACAGATGCTAGGTTTTACAGATGATTAGATAAAATAAAATAAATAGTTTGACAGCAGAGTGGAAAAAATAAACATTATTGCATATTCAATGTAGTAGAATCAAACAGTAGTAGTGAAAAAGTCTAATGCAAATAATTTCATTAAAAAAAATGGTTTTCAATTCCTCTGCATCCTAAAAATACACACATATATATATAAAAAACATTTAATCAGCTAACACCTGGCTAAAAGTAAATACTGCAAAATAAAAGACAAATCTAACGAAATAAAATAAAATTTTAGTCGGATTCCTAAAGGTTGTGAGACAAGTATTTATCTTACCTTGCCTAATAGAATTCAATGATTAAATTATTATAATTCTGGATTTATTCATATAGAAAATCAAATGTACATACTGTAAAAATACCAAACATTTATTCTCAGGAGGAGGATTGTATATGATACTCTGCAACAAGACTTTTGATAGCTGCAAATGTATTGTGGGCATCGTGAAAAATAGACTAACACATCTCACAAGTGAAAATTATTAACCTTGATTTTTAGTGAGAAATAATTGTGTTTCGAAGACTAAATTATCAAAAATGGGAGCCTCTTTGTATACATACTAACATAACGGAACAAAAATTGTTAATTGATAAAATAGAGGCCATCCATAAATGATGTCACACTTGCTAGGGAGGTGGTAGTAACAAGTGCGTCATCCCACATTTTGGTTTAAAATCATGGTTGTAAAAAACGCAGGCTTCTTCAGAAACAAAACATACTGGATTTTTTTCCAAGTTTTCTTTTAAGGGTTTGATTGGGTTCTTTCATCATTATTTTTTTAATAAATTAATTCACACAGTAAATTCTGCTGGGAATATGTATAAATTAGAAGATCAATGGTGTATACATTAAAGCACTAAGGTTTTTGACTAATTAGTCAAAACCTTAACTGTCCTCAAACTTTAAAAGATGAGTAATTTATATACAATGCAGAAAATTTTCACACATGACAGTTTCTTTATTAGCTAACTTAAAGAACAATTTGAGTAAAGAAATTATATAATATAAAAATGTGTTTTACTTGTAAACAAAGTTTGAGGCTCTGAGTTATATCATCATCAGCAGACATCAAAATTGTATTTAGAGCCTCAGCTGTATCTAAAGTTCTCCTCACAGACATAGAGGAAAATTTACGAGGGGAAGATCTAGAAAAAAAAATTTTTTAAATATATCATTAAAAGCTGGCTTTGCATTATAAAACTAATTAAAAAAGCGCTTTCTACAAGGATTCAATCATTCAACAATTGTTAAACTAGAATATAATTATTTGATATTGCATCAAGTAATAATAAAAATAGAAGAGCTAGAAAGAAGAAAAAAATTAAAATATATCATGAAAAGCTGGCTTTGCATAATAAAACTAATAAAATTAGTTAGTTACTACAAGGATTCAATCATTCAACAATTGTTAAACTAAGAATATAATTATTTGATAATGCATCAAGTACTAATAAAACTTTTTTATAGGGCAATTTGATAAGTGCATTTGTTAAAAAATAAAATTAACAGAATTTAGTCAATAAATAATTACTATTCTCTAAAAAAGAATGGAAATTGTTAGGACAACAAACAAATTTAATAAGAAATACCGTAATAAAATTAATGATAAGAGTATTAATAATTTCCAATACAAAATATTTCAGTGAATCACCCTCTGCGTTGTTAAACTAAGTTTTCAATTTTAATGTTCATTTCCTAACAATAAATATTTTATCTTAAAAGGTGGATAAATTAATAAAAAGACAGTTCAACAGTAAAATATCCTTAAAATTTTAAAGTTAATTTAAAAATTTGCATGTACATAGCTGATAACATAGGAAAAAATCCAGTAGATTTTACAAAATATAAATTTCATGATAATTGTTGCACTATGTACTATACACATAGGGAATTTTATAGCCATCAAAATACAAAAACTAATATTTTCCATTTATGATTGCCATTAAATAGGCTTGAAATGTTACGTATTATGTTAACTCATAATTTCGAATAGTAATTAATAGATATTTAATTCATCATTAGCTAACAGATTTTTGAATTAAGTTTAAAAAAGGAGTTCAGAATAAAAATAAATTGAACATTTTAGGACAAAAAGAGTTTTAAACTGATATTTATCATATACTTCTGAATAATATTTATTTAAATATTCAAGCTAGTACATTATGCGTGTACATTAAACGTTTAATGTACAATAGAATATCTATATAGCTCATACATCAAAAGCTAGGGGTTTGTGTTTAATGGAATTTCGTGTTATATATAGATCATTTTCCCTAAACTTAATAAATAAAGCAATATTTGTGTGAAACAGATTAATCTAAAAATGTTTCAAAATAATTTTTAAATACAAATACTTAAAAACACCAAATATGAACTTACGTATTATTTTCTGCAGCATTAGAACTAGCGAGAAACAAATTAATTACTTTTGGTTGGCTTAACTTCTGAAATTTTAATCTCTTAGCAAATTAAACAAATAATGTAAAAAATTTATAGTAGATATAAGTTATAGAAATTTCTTAAAGGCAAATTTCACTGTTTACGTCCACAAAGCTATAGTTTGTCTATGGAAAGAACTCCTCTCGCGAAGAAGTCAATAATCTCAATGTTTGATTTTATAATCAAGTGAATAGGAATTCCGATGTAAGATTTTTAAGTAACTTTAACATGAATCATAACAATGGCGCTTAAATCGCAGGAATAAGAAACTGGATATTGAATCGTAAAAATACAAAACACAAGGTGCGATCTTAGATAGCGTAGATAAGAATAACTTAAATAAGATAGTGTGATTTCAAATAATGGGAATGTAATTTAAAATCACTTTCGCATTGGCACGAAAATGCATAAATATGAATTAATTTACCCTAGAATTCGAAAAAGACAAACTTTCTTCTGTGAAGTGGCAGTTTTTTTCCCTTTTTAAGTAATTGTAAAAACATTTCTGCAATGGTGACAAATTTTTCAAAACTATGCCTGCATATTATAAAGGTCTGGTGGTTAAAATATTCTATTACTCACGACAAATATGTTAAAACAGATAAAAATATTTTGCTTCGCCAAGATAAATGCAAATTAAAAAAAAAATTTTAACAACAAAATTACTTAAAAAGTATCTTTTAGAAGAAATAATATGCTGGGCGCTAAAAACTATCAAAAACATATTTTCTTTGCTTTAAAAAAAAAAAAAATGGAAATACAGAGATTTTAGTGCCTTAGACAAGCATTGCTCAAACCCTTCTGCATAGACATGGTGGCTCAGGGTATAGAGCATTAGATTAGGTGATATCTTAAATTGTAAAAAATTTTGGGTTTGAAATGTTTAAATATTATAATGAATGGATTTTTGAAAACATATTTTTATAAAGGAAGCTGAATTTATAATGATTAGATTTTATTAATGGCTGAAAATTTTAAACATTTATCACAGAAAATTCATTCTTTTTTTCTGGTTAATCTATCTCTGAACTTACATATTCTCTGATACAGATGGTAATAGATGCCAATCTTTGACTAGGAAACCACTTTCATCAATATCACCATTTTGAGCATACAAGTCTGAGTAAATAAGCTCTAGATTTTTAATCTGGAAAAACAATTTTAAATTTAATGAAGCAATTTTGAGCAAGAAAAATTATTCCCAATGAAAAAAAATTTTAATGCATAATTTATTAGAAGTATCGAAGATAAAGTTTCAAAACTAAAAGAGTTGGTTTGTAAGAAAAAAAAGAACAAAGACTCCTGCTAACCCTGTAAACACAAAGTTACTTTTAATTTAGAACTGTATCATTTTGAACATACCAAATTATTTAAATACACATCAGAAACATAATCAAATTTTTAAGATTTTGACTGTAAAAATTTCCCATTATAACAATAAAATGTTAATTTTGAGAAAATATTATTAGCTTTCTTTGTATTTCCAACACAATAATGACTAATTTAATAGCAACTTAAACTAATATTTGACAGCTTAAAATAACATCATCATTATTATCACAGAGTAAAATCTTGATTAAATCTATTTGAAACATGTTACTTTATACTATGTAGCAAGAATTTTAATATGAATAATTATAATAATTTTAATATGAATAATATAATAATTTTAATATTAATAATATAATATAATAGCAGCTAATATGCACATTACCTAGCTAAACGGCAGATAAACAAGAACTATATATTAAAGTGCAGAATCAATAGTCTTCTGCAACTTATCAACATGTGGTTATATTAATGGCCTTTGCATTGTATTGTTTAAGTTCAAAAAATTGATTCTCTCATTCCTAATTTACAGATTGTAATCATTGTCCCGATTTCTTAGACATCGAAAAATAAATTAATTAATTTTCATAGTAGTATAATAATATTTTCAAGAATTAACTATTTGCATTTTAGTTTTTTCAGCTTTTAATTTTATAAAATAATGTGCTGTTTGTTTGATTGTAGTAACTTGATTCTTGATATTTTCAAGAATTAACTATTTGCATTTTAGTTTTTTCAGCTTTTAATTTTATAAAATAATGTGCTGTTTGTTTGATTGTAGTAACTTGATTCTTTGGATATTGAAAAATAATTAAATAATGCTATGTTTATTTAAGTGTGAATAAAAACATTGCGGTTCTTCCAGCAAAAATCTTTCACTTTAAGGAGTTCCTAGTAGATAATATGAAAATTATCTAGATAGTTTGCAGATTAACTAGGTAATTTAAAAAATTTTTGGTACTTTAATTTCATCATGTAAATTAATTTGCAGATTAGCTAAACAATTAGTAGAATAACTGATTTTTTACACTTTAGCACATTCATTTATTTATTTTTTTTTCAATGTTAGATTTGGAAAAACATTAACTAATATAAAATTTAATATAATTTAAAATTAATTAATTAACATTAACTAATTAAACATTAACTAATATTAATTAACTAATATTAATTTAATTTATTTTTTAATATAAAATGTTTGATTCAAACAGATATTAAAATTTTAACCGTAAACCTGGATGTTTCCCACTCAAAAATTGAAAATTCTAATTTTATGTCGTATAAAAATTGCAAAGAATTTTCTGTAACATCCATATACTCAACACAACAGTTAAAAATATAAGTAAAACAAACCTCTATAGGACTATTTTCTGCCATCAATTCACCGGCAACATGCAACCATCCATTGTTTACAGCTTTCACCTAAGAAAAATAAATAAATAAGATCTTGTAATAAATGAAAAACTTAAAATATTACACTTTTTCAAGATATTTAAATATTGATAACATTATAATTAAAATGCAGATTCTAAAATTAATATATGATTTAGATATTTAAAGTATTCAGACAGTGGAAATCTTTATAATGCAAACCTCAAAATGTGAAGCTTTGTGTTATATAGAATTTTATGTTATACAGGTAATTTCAAACAGCTTTCAATTTACCTTCTAAATATGGCCATATATATTTGGAGTAGACCAGTAACAATGCTTTAAAATAATTTCTAAATAAAAATATTATATAACAAAAAAAATATGCACATAAGTATATATTTAACCCATTTTCGCAATGCACCACTTCAATAAATATTTTTTATTAACACTGTGAGTCATATTTTTCAGTAATTTTATTTTTCTGCTATTGTCAAGGGTTCCTGAGACACCCAAAAATTAACAGTTATTAAATTGGAGTAAACACTTTTTGTTGAGAAATTTTGAAACGATTAAAAGTTTTTTTTAAACTTAAAACGGTTATTGGCAAAAGAAATTTTCTGAAAATGTATAATTACTCCTTTTGAGATTTATCATTATGTTTTTATGATGGATTAAAGTTGCAAGACAGTAAAAAAAAATAAACAAAACAAATGTGATAAAAAAAAAAACAATCGTTCAACTAAATGGTTTGTTCATTGATTTGGTGAATGGTGCCTATATGCCTCATTTTATTTCTTAAATATAAAATATAATTTTTTATACATGAAATTTCTGTGTTTCTTAATGAATGTAATGTAAGCATATTTCAATGAAAATAATACCACATTTTATAAAATTTATATGCTAGGCCTAAAATGGGTTAAAGGGTAAAAAAAGGAATTAACAGAAGCATTAGAAATAAAATAGCTCAAACTTATCAAATTTAGTTCGTTTTAAAGATTAAAAAAAAAAAATTATGTAGATTATATAGAATTGCAGTTTATAGAACTTTATGTAAACATTATGTAAATTATAGAACATTATGTAAATTTTCTACTATACAGTTGAAAAATTAAATTACAAGAGGGAAGTTCGAAAAATAAGGTCTTTTGTAATAAAAATATTCCTTTAGGTATGATCGTAGTAAGATAATGTAGACGCGTGAGTGCACCACATGCGCGGACACATTGGCAGAGATTCTCCAATTTTACAGATACTTTTTTAATATTTATTTTTTTTTAAAGTGTCCGCACACAAAAAAAATAAAATAAAAAAAAATACTTAGAAAAACGTTTGCAGAGGGAAAAAATAAGAAGCAGATGAGAACCTAATCATAATTTATACTAGGTAGAAGAAGGTAGTTTAGTTATATGCAGCTGCTACCAAAGAGAAAAGATAAAGCTGCTCATTTAGCCCGAAAATTAGTGATCCCATCATTATCGGACAAGCAAACTGGACACGACTATCGCTTTACAACAAAAATAAACAAATATGGTGACAGCAGGAAACCTTTTAATGTACATTTGTTCGTTAATACAAATAAAAAATACTATGAGCTTGCTGATACTTGTGTATTGTGTGTGCAGATAATTTTTTTTTTAATCTTACTATGGATATAAAAACACTTTCAACATTTTAAATATTAAATATTCATCTAATTTATAGGATATGTCTAGTCAGTGATGTCATGCAGCAGATTAAAAAACTTTTATTGATTGGGTATATGCAATACAATGAAAGGTTTTAAAAATTATATTGTACAGCAATTATACATTGTTTAAAGCAGACATTGAAGCAATTTAAAGCGTTGAAGACACATGGGCCTCTATCAAAATATTTTTTTAGAACCATGAAAGTTTCCAAGTGTCTGTGATGTCGGGTCAGGAATGTTGCATGTGTGTACCCATGGTGGTCACAAACACTCAGAAAAAAAAAATCCCATGACTTTTCCTGACTGATTTTTCAAATTTCCTTGATTTTTATAACCTTTGGAATAAATTTTGTTATTAATCTTTCAGTTATGCCTTATTTTCATAGATAATAAATATTCTAAAACACTTATATTTGCCATTACAGTTCAAAATACAAAACAGTTTTTTAAAAAAAAATTTTGTTAAAAATTTTGTTTTGTAAAAAAATTATTATTTTTTAGAAAAAATATTGGACTTAAGTACTACAAACTCAAATTAATTCATTTTCTCAGGCTATTTGGATATTTTAGTTAGTTTCTCTGACATTTTCTAGATTTTTCCAGAGATAAAATTTCCTTTTTCCAGGGTTGGCAAGGTTAAGGACAGAATGGATTAATCCACGGTTCAAACCCTGGTTTAAACCGTCCTGTCCAAAACCCTTTTACTCAAATTATGTCACAATTTTATCTGGTTTTAAGAGGTAAAATAAACATAAAACTAATAACATATTGATAATTATATCTACTACAGAATATTTGTTTTTAAAAGTATAATGTTTTATTAATATTGTTTGACTCTTCAATTTAAACAAAGGAAGATTAATCAGTAATCAAGTTCAATTGGTCCTCTCATTCAATAAGTACATAACTGAAGTTTGGCCTTGCCATACAGGTTAAAATATTAGAGACTAAGTGGTTGGTTTGTCATAAACAGGTTTATTTATCTATAGTACTATTCAAGAATACTTTTATTTCATTCATGTTCAATTCTTTTAGCATAGTGGTGATACATCACCAGTGTCAGTAACTGAAACTGATGTTATGCCCTTCAAAACTGTTAATACATTTTTCAGTTATTTTGTATTTTCAATTTAAACTAATATATTTATATTTAAAAACAATTTTTTTAAAAATAGATGTCTTTTTTATTATCCTGTGATGCAGAAATTATAAAATTTTTAAAAAAAACTATTGTGAAAAATAAAAGGTTAATTTTTGAACAAATTTATTATTTTTTTTTAAGAAAAATTATTATTTTTTAATATTGCCATACTTATCCTTATGCAAAAATATTATTTATCAGTATTAAAAGCATATTTATATTTAAAGGATTAGGTATTCACTTTTGTTGTTCACTGAATTGTGGAGCTTCAAAAATTATAAACCTTTTCCTATTATATTACATTATTTTCTTCTAATAAGTTATAGTAAATTGTATAAAAAATATCAAATATTTTTTGATACATGTAATTATTATGTGTACAATGGTTACACCTATAGAATTTTTACCTTTTACCACAGTTCAAGGTTTTGGAAACTTTAAGACAGTTTAGGACAGTATTACCCAGTTTAGGACAGTAAAACCCAGTTTAAGACAGTAAAACCCACGTGTCCTGTCCAAAACCAGTTTAGGTCGTCCAAAACCCCAACCCTGCCTTTTTCCATATTCTCTCAGAATTTCCTGTTCTAAGGCCATCCTCCTACTATTTAATAAATATTCAAATGATGACCTAGTTCAACAGTTCAGTCAAATGGATCATATCTCTGTTAGTGGTAGTCATTGCACTAACTTCATCTCTGAAATAGGGTGAGTAGCCAAATCTTTTAACAAAAAATAAGCACCTTTAAAGTACTTTTTAAGCACTACATACATTAACAGAATGCAAAAAGACTTTACATGATCATAATAAAATGACTAGTTTCTGACAAAGAACTCTTGTTTTTTTAAATATTATATTAGCTATTATAAAATGATCAAGAGATTTTTCGGTTTGATATCATAGGGTGGAAAATGAAGCCTGAAATTGAGAATACCTTGCAAAATGCAGTAGAGTTGCACATGAGAGAAACTCAGCAAACCCAGCTCAGTAGAACCACTTGCGGACTCACAAGTATTTCATCAAACATGTAAAACAAGTAGCACTTTCATACGCTACTGACCGACGGTACACCGAAATAGATTGTGGTTGAATGTATTGTGAAAACATTGAATAGAACAATGTGAAAAGCACGCTTTTGTACAATACATGGCAAAAATAGGTATGACAAATAAAAAAAAATTTCTTTTCGAAAATGGAAAATTGAGCACTTTTAAAAAACACCCATGTAAAAAGCACCTTTAAGGGCTTTTAAAAAACAAAAATAGAAAATAAACACCATTAAGCACTTTTTAAAAAGGCTATGCACCATGTAAAATTATTTTACAACAAAGATTTTTTAAAATTTAAATTAACTCATAATAAATAGAATAAAAAACCAAAGAAATTGAGCAAAATATGCACCTTTTGCTAAAATATTAGGGAAATATCTTTACAAACTATATTGTTTCAACTTAACACTACAACAGTAATTTTTTTAAATCACTTTAATTATTATATAACTTAGTATTACTTAATATCTTAGACTTAGGAAAGAAAATAATAAAAATGAGATTGATTTTTACTTCTTCAAAGTCAGTCTTGAAATGGGAACTCAAAGCTTCGAGTATTGTTAAAGGATTTTCGCTTCTTCCAGCAATACTATCTACAAGTTAGAAAATGATAAAAATGTCAATAAAACTACAGTACAGCATAATATAACGAGATTACATTAGATACTTACTATACAAATAATAATATGAATTTTACTGAAGCATTAAATAATTATTCTCTTTTAAATTATGTAAAATAATAAATAATAAAAAAATATTTAATTACATTATTTAATTTTAATAACAAATTTGAACATGAGGTGAAATTTAATGTGAAATAGGTAAAATATTTTCTTCTAGGTTAAAAATTTGCTAAAATAAACACATCAAGACATTTAAATTATATTAGGTAAAAAAACCTAAATTTGATCTAAAATGTGATGTTAATATTTTTCTTTCTGAAAAACGAACTAATAAATTTTAATTTAATGGTGCCATTTTATTAAGTTATGAAATCATTAATGCAAAATTTGTTGTTAAAACAGCAGTCGCAGAACTAACTATAAACTTATATAAATGAAATTTTCATCAGTCATACATAAATTGCGTCTTGTAGCACACATGCTTGAAATTTTGATTGCTATTCCATTTGCGTCATTCATACATCCTTTAAAAATAAAATGAAATACAAGCTTTTGAGTTCCCCTATGGATGTTTTTTTTATATATATATATATCCATCGTTGAACAGCCGACCCAATTTTGGGTTTACGACTACAAATGTTCAGCTCCACAGCCTTCTAATCTTGCACCAATCTTTTGCAGAGGGGATGGCTTCAGTGCTCTGATAGCCCGAAGACTTGGATGCTAAGTCAAGCACTCTCCGATTGAACAGTTTTAAAAGGACCGATATCACTTTGGTCCTTTTGCAAGCTGATCAAAGTGGCCACCCATCTGATCATTGACTGCTGTGTTTCTACTGGGAAGAGTGGGTTAATGATCAGTCCAAAGTGAGATTTATTTTTTTAGAATAATGTAGTCGAAGAAAATCATTTAAAAATTAGATGTATTTAAAAATAACTTTAAAAAAAATTTAATACCATAGTGATTACATAATACTCACTGTGAAAATAATGTGCAAAAAATTAAATAGCTGACGAAGGATTTTATAATGTAGATTTGTAATTGCATAAAAGCTATGAGCATTTTATGAAATAAAATATATGCATCGCAATCATAAGTGAGAATGATTCTTACCAAATGGAGGCAGGAGTAAAAATGAAGGTGTGATTTTTATTATTTCACCAATGCAACATAGAAGTAGATGGAATGTTGCAAGTAAATCTTGTCTATGCCATAAAACTTTAGCTTTTGCAACTATAAACAACATCCAGCAAAGAACTTTGTGATTCTTTAGTACTGCATTCACTTTCAAATCTTTATTACTTTTAGAAGTTTGGCCAACGTCCATGCTGGAGTAAAATATTTCTCCCATCATACTATAATGAATTAATAGACTTTATTCAAAATATGAAGATGAATGTACATTTAGCCTAATTTTATGATACAGAAGAAGCGAAATAAAATTTAAAAAATGACCTTTTTTTTTAAGCCAAGAAGATACATTGAAAATTGAGGGTTCAATTAAATATCTTTCATTTTGTTAAAAACTGATTTTAACCAATGAATTTTTTCCATAAAAAAGTTGCTAAACTTTAAATAAAAAAATAAAAAGAAGAAACAAATATTTTTATAAGTAGTATGAACGGATTTGTATTTTCGATTGTATTTTTGGCAGTTATAGATATTAATTTTCAAGTAGTTTTTAAATATCCCGATATATTTCAAACGATGCGGAAAATTCGAATCATGCATTTGAGTATTTTCTTTTTAAGGCAACAATTCTATCAAATTTTTGGCAGTTATTGCTATTGATTTCTTCATAGTTTTTAAATCTGATGCTTTTTGTAACATATATTATTTATTACAACAACCTAATCTTGAAACGAAACACGCATTTGAAGAGTCCGATTCGTGTGATTTCGCCATCAATCTTTTTTCAGCAATTACTGCTAAGTCTTTCATAATTTTAAATTATTATTTTTTTTATTGTGATGATTATTTGCAAAATGAGAAGGAAATAGTTTGTGCATTATCCTCCCTAACAAAATGCGAGAATATCACCCATAATATCAAAATAAAAAATTATTACATGTTCAATTAAATATATATAGGTATATATATAGTTTTTTTTCTTCTGTAAACTGCTTTTGTTATTTTAAATTAGTAACATAAATGTTTGTTTAAAAACATCTAGAAAAAAGATATTAGTGCTAGAGAGTTTTGTCACAGATAGCTCAAAAAAGTTCTGACAAAGGGCTCCAAAGAAGCATTATCTGGAGTCATAGAGATTTGCATACTATGAGAATTATTCACTGCATCAAGTAATTTTCATCGATACTGGCAAAAACATTTCAAATGGGCACTTTTTAAATAAGATAAATAAGTTTTTAAATATCTAAGTTGTTTTGCCTGTTCTGAAGCCTACATAATTCTTTACAGCAAGATGGTATATATCAGGGGTGATTGCGAGCCGAACTCAAAAATCCCGAAACTTTCTTGAGTAAAATCATTCGTGATGCATTTCAAAAAATTATAGTCTTTATAAATTTAAATCATTGATATCTTCACAACATGAAATTCTAATGAAATTAAATGCAGCAAAACTTAAAATTAATATTTATGTATAAGTTTACTTTTATCTCTAATCACATTTATTATTCTACCAGAAAAAATATTTACAAATGAAAGAGATGCCAGGTATGAATTCTAGTTCCAATATTTTTAAATAAATTATACAGAATTTTTATACATAAATGTGATTCATGATTTCTTGAAACATCTGGACCTTGGAGCACAATCATCTCTGATATATATAGATTAAAAAAGTTTTGCCTTAACTACAAGACCCTTTAACTGTGACTTTTTTTTACTTTCCTTGGTAAAAAAGCTACAAAAAGCATTGTTTAAACAAAACAAAAAATACGTAAATAAAAACTAGAAGACATATTCTAGTTTTTATTGTACTGTTTAAAAAGTAAATTTTTTGTCAAATTAATGAATAAGTTTTTAAAAAAATAGTCATACCTTTCAAACTTGTCATAAAGAGCAATAACAATTAAATATTTTCTTTCTAGTGCTATGAAATATAGTTTGGCTTTCTCACTAAGGTTGTAATTTGTTTTTAGAAAACGGGTGACAGAAAAGAAATCCATAATGCTAAAAAGAAAAAAATAAATAAGTGATTCAATCTAAATGAAGATAGGGTATACTTTGTGCTGTGATTATAAAACAAAACAACATAAATAAAGAAAAGTAACAGTAGGATCTTAACCGGACAAACAGTAATACATTTAATTTCTTCATTTTGTACTATGAGGTCCTTGTCCAACCATGGCTGTTTTAATAGTATACAAGGCCTCCGGACACAAAAATGTTGTAGATCTCTATAACATGGCATAATGTTTAAAAAAAAGCTAAAAAAAATTCACATACATAAAATAATTAATTTTTAAGATATTAAATAATTTTCACAAATTTAAACACATTTTTATTACCCCAAAGACTTAAATAAAGCATTTTTAAACAATGCATAATTTTAAAAAAAAATTATGCTAACCAGTTATAAACCTCAAATAATAAAATAATTTTCCAAACCATGGAATTTAATTAAAATAATTAAATTAAATAAACGTAAAGATATAACAAATATTAAAAAATTCAAAAGGTATGAATTATTTTGTCAAATTAATTTGCTGAATGAACTGTTATCGAAACATTTTTCAATGCCAAAGTACCTAAAACTTTCACGGGTACCTAAAACTTTCATTGGAACGTAGAAAAATATATTTTGGTTGCCGTTATAAGTTTTCTTGGTAATAAACTATTCAAATTATTGGTGTTTGCATGGTAATCAATCACTATTTGCAGAAAAAAAAATTCACACTTTATACAATAGAATATATTTATATTTAAATATATATAAGGTAATGTTGTTTATTTCTAGCTTCTTTTTAATACTATTTATAAAAAGTAAGATTCTCAAGGGCCCCCTGGGCGAGCCCATGCGTAAAGACATTACCGTGCCCAACTATCTCACACTTGCATCTTATCTGCCATCTATTTTTATTTTTGCAGATGTTTGTCTTGTTACTTTTCTGTCATTTTAGGTTTAAACACTGTCCTCAGGTCACCCTTATAGAACCGTAACTATGTTATGTCCATTTCTGTACTTTTATTTGAGCTTTATTCTTATTGTTTTGCTTTATTAATTTAATGTTCAAAAAAGTTGATTATTTAAATACAACATTTATTATTTATAAATATTTTACTATAACACACATTCAGTATTTCAAAATAATGATAACATAATAACTGTATTTTAACATTAGAAATTAACAGCTTTAAAATTAAATGAAGACTAATCCAATCAAATTATTACAGGATAGAATATCATATGTTCTGAGGAACCATGAAGTACAAAGAGTGCTTTTTTATTTTCATGGTTTAATATTTAGCAGAATTATGACAGCATATTATAAAAATTAACATAAGAAAAATATTAAAGCACTGTGGGAAGAAAAAAAAGAATACTTTTGAATCGACTTCCGTTAGAAGTATTCAGATGATAACATAACTGTATTTTAACATTAGAAATTAACAGCTTTAAAATTAAATGAAGACCAATCCAACATTCAATCCAATCAAATTATTACAGGATAGAATATCACATGTTCTGAGAAATCATGAAGTACAAAGAGTATTTCTTTATTTTCATGGTTTTATATTTAGCAGAATTATGAGAACATGTTACAAAAATTAACGTAAGAAAAACATTAAGTCAATGTGCGGAAAAAAAATGAATACTTTTGAATAGACTTTCGTTAGAAGTATTCAGGTGATAAGATAATAACTGTATTTTAACATTAGAAATTAACAGCTATAAAATTAAATGAAGACCATAGATTTTCTGCTTTAAAGATAATCAAGAGCATAAGACAATAAGATAAAGAAATCAAAAATAAATTACCTAATATCAGCTTTTTCAAGCAGTTTTGAAACTGTTATCTGAGGGAGGGTATCCTTTTTAGAGTTCAAACCTTTAGAACTAAAATCAATATAAATAAGTATTAATGTACAATCACATAATCAAAACAAAGATGGAAAGTTAGTAACTTACTTTGAAGGATTTGTTTACCAGAAAAAATTAATAACATAACTGATTTTAAATGTATATTTATAAAAAAAGTCTTTTATACTCTTTTTAAGGACATATTATAAATACTATAGCCTTTAAGAGGACACTATACCGCTGAAGTAACTTTTCATTGCAAATTCTCTTTCACCTACATAAGAAATTTAAAGTTTACAGTGAGTTCAGTTAACTTGAAATAAACCAGTAAGTTTCAAATGCTGTAAAAAATCTTTTCTAAGTATCAAAATGCAAACAAGTATCAAAATGGGGAGATCATGGAGTGGAGAAGTAACTTTATTTTTCATAAGATATTTTGAAATCTTTTTTCCAGCATTTGAAACATAATTACTCATTCTAGGTTTATCTTAACTCTTTTTTTCTCTTATCTTTAAAATAACAATGGAGATAAAAGAGAGTTTGCCTTTAAAAGTTTCTCCTGAGCAGACTTCGATAAAATGAAATACTTTCTGCAAACACAAAATTTCAAGTAAAAAACTTTCTACCCACATTGATTCACTTTTGTAACTAGTTTCAAACCTTTTGTTGCCACCTCATTTTGGTGAAATTTGTTTGAAAATCACTCCTTTTTTAAAATTTTTTTTTTCATTTTTATAGAACTCTATAGTGATTCTTTTGACAGGAATACCAAAAAACACAGATGTGGTGGCTCAGGGGATAGAGCGTTTGCCTTCCAACGAGGTGAACCGGGTTAGGATCCCAGCGATGGCTGTTCAATAACAGTTATAAAAATCCGTCTGCACCCTTGAAAGTACGAGGGTTGTCCATAATATAAGGTTCCCAAGGAGCTGCTAACGCTAGGAATGCTGTTAAGCGGGATTTATTGAGACTGGCATGTAACTTGGCTCCCCTTTCCCCAGTTTCCGCCCCGGCGAGGTATCTACAACGTTAATTCTTGTCTTGGTAGCCGTGAAAGATGGAGCTTCCATTTGTTTCTCACGGCAGGTGCGAATTACGCTCTGTGATTTGTTTGTGAGTTGTTTTTGTCCGTCAAGGACAAAAAACGTTCCTCCGGTGGACATTCATTCCCAACTCTGTGAGGCGTACGAGGAAGAGTGTATGAGTGTGCAACATGTGCGCAAATGGTGCAGAGAATTCAAAGACGGACTTACAGACGTCCATGACGAACAACATTCTAGCCGGCCATCGTTTTCGGACGAAGCGATTGCGAAAGAAGCAAAGCTGGAAGATCGAAGGGTGACGGTTCGGGACCTCAGCGAGATGATCCCTGTTGTCAGTAAGTCCTGCATTCACAACATTTTGAGAGACCGCTTAGGATATGCCAAGGTTTGGGCAAGGTGGGTTCCGAAAATGCGGACAGATGACTATGACAACAAACGGCAACATGCGGAAGCCGCCTGCAAATTTCTTCATGCCTACGAAACCGATGGCAAGGAATTTTTGGACTCTGTTGTCACTGGGGACGAGATCTGGGTCCACTACATGACACCGGAAACAAAAGAACAATCCCGCTAGTGGAAGCATCCAGGCTCGCCAAAGCCGAACAAGTTTAAGCAAAATCTGTCTGTTTTAAGCTATCTTCGCGGAGCGGCAGCAGAGTTCTACGACTCAGGCATAAAGAAGATGGTACACCGCATGTAAAAATGCATTGATCTAAACGGCGATTATGCCGGGAAAAAAGAGGGAAGTCTAAGCTTTCCAAACATGTATTATTCAATGCCAATAAACATGTTTTTCATTGTGAAAATTCGTTAGGAACCTTATTTTATGGACAATCCTCGTACAAAGTTACAAATCTCCTCCCCACAAGCCCCTCCCCTCTTAATTGCTTTCATAACATCTTTAATGGCCATTAATTAAAGATTTAGTTAGTAGTATTAAGTATTTAGCTTTGTAGACAGACTTAGATAAAATATAAAAAAAATCTGTGAACTAAACTAAACTCAATGGTGCGGCAGCTTATAGAGGGCCAAGGCCTACTGTGCCCATCTCAGTTTTCTTGGCCTTGGGCTCAGGGGTGCAGGAGCAGATGTTCCGGTTAGGTGGTCAGTCGAACGCAGAACCCCCAGTGTTTAGTTCCCAAACATGCTTGGTACTCATTTGTCGACCCACTGAAGGGATGAAAGGCTGAGTCAACCTATCCCAGACCAAGGATCAAACCCAGGACCTGTGGCACTGGAGCGCAAAGCGCTACCACTCAGCCACCGGGCGTCACTTTCTTTGAACACAAATTGTCAAATAAAAACCTGTCTGCGAGTAATTGATTAACTCTTGTAACTAGGAATGAGGACCAAAAAACTTCTTGTTATCCGCCCTACATTTATTTATAAAAATTAAAACTGATAAAACAAACATCAGGGGTCTGTCTAGGTCTTTTTTAAAGGTACCTATTTTGTGAAAATTTAGACATAATTTGTGAAATTTAAAAATATTATTAAAAAATCAACTCAAAAATATGGTAAAATAAGAAAATATTTTCGAAAATATTTAAATATTTTTCGAAAATATGTTAAAAGTATTTTGTGAAACTACCGTTTTTCTTTAAATTGAATTTGTGAAACTACCGTTTTTCCTAAAATTGAATTTGTGAAGCTACCGCTTAACGGCAGTAAATTTGCCCCGGACATATCCCTGAACGTGAGAGTATTGTAAAAAACAAAGATTAAAGTGTGATAAAAGTAAATTATCTTACTATAAATCCTGAGCAGCAATGAATGTTGCACACACAAAGAGAGCTTTCTTGTTAATCTGTAAGATATAAATGATATTATTGTGAATATTTAAATATTTATCAAAACTTCATTTCAAATTATATTCTTCATATAGCAAGCTATTTATTTTGCAAAAGAAACAAATACATAGAACCAATCTGAAAATTTATTTAAATTTTTTTTTTTCTATAAGCTTAGTAATAATCACTTTTGCTTCTATTCTGTGATTGTTATAACTCAATTTTTTAATAATTACTTATCCTATCAGTCAAATAAATGATATATTTCATTTTATGAAATTGAAATTCATGATTTTTAAGAATTAAACAGCAGCATTGTTAAGCAACTGAAATGTAAATATAGATAAAATATTTGAAATGTATAGCGTCCGTCAAGGACTACATTTAGTAAAAATTTATTCAATTTATGNAAACAAAACTAAACTCAGTGGCGCGACAGCCCATAGAGGGCCAAGGCCTACTGTGCCCATCTCAGTTTTCTTGGCCTTGGGCTCAGGGGTGAAGGAGCAGATGTTCCGGTTAGGTGGTCAGCCGAACGCAGAACCCCCAGTGTTTAGTTCCCAAACATGCATGGTACTCATTTATCGACCCACTGAAGGGATGAAAGGCTGAGTCAACCTTGCCCGGCCCAAGGATCAAACCCAGGACCTGTGGCACGGAAGCGCGACCACTCAGCCACTGGGCGTCACTTTCTGTGCACACAAATTGTCAAATAAAAACCTGTCTGCGAGTAATTGATTAACTCTTGTAACTAGGAATGAGGACCAAAAAACTTCTTGTTATCCGCCCTACATTTATTTATAAAAATTAAAACTGATAAAACAAACATCAGGGGTCTGTCTAGGTCTTTTTTAAAGGTACCTATTTTGTGAAAATTTAGACATAATTTGTGAAATTTAAAAATATTATTAAAAAATCAACTCAAAAATATGGTAAAATAAGAAAATATTTTCGAAAATATTTAAATATTTTTCGAAAATATGTTAAAAGTATTTTGTGAAACTACCGTTTTTCTTTAAATTGAATTTGTGAAACTACCGTTTTTCCTAAAATTGAATTTGTGAAGCTACCGCTTAACGGCAGTAAATTTGCCCCGGACATATCCCTGAACGTGAGAGTATTGTAAAAAACAAAGATTAAAGTGTGATAAAAGTAAATTATCTTACTATAAATCCTGAGCAGCAATGAATGTTGCACACACAAAGAGAGCTTTCTTGTTAATCTGTAAGATATAAATGATATTATTGTGAATATTTAAATATTTATCAAAACTTCATTTCAAATTATATTCTTCATATAGCAAGCTATTTATTTTGCAAAAGAAACAAATACATAGAACCAATCTGAAAATTTATTTTAAAATTTTTTTTAATTTTCTATAAGCTTAGTAATAATCACGTTTGCTTTTATTCTTTGATTGTTATAACTCAATTTTTTTAATAATTACTTATCCTATCAGTCAAATAAATCACATATTTCCTTTTATGAAATTGAAATTCATGATTTTTAAGAATTAAACAGCAGCATTGTTAAGCAACTGAAATGTAAATATAGATAAAATATTTGAGATGTATAGTGTCCGCCAAGGACTACAATTAACGTTGTAAATTTTTGTTAAAATAATATTTAAAATCAACACATGAAATAATTTTATGCCATTCTTTAATTTTCATTATCTTATTCAGCAAAAAAAAATACACATAATCATTGCTATTAAGGTTACAAATGTCATTAAAACACATAGCTGAAGATAAAAATTAAATAATAATGATGATCTATGAAATAATGATCTACAGTATATGTTTTATTTCTGAACTGCAAGTATGTTTCTGTAATATAGCGAGGCATTGACGAAAAAAGGGGCGGAGAAAAATGTGAAGCGCGACACTTTCAGACAAAGGGATGGAGAGAGTCAAAAATATTGAAAAAATGTGACATTTATGAATGGCCTCCAAATATATACATAATAAAATTATTAATACATATAAAAAACAAGCAAATATTAATGCAAAAACAAAAAACTTTCATAGTTTACTTTGTTTCCATGTTGTAAATAAACTGGAGCCACTTCCTTTAAAAAACTCACAGCCTCTTCAATGAGCTGTTCGGTCAGTTTCAGATCCGAGTGAAATGTCCGAAAATCACAAAGTAAGAAATCCATAGATTCTTAGTTAAATAACAGACTGTAAGTAAAGCACAATCAAATTAAATATAAAGGTAAAATTTCATAATGGACACTTAATAAATAATAATCAAAACTTCATTGATAATCAGCTTTTTTATAACTGAAAATCAACCTTAAATTAAAAATATTCATATAAATGATACATTCAATTGAAATTTTTTTATAGATAATTAATGTAATTCCCTAAACTTTCCTTATGAATCACCAGAATAAAAGCTCAGATCTTTTTTTTTTAATTGTAGATGCACTTTAGACTTGAATACATGATCATTTAATTGGATACAGAGCTCATTCTAGAAGGGGTAATCAGGGCACAGCACCCTGTTGCCTTTTTAGTCAAAAGGATCAACCCTGTTGCCCACCCCCTGAAGTAAGTTAGTGCCCTGATGTAATAGACTCCATACTCTTTTTGTCCTTTCTTTCCTCAACCCTTCTTCATTTTATCCCCAAACTCTACAATGGATTTCTTATACTTTTGTTATTTTAAACTCTTTTTTATTAGTTTGTCATCACTGCTAATACAGATTTATATGGCAAACAAAAAACAGCAATCACGCCCCCCTTGTTGCACCTGTCTTTGAAAGTTTGCAGTTACTTCCACCCTCTCTCAGAGCAGAGCAGAAAAATTCAACAGGGGTCTCTCAGTTGTCCAGCAAAGAATTCATCATTGAGGAAAGGGATGAAGTTGCCTTTCTCTAATTCTTGGTAGTATACTTTTTTTTTACTTATTGACAATGTTTTTTGCCTTTTTAGAATAATAATGCCTTTTTTTTAAACTTTTGCACCCTGCCCTTTTTTCTGCCTAGAATGAGTTCTGTGGATATAAATTCAAAATTTATCAAGAGATGATGAAACTAAACTAAACTAATAGTAACTAAATTTGTTTTATGAACCATTAGAATAAAAATTCTTTTAAATGCCTTAATATACTACAGATTAGATATTAAATTAAATGTATAGAGCCTATATGGTTCTTCAGTTAACTAGATAACTATAAAGGAATGAGAGTCAAATTAAAATCTAAAACCTATATAGATCCTTTCTTTTTTTAAACTGTAGATCCATTTCTCTCTATAAATATATGATTAAATAAAATATAAAATTAAATTTATCAAGAGATTTTGAAAGTAAGTAACAAAACTTGAATTATGAATCATTAAAATGAGAACTTTTCTTAAATATATTAACATATAAGTACAAATTTGATATAAAAACTAAAATAAATGGAACCTATAAGATTTAGCAATTAAATAGATGACTGTAAATTAATGATAATCATATAATAAACAAAAATTTCAGTTAATATTAAGATTCTGATTGATTAGTACATGATAATCAAATTATACAATTAGTTAAAATGCATGAATAGATTATGAATGCAATTCAATTAAATTGTTTTATCAAATATTAGATTAAAAGCTCTCTTGATTATAACTATTAATAAATGATAAAATGATACATTAATATCAACAGCAAGAGAATTTTTATTCTTATACTTTATAAAGCATAAATATATCACATGAAAATAAATGAAAAATATATAAATTCTAACTACAATAAACTATAAATTTTTAAGTAAGCAGACTACATAACTAAATCAAGTAAACAGACTCAGGGCCTAATTTAAAGTCTACAACACCCAAATACACAAACAGTTTACATTAAAACCTTTAAATAAGAAAACAAAATAATGGAAATTAAAATGAAAACAAAGAACATAATAGAATTTTTAACTAAATAAAATAATTTTTAAAAAATATATAGAGAGAGAGCACTGTATTTAAGCATTTTATTTTTCGTTAAAAACGCAAATATGAATGCAAGATATGCAGAAAGTGAGGAAAGAGTGGGTTGCAAGCAATTCCTAACATCCACTTAATTCAACATTAAGCATAAAGTAAAGCAAGAAACAATTGTTAAAATAATATTGCTCTTTAAAAATATTCATGGTACAGAGACATTTAAAAAGAACTATAGTTTTTTTTTCTTCCAACTTTTCTTAAATTAAAACAACAATTGATGCTTTTAGGAAAGCTGAACTTGGTAATTTTTTAACCCCTTCCCCAATACTACATTAATAAAAAATTTCTTTATAATAAACACTAAAACACAGCACCTAAATCTGACATATCAAAAACACCCAATATTTAATGCAACTGAACTATTTTCGAACAAATATGCACCTCTTTAAATAAAAATAGTATTACTCCCAAAAAATTAACTAAAATCTCGTCGGAAAATTTTCTTAAGGGTGAAAATAAAATTCATATTTATGGATGAATAATTGGTACATGTATTAATTAGTATAAAAATGATATTAATTGCAAATATATATTCATTAATAATCGTTTCCCAAACATTTTCCCCTTCGGCAAGAAATCGAAGAAGCGAGAAATATATATGCATACAAATCTTTGTTTACAAATATTATTGATTTTTAACTCACTGAGGTTTATTGAAAATAATAGCTTAAAACTTCTAAATAATCCACAATTCAGCAATCATACTTGATGTTGTTTATATTAACACACTACTAATATAGTGCAATCATTAACATATTCTCAGCGATTAGCAACTATTTTGGACGAATCACATTACGAAATGCACGGGAGCCCACTGAAAAAGCGCGCGAAACAAGTGCACAAGGTTAGTAAAATGCGCTCGAAACCCAAAACAAGAAAAAGATTCGCCGTTCATCGCCTACGGCGAAAACGTAACAAATATTTAGAGCAAAGTTTTTCTTAGGTGTTTCATCGTTTTATTTTTGTTCATAGTAAATATTTAAGGAATTTAAGACACTATGTTATTATAAAATAATAGTTTTTCCCTATAAATTGATCTAAAATCAAAGGTAAAAAAGCAAAGAAGATTCCCAGCTGATTTAATTAAAACTGTTAACTGTAGCCATAACTGTTGGAAAATAAATAAACATCTCCCAGTGAAAGGTTGCTCGCTAGAATGTTTTCGTTAAGATTTGGGATTAAAAGTTGTCCCACAAAGTAATTTATTTGAATATTGAATTTCGATAATATGTATAGCTTTTAGTTATTATATTTGAATTTATTGCAGCTCTTTTCCTTATCAACGCTTGTGATTTAAAATGGTTCAATTTATTTAAAATACATAATAACACATGAGTGTGTACTAATAAATTATGAGCAATCAAGTGTGTACTAATAAATTATGAGCAGTCAAGTGTGTACTATTAAAACATGAGCAATTAAGTGTGGACTACTAAAAAATTTTAAATTTTCTATTTCTAGAGCTATATAAATGTATACAACTTTTTAATTTGATGTGATTCACATAATGGGAGATATCTTGGAAGTAATTTTGACTTATTTTGGTCATATTTGAACGTTAGGACATACCTGTTTATTTAAAGAACAAAAAGTGTTAAAGTTTACAATAAAGTGTCCCTCTTACTTTGGCAATATTTTATGTTTTTACTAAGAAAAGAAAAAATAAGAAATCGTAATGATACTGTTCGAAATATAAAACTTTCATATTCTGTGCCCTCATTTCATATTCAGTTCATATCAAATGCCCCGAGTTACAGTACCTAATCCAAGGAAAACCCTATCAAAAGATATCTTTGTGTTACAATGTAAAATGAAATGGAGGAATAACATATTCTAATAAAAACGCTGATAATGTTGTTAATTAAGAGGGACAGTAAAAAAAATTCTGAAGCATAAGTTGCATATTCAAAGGAAAGAAATTTTACAGGGTTAGTCTACACAAAAGAATTAAAAGCTGAACAATCAAATACAGTCATTGCTACATTGCAATTTACCTGCGTATTTTATTAGCAACTATTTTTTCTTCTTCTTTGGTGCTGTAAAAATGATAACTGGGAAATTTCGTTATTCTGATCTGTGGCAGAATTATCGCCAAGTCTGGGTAACTTCCAGGCAACAGCCGGCAAGAAATTATTTTTTAAAAAAATCACAGAAAGGGACCAACTCTAAATGTATAACTAGTAGCCTCCCCCGTGCGAGGATATTGCCATATCATGATCTGTCGCGCCAACTACAATAGGTGCCAGATAGATTTTAAACTTGCAATTTTTTTTAAAAAAAACATGTAGATGTTTACCCGCGAGTGGCTACGAGTTATACCTTTCGAGTTGGTCCCTTTCTGTGATGTTTTTTTTAGTTTCTCACTGACCACTGCCCGGAAGTTTCCTAGACTTGGCGATTATTCTGCCACAGATCACGATACGGAAGTCTCCCCCAAATCACNTGTTTACCCGCGAGTGGCTACGAGTTATACCTTTCGAGTTGGTCCCTTTCTGTGATGTTTTTTTTAGTTTCTCACTGACCACTGCCCGGAAGTTTCCTAGACTTGGCGATTGTTCTGCCACAGATCACGATACGGAAATCTCCCCCAAATCACCATCATGAAAAATATATTTTTCTGAAAAGAGTTAGCACAAAGAATGATGACTGACTGTAAAAATATATTTGTAAAATTGATATTTATTGACATTCTTTAGACATCAAAAGTAACGACTTGTCTTAAAGTTATTTTCAAACTGAAATGTTTTAGTGCAAAATACAACTAAAGACCACTAATTTTGTACCTTGCTAAAGGTACAGCATGTATACTTGATTGCAATTTTTGCATGTCAGACAATACTATTGTGTAATATTTATTAGTTGCTTAGAAGCATATAAAAAGTTTTGTTTACATATATCTTTTACTTCAAGTCTTAGAAAAATATTTTGTTAGAATGTTTTTAATAATTTATTAGTATATAATTTATGTGTGTATTAATTATTTCTTTTTATAAGTTGTGTTTATAGTTAGCAAAAATTATACAAAATTATGTGTTTGTAAAAATGTTATAAATTAATACTTTTTAATGGTAACACATTATGATCAAAAGTTATTTTGTCACTGAAAAGGTAATAATTTTTGCTGATTTTTTCTAATTTTGCTCCTTAGGTCACCATGTTGGCGATTAAGGAGTACACGTATGTATATTTTGTTTTATTCTTTTTTTCAGTATGTTTATAAATCAGACAGATTTAAAAAAATATTGTCTTCTTTTTTTTTTTGAAAATTTTCTTTAATTTAGGTTGAAGGGAACCTTTTAGTAATCTAAATTTTTGGTTTTTTCCGCACTAACATTCCTAAAAATATATCATAAGCACACAAATTACTTGTGTGTATTTTTTCTGTACAATTGCATTAGAAGCAATAATCACACATATATAGATAATTTAAATTTTTCTCCTTCCAAGTCTTATTTGAAAGCATTTTCAGTAAATAATGAACTTCATAAATGAAATTATGAAAATACTTTTTTTTTTCTTGGAATCTCACTTAATTTTAGATTTCAATTGTTTTTTGTCCTTTTTTTCACTAACTAAAGCAATTTTTTTTTGCACTTTTTCGAAAAGCTTTAAGCTCAAATTTGTTAAATAATTTTTGAGTCAATTTCCGTATATGTAATCACCAATTTACAAATTTATTATTAAAATAATGTGAATTAGACAATAAGGGGTTAGTCAACATCTAATAATAAATGTTAAGCATCATATGTTTGTTAAAATAATCTGTGACTTCCTGGGAACTTAATCCAAATTTAAATAAAAAGTATTTGTTAATTACATTTTATAGATAATGACCCAAAGAAAGAAAGAAATTCTCTGCTAAAAATGTTTTTCTTCTATATCATCCATTTTGGCTGTTTAAAATGTCTACCTCTTGGGTTTGCAATATACTAAAGATACATATAACATAGAATCCCCGAGAAATTTAGTGCATAAGATATTATATCCTGCAATTCTTGAAATGAGACTGTCTTTTTTTAGCCAATATTAGAATATGATTCATATCATTTTGACTAAATCCTCAGACAGTCCATTTTTTCCTTATAAATCTCAAAGGCTAAATGAATAATCAGGCTCATTGCAAACAACCACCGATTTTGTAATGTTTCAGGCTAATTAAAAAGTCTACTGTATTTTCTTATGTGCCTTACACTTTTTAGGCTTATTACAGTCAGTCACGCCTTTAAGCTTATTAGAAATATATCATTTTTACTCAATCAGCCTAATTTATTTCAGTCAACTTGCAATTTTCCCAGAGGGCTGAATACTTATTATAAATAGCCTTATTAAAGATTTTTTGCAGTTACTTTAAGTGAATTCAGTCTGAGTCATTCTTTTTTAAACATTTTCTGTTTAGCTTATAGGCTGATTATAATAAGCCTAAAAATATCAGTCAGATTAGAATATGCTGTAAACATTTCTAACTAACCTGATGCATTGCCAACAACATTTGTGAAAAGTCAATATTTTCAATTAACCTATTACAAGAATTTTGAATAAGAATAGCTTTAAAAGTACGGACAAATATTTTTAATTTAATACTTTGTAAAAGCAATTTAATTTTATTACAGATGCTGCGCCATTAAGAAAAGTCCTAATAGCTAATAGAGGAGAAATTTCTTGTCGTATTATACACTCTTCCAAAAAGTTAGGCCTGAGAACAGTGGCTGTTTATAGTGAAGCTGATAAAAATAGTTTGCATGTTTCTTTAGTAAGTCAATAAATTTATTATATAATTTAAATAAGCATTAAGTATGTTTCTTTTTTGGGTTTTAGAACAGTTGCTGTTAACTGATCAAAATAATTTTGTATGTTTCTTTAATTATCTACTTGTTTTTCATCAATGTGTTTAATATATTTACTATATCTATCTGTTATGCATGTTAAATGTGTAAAAATTATGTTTCATATTACTCAGATTAATTTATAACTGTTTTTTTTTTTAACTTGTTGCCAACTATTTATATAAAAAAAAATTATTTTACTACTTTTTAGTTTAAAGAAGTACAGAAACATTTATCTCACAATCAACACAACTAAGATCAAGAGTAGAGAGATTCAAGATCATGAGTATCAGAAAAAAGTTAATTAAAGCAAAATATTTTAAAAATAATTTGACATTATTGTGTGTATGTTCTTAACATTTAGAAAAAAATATTTTGAATCATAAACAGCTTCTTGTCATGAACTTTTTAAGCTATACATACTTTATCTATAGCCTAAATAACCTCAAAGCATGTCTTTATTTCTTATCAAACATAAATAACAAAAAACAAAATTGGAAGTACAGTAGGGAACCGATTATCCGGAACGATCGGGGCCATCGCTATTCCGGATAACTGATTTTTCCAGTGATTAAACCCAACTAAAAAAAATAAATTTTGGAAATAAACTTAAAAAGAAGAAAAAACGATGAAGTAATACACTAATGATTATTTCCAAAATGATGGTAAGGTAAACATCTTTCAAAAAAGAAAGAAAAATCCTAAAATCTTATGAATTTTAAAAATGGCGGAAAATTTATTGAATTTCGTTCCGGTTTTTTGGTTTTCTGATTTCCGGATAACGGGTTCTGTACTGTAATCAATATTTTAAAAAAAAAGTTTCTTTCAAAAATTTATTTTGTAAACTTTTTTTTTTTACACTGTTTAAATGAAGTTTTTTAAATTAATAAATACATAATAGACTAAAAGTAAGCCTTATAATAGACTAGATACCATTTTTCATGTCCTTAAGAAAATTGAGCTCTTAACACATCAATGTCATATAGCTCGAAAAACTGATAGATAAAAGGTTCCCTTAACTGGTATCCTGGTGTCATAAAAAGACTATAACAGTAACTGCAATTTTTTTTTAATATTGTTATTGCTTTCTTCTTTGATATTATTCTTAAATAATTTCATGAATAATGAATTATTGATTAGATATAAATATATTTACAGAGCTAAATTATTAAAAGCTAAAAAAAAAAAAAAAAAAAAAAAANTTAATAAAAAAAAAAAAAAAAAAAAAAAAAAAAAACTTCTAACTCTCGAAACTCTGGAGACCCTTTCACCAAACTCTAAGGTTCTATGGAGCAACCTTTTAAGTAATGCTGACCTATAGCATTCTGCTATTATGAAATAGGAATGACTTTGACATTGCCATTTTTTAATTTAACTTTTTATCTCCTCATAGGCAGATGAAGCATATTGTTTGGGGCCAGCTGCATCGCAAGAAAGTTACTTGAATCAATATAAAATAATAGATGTTGCCCGGAGTTCAAATACTGATGCCATTCACCCAGGTTATGGATTTTTGTCCGAAAATTCTGAATTTGCCGATTTGTGCCAAAAAGAAGGCCTCATATTTGTTGGACCTCCATCATCTGCTATACGAGACATGGGCATCAAAAGGTAGATAAATTTCAAATTTTGAAAGTTCATATTTTTCAGACTCACATTCTGGTGATTTTTGTTTTTTTTTTTTGTTTTTGTATCTTTTTATTTTTAGAATTAAGTATAGTTCCTAACACTATTTGATTTTGTCTTATTCAGTGAGCAATAATATTTGCATTTGCTGAAGTTAAGCTGCTTTCAGCTTTTCTGTCATTAAAATTTGCATTTAACTCACTGTTACATATGTGGGATGAGAATACCTTGGGGTTTAAATGCTTTAATTGTTTGATATTGTTTAAAGTTTTAGTAAAAAGAAAAATTTTGCAGTTTTTATTATTGTTTTTTTTTCTCTAACTTTTTCCATAATTTTTCAATTTTAATGAATTTTTTTTTTAAATCAAAAAAAAAATATTTTATTTCAGAAAATAAGATTTAACTCTTGGTAACTTTTTGAATTAGGCAAATTTGTAAAAAAAATTTCTACTACCCTTTCAGGCACATACCTGCCTAGTCTCCTGTTTTTTAATGAATACTCCTGTATTTTACGACTATCTCCTGTTCACCCGTATATTTTCAAATGTCTTTGTATTTCTTGAAGAAGAAAAAAATTTTAAAAATTGCCAACAAAATATCTGTTGATAGCAAAAATATTTCTCTTATCCTCAATAGATGGTGCTATTGCCAGTTCTACTGTCTGTTGAGTATTTATAGTTTAAGTTATTATAAATAATGGTTTAAAAAAATCTTCTTCAGATTAAGATTTATATACATATTTTTTACTTTGCTAAATGTAAGTGCTTTTATTTCTAATTTTAAATTTCTCTTTTTGACTAACATGATTATGCATGATGTATCACAACTTTACCCGTAGCCTAAAAAATTTTGTCCTAGTAGAGTCTCCGTTATTTTATTCCTCCAATGTTGCCAGATAAGCAGACAGAAGAGAAAATTTACTTCCCTCATGTTCAGAGTTTTATGTTCAGAATTTCCTTATTTATTCTTACTTATATTTATTTGTTTGACTAATTGTTTGTTTCATTTGACTAATTTATTATTTCATTTCATTCATTAAAATGTTTTCTTCTGAACTTAGTTACCGTTTTTAAAACTTTTACGAAGTTTGAAATTTATCAAAGTTTAAAAATACTACAAATTTAAAATTAGGTAACTAAGTTCAGTAGAAGGCATTTCAATGAATAAAATTAAGCAAAAATGATTCAAAGATATAAATCAGTTACTGTATAAATGATGAAATTCTGAATTTATAATTTTCTGTAGGTTTACATGGAGGAAGTAAAATTTCTTTTTTATTAGAAAGGGACCCTTAAAAGTTTGCAGATGCATTTAAATTGTGCATGCAGATAGTTTATTTATTTATTTACTTTCATAGCACTTCTAAACATATTATGGATAAAGCTGGTGTACCAGTGATTAAAGGTTACCATGGTGAAGACCAGTCAAATGACAGATTAAGAGAAGAAGCCATTAAAATAGGTTTCCCAGTTATGTTAAAAGCTGTTAGAGGTGGTGGAGGCAAGGTAAATATCTGGTGCATATTTTAACATTTCTTGTATACTGTGTTCAAACAAAGTTGCCACTCTACAGGGAAAACCTGGAAAATACGGGGAATTTAAAAATCACCTGAAATAACAGGGAAAATGCAGGGAATTTTGAGTTTTTCTTTAAAAACTGGGAAAATAAAGGGGATTTCGTTTCTCATTTTTGTCTTTTGAAAAATTTTAATTACTCAAAGTGCAATTTATGGGATATTTAAGAATCATATTTGTGCTATATTAAACTAGTTCATTTGCTACCGCATTATTTGTTTTAAGAATGTTCGGTTCTTCTTTTTTTCTCTAAATTTTTTCAGCAATTATAACTAGTATAGTTACCCCAATATAGCTCATACAAGAGCTCAGTGATTGTGTTTTTCTCCTTAATATTTTATGTACAGGGAAAACACAGGGATTTTTTTTCTTCCTGATTTGAGTGTCAACCTTGTCAAAGGAACAAACTAATTCTTAAGCTCTATTAATCTCTTGGAAAATTTTGTCAATTTGTTGAAATATACATCATGAGTGTTAAGGGGATGTTTTTTTTTTTGGGGGGGGCGGGGAGAGCTTGAAGCAAAATACAATACATTTTCCTAAAAGAATGTTTTTTCTTCACTCTGTAAATCTCTGCAAAATGATTATTTAGCTGAATTTAATTTTTTTTTCTGGAGTATTGGAGAAAGATTTAGATTTTTAATTTTAATCAAAAGCATATATTCTACATCCTCCTTTTCAGTGACGTCATCTATTATACAGTAAGGTTAAAAAACCTTATTACTCATTAGAACATGCAAAATTTAATAGTTCAAAAGTTTTTTACCTGTTTTTCTTTGAAAACTATGGTAAACTAAGTATAATGAGATTTTGGTAGTCAAATCATGTAAAACCACAGAGAAAATGGTAAAATTTAATATTATTCTTAATAATTTTAATAAAGTAATACACAAAAATAATAAATAAATTAAGATTGTATTAGAATGAAAATAACGTTTGTTTTAATTTCATTTATTTATTGGATAAAAAAATTTTAAATTTATAATCAAATTTATCAAAAAACATTGTAGTTTTCTTTTTCAATTTTGTTGATATTTTAATTTTTTTTTACTAATGAAATTGTAGATCCAGTTTTAAAATATTTATTCACGTGACTTTTAAACTAATGTATCTCTTATTTTTATAATAATTATTTGATTCAGAACTCTTCTCGTAATAAGTTTATTGGGTTGCTCTATATTCATAGCTTAATATTTTTTCTAAAAGTTTAAAATTAATAAACTCTTTCTAAAACTGAAATACTTTTTAATTTTTACTGAAAAATTGTTTCAAGAAACAATATTTTTTTTATCACTTTTTATTTATTTGTTTGTTTATTTATTATTTCATTTATTTATTTATTTATTTTTTACTCTTGTATCAAATTTTTAGGGAATGCGAACTGTTTCATCTGAAAGTGAATTCAGTGCTCAGTTAGAGTCTGCCAGACGAGAAGCTTTGAAATCTTTTGGTAATGATGCTATGCTGGTAGAAAAACTTGTAAAAAAACCTAGGTATGTTTTAAGATCAGAACTAATAAAAATATTTATGATGCTTTTATTATAAATTATTTATAATACATACATATACATCGCCAACCGGAAGTGTAGTGGTTAGGAAGCTGGTCACAAAGGTTCTGGGTTTTAACAATGGACAAGGCATGGATGTTCTTTCATTCTCTGCACTATCTGTCCCTACTGTAGGATCAATGTTGGCCCACCTAATACCTGAATGAAAAGTGTCAATCGGGTGGGCATTGGAAAAAAAATATGTGTAATAATTATTTCAACTAGTAAAAACAATTATAAATAATATATAAGACATAACGTTATTATAAATATTATATAAGACAGTGGCCAATAATGATTTTCTTTGTTAACTGTTTTATATGTTTTAGGCATGTTGAAGTACAAGTATTTGGTGACAAACATGGGAACTATGTTTATCTATTTGAACGGGATTGTAGTGTTCAGAGAAGGCATCAAAAAATAATTGAGGAAGCGCCAGCAGTAAGTTATGTTCATATAGTTAATTCAACCTATTTTATTTAAATGTTTATGATTAATCGAGTTAATTTTACTTTTGAACTGCATTTATAGCTTTAGAAATTTGGTTAAATGATATTTGTTCTTGCCTGTTTTGATAGTTGTTCTTTTATTTTAAAATAGACATGTAGTTTTAAATGTTTCTTTCATTCCTCAGATCCTCAGTTGACCATTTTTTTTTTTAAAAATTCTAATTTTTTTTTTCAATTTCCTGATTTATTATTTTATTTTTGAGGATGTTTAAAAATTATCACATTGTCCATAAGTTTCTATCAAACACTTTTCAAAATGTATTAAAAAAACTAATAAATTTAAACTTTTGGAATAATGAATATTTTGCAAATTTTTCAATATGACTTATTTCATTAAGAAATTTTTCACCAATTAATGTTTGTAAAGAAAAGTTTGAGATTTTCTTTGTTCAATTTTTGTGGAATGGTTATATTTTGTGCCTTAATGTAATTTTATTTAATTAAAACTTTGTGTCTTACGTTCCATATATTCAAGATAATTTTACATTTTTCAAATATATATATTTTATATATATTTGAAATATTTTTACGTATTTTATATATAGAGGATATATTTGGGCTTATTTATTAATGGCATGATATATCAATCCTCTTATTAGAAATTCTATATACTATTATATACTATTAAATCTTATATACTATTTAAATCACAAAAATCTTTTTGGAATTTTCTCTGAAAATCTTACAAAATTCAATTTTTAGAGTGGTCGTACTAATCCTCGAAATATTTATGATTTTTAAGTTTTTTTAATTTTAGTGCTTAGTTTTGATACTGCAATGCTGATTGGTTAATATAAAAAACACTTTTATTTCCTTGTAGCCAGATCTGGATGAAATGACCAGAAAATCCTTAGGGGAAGCTGCCGTCAGGGCTGCTGAGGCGGTTAATTATGTTGGAGCAGGTGCATGTTTTTTTATTTAAAATTTTAAAATAATTTTTTTTAAGTATTTTGGCTGATAACGTAAATGAACTTATATTTCATTATGTAATTTTTGAGGTTATTTAAGTATGGCATAAGCATGATTTTGGCACTTTTTTACTCCCCCTCTCCCTGCATCAGCAAATTATTAGCTGACAGCTATTATTATTAACAGCCCCCTATATTTATGTAAAAAAAAATCTCTCCCTTTTTAAAAAAAAATTTACTGCTAATTATATTGCTGTATTATAAATTTTTGCAGTACTGCAGTATTATAATTTTTGTAAGAATTTTATGATTAAATTCAGATAAAAAATGTAAAGTTAAACCAAAATTTATATTTTAATATACTTTGTAAAATTTTAAAACTCTTTAAAGAAATGTTTTCCTACTTTTTCCATAGTTGCCATCTCTACTGGATTTACCAGTAGACTACTGAATTTGGCAGGTTTCTACTGGTCTAATAAAAATTCTCCTGTTTTTTGTAAATTTTAGAAAATTCCCTAAAATTGAGTAAGTTTTCTACAAAATATCCCTATTGAAATAGAATTTTTACTCAATTTATTGATTTCCTGAATATTTAAAAAAGTATTAGTAATACATAATGAAGCGAGCCTCATTTATACTGCTGAGTTTTAAGCTTTTCTTCTCTTCTGAAATTTTCAGTTTATTTTAATTCTTAACTCCCTTTTTAAATTAAAAAATCTTTTAACTATCAATAAGGAATAAACAGTCTATTACTATTTGAAATGATGAATTAACATAATAAAAAACATTTCAAATTCAAGTTTATTTAATGTTAATCATAAATGGAAAATATTGCAGGCCATTTATGGTTATTAATGTAATGAAGCTTGTATATTTTGATGACAATAAAAATCCCTAAAATTTACTGTGTAAAATATTTAGTACATAGTGTGACAGTTATCATGAAATCAATATTATTTCACCAAATCTGTTGGATTCTTTCCTATCCAGGTTGGCAGCTATGTTTTTCTTTCCTAAAATTTAACTTTTATTTCGAAATAAAAAAAAATTCTAGCACAATTTTTTCTAACTATTATGCAAGTTTTTTTTTTTTTTTCATTTTAAAAGAGTTATGAAAATAAGGGAGTTTTAGTGTCTTTGTATAAGTATTGCTTATACTCCTCCCCATCTTATAAGCCCAGAATCACAGCGACATTGTTGCTGAATGTTACAGAGTTCTTGCAGAAAGATTTTTCTTTTGAAAAGCGAAACATTTTACTTTTTTTTCCTACAGAAATTATGCATTTAGATAATAATTTTTTGACATGCTCAATTTAAGACCGATAGTATCATAAATTGATGTAATGTTTCGATTGTATTTTTGGCAGTTATTGATATTATTTTTCGCATGGTTTTTAATTATTCCAATATATTTCAAACATGGATCTCCTCCCCGTCTAAGGTGCTTACGTAAAATTTGAATGATCCCAGACTAATGACATATAAGAGTTACATATACTGTGAAAATTTCTCAGAATGTATCATTTTTTGATGTAGGTACTGTTGAATTTATCATGGATGAAGATAAGAATTTTTATTTCATGGAAATGAATACGCGACTGCAAGTTGAACATCCCGTAACTGAAATGATTACTGGAGTTGATTTAGTTGAATGGCAACTGCGGGTATGTGTTCCTTTCATTTAAAGCAGAATGTAAAATTATTCTTTTTGGTAGAACTTAATAAAATTCAAAATATCTGTAGATCCCACTACTTGATCCAGGAGTTCCCTTGTCTTCTGGATTGGGTTCAAACTTACAAGTCTAAGGTTGAACATTAGTAGTCGTAAGCCCAAAATTGGGTCGGCTGTTCAACAATGGTTATGAAATAAAATAAAATATTATGTACTACATTAATGTATGTAAAAATTACTATTAAGTACCAAACAAATTAAAATAAATTTAAAAATTTTAGCTACTTATTTAACTATTTTATTTTGATTATTTTATTTATTTGCCCATCTACTACTTTTAACAATGGCGAAAAATAGAAGGAGCATTCTTCAAAATGAATAATTAGCACTTTATTCACATAATTGTTATCTAAGCAGTGCCCAGTTTCCTTTAATGTTAAGTGATAATCAACTTGAACATTTCATGCTTAGCATGTAAAATACAATAATAATTTATTGATGACTCACGGGACCAAACATGTGTTTCATGTAAAGTGATATTTCACGTTAAGCGATTTCGCGTTTATGAGGTTCGACTGTATTATTATATTTAGTTCTTATTATTATGGGATGAATGGAGTTCATTTATTGTTTTTCATCTACACAGGTAGCAGCTGGTGAAAAATTGCCTTTATCTCAAAATGATCTGCAACTCAATGGACATGCTTTTGAAGCTAGAATTTATGCCGAGGATCCTGATAACAATTTTATGCCTGGTGCTGGAAAATTGACTCACCTTTTCACTCCCAAAGTATCATCTCATGTTAGAGTTGAAACTGGCATTGTACAAGGTATATTTTTTTTACTAAACCTCAATTATTTAATGCTCGATCATAAGACACTGTGGGTATCCAACAACTTTTCTGAAATGCATTAATAGCCGTTCATGCTCACATATCACCATAGGTGGTGTTACAAAATTATTGTGGCAACTATTCTAAAATTTGACCGCTTGAAAAAAATTAAAATGAAAACAAAAGTGTATAAATGTTTTTTTTTCAATTTATATTTTTAAAAACATAAAACACAAATGTATTTTTATTTTTTACACCAACTGCGTATTCTGATTAATTTTATCCATAGTTCAATGCTTATATACATAAAAAACTGGTTTTGAAAGGTTTCACAATTATCCTACGATTTTAATTTTCTGTCAAACTTCTGTTTCTAAGGGTGCAGGGAATAATCAGAATTGTATTGTATTTGCTAAAAAGTAGTGATTTTATTGTGATTTATCTTAGATTTGAGTGAAAATTTGGATGCCTTTTTCATCCTAAGTATGATAGCTTATCAATATAAGATATTCTTTACTCTTTATTAGTTTGTGTAATTATTTTGTGTAATGTTTTCAAATTATTCATTATTGCAAAAGAAAATAATTTATAGTTAGTTATATTTATAGAAATTAACCTTTCTTTGTAAGCTAGTTTTGAATGATCCATTATAATTATTTAAAGTATTTTTTATGTATATTTTTCTAACTGTTTTATATGATTGTAAAAAACTTCATTTCATATCAAGTTTGTTTTATTAACTGTCTATTTTCCTGATATGATGCCATTTTTTAAATGTAACAAATGAAATTGTTGTTAGAAATTAATATAATAGTTTTATACATTGTTTATTATTTCCGTAATTATGATGATATTTTTTTAAATTTTTGTTAGTTTAGAATTTAACAGCTTTATTCTTAATATTTTAACAATAATTTAAAGCAAATGGAACTTAAGGCTATTATTCCTACACTTGAAAATTCTGCCTTGATATTTCATTTAAAAAACATGCTAAATTTAGATATTTAATTTTTCATTCATTATAAACTATTGTTGTATGTGTTCTTGTTTAACTATGCATATTTTATTTAGGTGATGAAGTTTCTGTTCATTATGATCCCATGATTGCGAAACTTGTTGTGTGGGGACCAAACAGAAGTGCTGCTCTGATGAAACTACATTCTTGTTTATCTGAGTATAATGTAAGCTAAGTCTTTGCAAGATAAATATACCACCTATTATTTTCAAAGAAATATGCATTATCAAATAAATTTTATTATATATTTACAAATTTTTTAAAGTTGTAAAGTAGTTAAAATAGTACGACTGTAATATAATTATAAAAGTGTTAAGTTTTCAATAATGTAATATGATATAATTTTAATACTTGTTTAATAGAAAATCATTATCATCATTCTTTTAAAATGTAGAATTAATTAAGTATTTTTTTTAATAAGTATGAAATTTCTTTACTTTTAAGTATTTGTTACATAAAAATAAATAATAGAAAATTAAGCTCCACTTTCCCACTTATATTTAAATTTTTAAAAACTATTTTAATCTGTATTATAATATATATATATATACTATTGTACACTATACTATATCGTACATTTTAAATCAGGGAATTGTCATGGAAAGTTGCAATTTTTTTACAGAAACCTGGATAATTCATATATCATACCTGGAAAATAACCAGTCTTAGAATTGTCAATAACAGTATTCAATTATTACAATTCTATTACAATTATTTATTGTAAAAATGTTGCATTTTAGTCAAACTCACATGTTCCCAATATCATTCATTGTTTGTTTTTTTTGTTCTCAAAATCTTAATATTTATCATTACTAATAAAAAAAAAAATCAAAGCTTTCTTCTGAAATTATTGCATAGCATAGATAAAATATGGTCTGGGTTTTCATTAAAATTTACCTGACATACCTGAAAAAATCAGGAATTTTTTTTTCTGAAGTTGAGCGAGGGTATTATCAGATAGAAAAAAAAATCGAAAACTTGATTTTTTTTTTATTATTATTTGTTTTTTGTTTTTTTGGCAAAAAAAAATTTCTTATTTTATAAAATGTATGGTTTTATGATTGAAAGTATGAAAATATATTCTTTTAACATGTTTGAAGGTTTCAGTATTTTAAAATTAAGAAAGTCAGTTTCATTCTTAAACTGTAGCATTTAATGTATTTCCAACTCAACAGTGAGACTTAATTTTTACTGGAGACATTTATTTTTATATCATTTAAAAAATCTGCTATTTTGTTTTTGTATTTTGTTTGCATCTATTTTGTTTTCTGTTTTATTTATAATAGCTCAAGAGTATTCCACATGACCTAATCAAATTTTAATGTAATAGTTAAAGATATTTTTCTAAGTAATATTAAATATTGTTAATACATTTTATGACATGATTTTATCTTAAAAATATAAAAAAGAAGTCAAAAATCTGATTTCAATTTTAAAAAAACGCCAATATAAATCAAATAAATCTAATTTTTTTGATCTAATGAATAAATCTAATCTTTTTAACTCCAATATAAATTTTAAAAAATCATGATTTTTGCCGACTCTAGTAGCTTCATTGTCTATTTTGTCTTCTATATTGTAGTTATAGCTAATGCATTATTATCAAGAATATATTTGAATATATTATTCAAAAGAATATATTTGAATATCCCACCTGGTTTTTGTTTCTAATTTTATTTAGTTCATTTTCATAAAAGCCAGTTTAGTAAAGATGATTTGAACGGAATGAAGCTAGCCTATGGGGGATTAAAAAAATAAATTCGAGGAAAAGAGAAGGTAATGGCCAATGAACAGTCTTGAAAAGGAAAAAATCAGCAGTCATTTCATCAAAGATGAAATGATAAAAAACTTCACATCAAATTTTTGCTATTGCTTCTTGTTTTTGTTATTTTAGAGCCATTTATTTTTTTATTTAGTGTCTTTAAAAAGAAAACTACCTATTGTCACTTTTTTTTAAATAGTCACCTTTTTTCTTAAATTAATCACTTTCTCATGTATGGGTGTTATAACGCATTCCTCAACCTGACTTACACTCTGTCCATGCAAATATATGCCTCATGATGTTTTGTTGTCTTGAAATTCTGTCCCACCATTTTTGACCAGATATCTAACAACCTTTCTTTCACTTTTACATTTTTCATGAAATTAGTCTTTATTTATTTATTATTGAAATGACTAGATGTTATTAAAAATTGCAATTACAAATCAGAAATGTTTAAATAAGATAAAGCATACATGAGTGGCATTTTCTTATCTATTTCAGTCTCCATCGTTGTCTATGTACTTCTTTTTTATCTGCGACTATCATGCCACCCTATTCAGCAGATAATCAGAAGTTTATTGTATTATTAAAGAAATTACTTTCACAAAGCTTATAATATAAAGTTTAAATTAAATTATCAACATTATTTCTAATGCAATAACTGATTAACTTATTGTCTTTTAGATTGTTGGTGTGAAGACTAATGTAAAATTCCTAATGCAATTGGCTGTGCATAAAGAGTTTTTATTAGGAAATGTGCACACAGATTTTATCCCTCAACATGAAAAAGAGATATTCGCCACTAAGCTACCATCGCCTCAAGACATTTGTGCAGCTGTTTGTCATGCTATCCACACAGACTCTGAGCAATTAAAATCCAATAATCCATTTCCATTCAGTGAGTTTTTTTTAACTTACTTTCAATTTTAAATATTGGATTATTTGTTACTTTTAAAATTAAATAAAATTTCTTTTTGAATTCTTTTTATTTTCAGTTTTTTTTAAGTACTAATGTAATCATAAAAATACTAGTAGTATTTAGTACTAGAAGTATATTAGTACTGAAAAATACTTTTTAGTCTAATGTAATCATAAAAGAGATTTTATTTGTAAGAAGCTATTATGTGATAATAGAAAGGAAAAAACAATAATGCACTTGTTACTTTTAAAATTTAATGGAATTTCTTTTTATTTTCATTTTTTATTACTAATGTTTATAAAACAGCTAGCTTTTGTAAATTGTGTGTAAAATTTTCATTGTTTAAGTGAGTAGTCATTCAAACCAGTAGTGATGCAGCCAAGATGGGGTTTTGAGAATTAAACCCCTTCCAAATATCCTTAATAATTAAAGCAGCTGTCAATCAATCATGAAAGACATTTGATTTGTAAAAAGCTATTCTGTGGTAATAAAAAAAGTAACTAACAATAATACAAAAATAAAGAACACAAGTAAATGCAAAAGTTTCTCTTAACTATCTTGTAGTATTGAAATAAAAAATTAAAGAAAAGTGCAAATCTTTCCAACGCTTATTTCTTAAATTTTGATGTATCAAATTGCTGCATTCTTCATCATTTAGAAAAATTTACGACTATGATTTTCCAATCATCCAAAAGTGCAAAGATCTTTTGTGAGAAGAAAAAAATTTAAAAGCTGATAAAAAAAATTCCAAAAATTAAAGCAATTAAATTAATTATGATTATTTTAGAATGATGATAAAAGTTGAAATTTTAATGGGAAAAAAATATCAAAAATAATGCTCTGTAAAATTTGCACTCACTTACCTTTTTATGCTATTTATTTATCTAATAGATGTTATTATTTAATAAATATAGTTAAAGTAATTAGTCATTTTAATTTTATATTTTTTAAATTGTGGTATCAAGAATATGTATGAATATTAAAACTATTAATTAGAAAACCCCACTCAGAAAATTTTCTGGCTGTGACCCTGCAGACCAGTAAGTCTGAAGATTGTATTGTTTTTTAGACAAGATGATTGGTCTTCTTATAATAAAATATGTTCCCATCAACTTCATTGATTTTTTGTTGAAATTCCTTTTTTAAAAATCAAATTAACTTGATTAATATTATTTGAGCAATTTAAATGAAGTATTTATTTAGATTATCTATTAGCATTGTCGTAATTCATTGTGTCGTATATAGAAGTGACTCTTAAAAGTATCAATCAATTAAAATTTATTTTTTGTTTTCCAGATAAAAATTCACCCTTTTTGTTATATGATGGAATGACTCCCAACTTGCCTTACCAGAAGCAAATAAAACTTTGTTTCAAAGATAAAGGTAATGTAAATGCAGGGTGCCTATTAAATGACTGCCTCATTTTGAATAGAAACAGTAAAAACATGATTTTATATGCATTCAAAATACATATTAAGGGTAGCCAATCAATACTTAAGCCAGAAGTAAACAAAACTGCCTCTGAAATCTCTCAAGTCACTAGTAAGGAAGGCAGGATTAAGACATCCAAACCAATTTGATTTCCTGATGGAACTTAAAATAGTCTTTAAGAATCGGTTTTTAACTCCTCTCTTTTTACTTTGGCATCAGGTTTTGATGTTGTCAGTCTCACATTCCTTGTTAGTAATTTGTTAGATGTCTGTGACATTTTTGTTATTAAAATAGTATTTTACTCCTTATGTGCTTAATTTTTGTACTCCATTTTTACATGTTATTTTTTATGTTATATTTTGATATGATATATTTTGTTATGTAATGTTATACTTTCAAAATATGCATGAAAACCAGACAGTCTTGCACTTAAAAAGTAATTTCTCTACCAACATTCTTTTCAAAGCAAGCCATTTTTTTCCCTTTTATGGGGAAAAATTTTCGATTGAAAAAAAAAATATCTTACAAAATTGCATTTGAAAAAAATGTTATCTTCATTTTAAATTTCGCAAAGAAAAAAATGCTGAACAGTATTCTATTTGAGATTGTTATTTCTCGAAAGTAGTTCATAAGTTTTTAATCTTTCAGAGTACAGTGTGGATGTAGACTTTAAAGGGAAGGATGGTTATACAATCTACATTGATGGACAAAATTACTCAGTTCAGACTGTGCCTTCTAAAGTAGATCCATCAATTCTGCAGTGCACTGTTGACAACAAGAGCTTTCCTGTTCGAGCAATCTCAAAGGATAATGAAATACACCTCTTTACTAAAGTAAACTTCTGTTTGTTTTACTTTTAATTATTAACCAATCTATTATCAATCTATCCTTTCTATTTACAATTCGCTTTTAAACCTTGTCTGGTTGTTTATACAGGAGAAACTTTTTCATTTAATGAAGAACTTAGATTATAAAAACCAGGTTATCAGGATAAAACATTACAGAAAACTATCAAGTTTTATAATTTTTTTGACGGTTTTAATCCACTATGTATTGCAAACTTTTAACCTTTTTTTTTTCTCTCTTGGCAAAGCTACATAATTTGTCTTACAGTTTTAATGTAAATGAAACCATTGTTTGGTTCTTAATACAGCAAGTATTCTAAGCCCCTCTTAAAATATTTCCAAGTTTGATCATTTTTGGCTCAATAGCATCATATTATCAAAGTCTTTCTGCAATTCAAAATTTTAAACTGTTTTGACAATTGAAAAAAAAAACATTGATAAACTGTTTTGAAATGGCGTGCACAATTTAAAGTTATACATTATTCTTGTAATATAAATAATTATTGCATATATGTGCACACATAATAATAATACATTAAATGTTTTAATGTAGTTCAATATATTTTACAGGATTACAGCTATGAATTCACACTGAAATCACCAAAGTTTATCACTTCCTCTTCCTCAGAAGCGATGCATGCTGGTGCGGTTGCTCCAATGCCTGGGGTCATTGAGAAGATCAATGTTAAAGTTGGTGACCAAATTAAAAAAGGAGATCCTTTAGTTGTCCTTATTGCAATGAAAATGGAGGTACGCACATTATACTTCTTTGTAGAAAGTGTAAATAAACATGGATTTATTTTTTGGTGTACTAATTGAGCACTAACTAATCTCATTCAGTTAACAAGTTTGCCTATCAGTATTTAACAGATTATATTCCTACTATTTTTCATTAATTCAAAAGATTTGTCGTCACTTTTTGTTTCTATTATATTTTTAGAAGAATTAAAATATAATTGTTTTACATTTGGTAATCATATACAGAATTTTTACAAATTTTCTCAACTTGTGCGCCTGTTTAAAAATGATATTTTTGTCAAAAATTGATATTTTTTAAGAGTTTGCTTAAGCATATGCCTTACTACATGTCGGGTTTTTACAATCTGGGGCTTACAATAAAATATAGTATGCATCAATTGCAAGAGTTTGCAGTATTTTTTAGTGCGTTTTCAGTGAGTTTCAACTCTTTTGAGTCTATAAGGGTGGAATATTGTATTTAAAAGTTAGCTCATTTCGGAATAGATGGGGAACTCAAAACTTTACTGCTTGATGATCATACAAGCTTTCTTAGTTTTCTTGACTGCGTAAGCAATTTATGTGTAAAATTTACTGCTGCTGAAATTTACCATTAATATAAATTTTTAATCACTTTTCGACTAGGTGGAGTGCTCTCATTTCAACTAGAAACTCTGCGTCTGACGTGAAAAATAACTTATAGAATTGTTTCCTAAATGGGGTGAACCAATTTAATCGGTTCTTAAAATTTTGACCACTATTCAATATAAAATATCAGGCGCAAATCTAAAACGAAAAAAATAGAAAAATAACATTTTAGGAACTACTTTTTTAAGTTGGCTATTTAAAAAAGAAAATAATTTTATTTTGATTGGACCTAAAATTAAAAACATAGAGTGCATTAATTTTGTGATTAACTTTCATCATCATGGAAATATTTCCCACACATGTTTTGAAAGTGATGTAACCTACACTCTTGGTTCAACAAAAAAAGTATTTTCTCTTTTTTTAGTCCACTAGAAAAAGATAGTTTCTTAAATTTTCATTTTATTATTATTTTTGTAATATTTATTTAGCTTTCATTGTTGATTTAAGATGTTCATACATATTAATTTCAGGCTTAATTTTTTTCAAGTAAAAAGAGAAACTGTATAAACAGTTTTTTTTTTTTTTTTTCAGAATATCTTTAAGGCCAGTGTTTGTAATTGTTTTTAGCTTTAATGTTTTTTGTTTACGCCTGCAAAAATAAATTTATCTTCTTTATTTTTTTAAACTATGTTTTGAATCCATGTTAATAAAAAATATATTATTTTTACAGTATGTTATAAAAGCTCATTGTGATGGAACTGTAGAGAAAGTGTTACATAAAGTTGGAGAAAATGTTACAAAGAATGCTCAACTTGTAAATATCAAAGAACACTCTTAAAGTACTACAAAGTAATATATTACAAAGTTAGTCTATATATATATTTTGAATATTATCATATTTATGTACATGTTTATCTATTTTTGATATAAATATTATAAAAATAAAATATTGAATTTATATAATTGTTTGAATCTGACTTTTTTTCTCTCTCTCTCTCTCTCTCTCTCTCTTTTTTTTCCCCAAAAAGATGTTGATAATTTTAAATAAAGTGTCAGATTAAATATCCTGTGACCATGATTGCTCCCATTTTCAAACAAATTCAAGAATCTTACTGGAATTGATATGAAAAATATATAATAATAAGAGTAAGTAAGAACTTTCATTTAATAAAAAATAAAGAAAACGTTTTTTAACACAATTCGAAAAAAATTAATCAAAGTTTAATGTTTTGTTTCTGATTTGAAACCTGTTTCAATAAATTTCCAACTTTTTTAATTTTATTCCATTAATAAACTTATTTTAATAAAACTACATTTAATTTTTACAGCGAAAACTTTTTTGTTTCCAACCCTGCCCACGTACAAGGAGTCGTGAATTCGCTCCCTGTGGGATGAAGACTGGTTCTTGTAAATGGTGATTGATATCAGCTGGGATAGCCTGGTTGGTAGGGCACTGAGCCCATGTCCAAGAGTTTGTGGGTTGGATCCCCGCTGGCCGAAGGCTCCCCGTGTAGTAAATGGTGACTGATGCAAGTTAAATTTGTCAAGTCGGAAAATCCTCCATGTTTTGATTATAGTTACTCTTTTGAAATGTGTTTCTATAAAATTAAATCACTTAAAATCAAGGGTAGTTGAAGTAGAGAAAAATAAAAGCTATGCACTAAAAAGCAACTGTATTACTGTTTCCGGGAGGCGAAAATCACAATTGCAATCATTCATGCAAGTGATATATAATTAATTTTGGTAATTAGTACTACTAATATTGAGGTAATATGTCTGGCTGAATCGATGTAAAAAAAAAACTCTATTGCCATTCTATGTGTCAATAATGATTCATAATCAACTCCTATTCTTTTACGTTTTAATAAAAGGAAACATTTAACAAAAATATATTTGTTAAAATAAAATTTTTGATTGCACTTCTGGTACTATTGATGTTTTAATCAGTGCAATATACAGTAGGGAACCGATTATCTGGAACGATCGGGACCATCGCTATTCCGGATAACTGATTTTTCCGGTTTTCTGACTTGCTACAAAAAGCCGCTTTTTTATTGTTAAACCCAACTAAAAAAATTGGGAAATAATCTTAAAAATAAGAAAAAACGATGAAGTAATACACTAATGATTATTTCCAAAATGATGGTAAGGTAAACATCTTTAAAAAATGAAAGAAAAATCGTAAAATCTTATGAGGAAAAAAAAAAATTTAAAAAATGGCGAGAAAATTTATCGAATTTTGTTCCGGTTTTTTGGTTTTCCGGTTTTTTGATTTCCGGATAACGGGTTCTGTACTGTATATAGTTTGTCTAAAGTAAAATCTCCGCTAGCCATTCGTCTGGGCCTGTGGTGGTGACTATGGTAACGAGGTATAACTATTTCAAGTTGGGGTGTGGGGTCACTGTTTAGAACAGGTTTTGGCTCTGGTCAGCGAGAGAAAGGGAATCTTTTTCTTCTGTCTATTGTGTTGCCCTAGAGTGAAGAGAAGCTACCCTCCCCCCTAAAATCTGCTATTCTTGTTTCCATAGCAGCAGGTGGCCTCATACTGTGGCGGGAGGTGTTCTTACCGTAGACAAACTATACACTATCTTAAAATCTTTAAGTAATGTCTTTCTCCTCTGATTCTTAATACATATATTTTCTGATGATTTCCACTCTTTTTTGATTCTCATAATAATTAATATTCATATCATTTCTTACTTTTCATTTATGTCTTATTTTTCTGTGACACTGTTCAAGTTATAGTTTTTTTTTCTGTTATAATGTATGAATATGAGAGGCAGTGAGTTGTCATTGTGATGGACTAGGGTTCGATCCCCAGTTGCAGCTTGCCTGTGTAGTAAAGACGGCTTGTGCACAATGCTGACCACTTTACCACAATCATGCTGTTGGTATATAAATTGTTGTGGATCCATAAATCCCTAACCCACAATGGGCTGTTGAGGGAATGCTATAATATATAGCTATGCCATGGTTGTTGATTTTTAATTTTATTACAACACTGCATTTTATGGAGAAGAGATTTGACAAGTATCTTACAATAATTTCTTTGAGTATTAATTTATTTTTTTTAATTATCTTGATTCTAATCATTTTTTTAAAAAAAGAATTCTATGATGATGATTTTCTTCTGTTTCTTTGATTATCATTTCTTTTAGAGTTTCTCTGATTCCAACATTTTTTTATGTCTTTGATTCTGATATTTTTTGTTAAAATTTGGTTAAGTCTGGTGCTTTTTTTAAAAAAATTTCTTGGTTCTCAAGATTTAGAATTTCTTTGTTCCTAACGATTCGTTTAAAAGTCTTTTGTTTTTATGATTCTTTTTTATTTCTTTGAAATTGATAATTTGAAGAAAAAAAATATTTGCACTCTTCTCCTGCGATGCTTCTATCTCTTGGATACTAATGGTTTTTCCTTTGCTTCCTTCATTTCTTCGCTTTTGGAAGGTTTATTTTATGGTTCAAAATCCGTGGTAACAGGATAAGCGTAACAGTACATATTATGCATATGGATGTCATTACATAAAGGAGACCATTATATGAGCCCAAATTACCTCTGAAATAACCTAAAAATAAAAATTATAAATTAAATTAAGAGGAAGAAAAAGAATTGATATTTGCATCATAAAATCATATTTAATAAAATAAAAAATATAATTCCAAATAAATCTTTATATTAAATTATATTTGTATCCATAATAAATCAATTGAAAAATATTTTAAATATTAAGAGAACTGCTCAATTATATTAACCCATCTGTACTTCTTAAGTTTAACGTGTCTTTTTCAGCTGCAAATTTTTGACAGCAGTTTCCTGTTTTTATTTTACATTAATTGACGAACCCATAGGTTTGTCAATTAAAACTAGATGCAATTTTTAACGAATTATTTTTAAATTTTTCAACAATAATTTTGTAATTACTTTTATATTGCTCCAAAAATTTTGTTTGGTTTTACTGAATATTATAGCAAAAAGATATATATATAAGAAGTTACAGTAAAAAAATATAAGATGAGAAAAATTAGTTTTTTATAAAAATGAACTAAATATTTCTTAAATTACAAAATAGACCTCTTAAGTATTTCTTGAGAAATTTAAAAACATATCAGAAACTGAAAGTGTCTCTTCCATTATTGTAGTAGTATATTTGGTGTCAGAATTATAAAAATTATTGAAAAGCTAAAATCTATGCCAATTAGCCAGCGTTTCTTTTTTCTTTTTTTTTTACTAGTAATCGAATACTTATATTTATAATTGTAATTGGTTTTCTTTGAATTAAGATATCTTGGAATATTAAACTAATTCAAAACTTTATAAAAGAAATGCTATTTCGTAAAGCTACCAGTTTCTCTTTAAATAACTTAATATTTTAAATTCAGAAAAGTCATGACTGATCAACTAATCGATGTATAGTTTAGTTCGATAGCAAAAAGAAGCAAGACCAATTTTAGCCAAAAATAGCTTAAACAGCCATTTCGTGTGTATAAGTACCATACTCCATCAAAATCACAGAAGGGAAAGAAATGTTACACAAACATTTGAGTTGATTATGAATCTGATTGATTGTTTACCCTCTCCCGGTTGGAAAAGTTTTTTTTTGTGGTTAGGGGTTTTTTTTTTGTTGCATTTCTCCCCTGTATCGAGCCCCATACTCCCCCAAATTAAATTTTTTGATGTTTTTTCATGGATGGACCAACATAATCTTGATGGTAACCATCAATAATTCCATCATTATATTTCTTGATGATAACCAACCTAAAGTAACCATCACCTCAAAGTAGGAATTCGGACTGATTTATGAGGATCCAACATAAGAATAGCAACTTGTTTTGATGGTTTGTTCATCTTGAACCATCACGAATTTCCATCATAGTATCTTAGAAATCAAATGTTGGAATGATCATGAACAACCATTCCAATCTAGGAATTTAGACTGATTTATGATGGTCCAACGTAAAAAAAAACTAAAATTGTTCTGGTGGTATATTCCTGAGAACCAACAAGAATTTCCATTAAACCATCATGGTCCATGAGAATCAAACTTCTCTTGATGGTTAACCATCATAGTATTAAAGTAGCATTTTCCATCATGGAATGATGGAAGTTTGTTGGCATATCAAAAACCAGGATCACGTAATGGAAAATGTTGGATGATGGTGACCATCATGAATCGCACTGAAACCGACAGAAACCATCAAATTTTTCTTGATCTGACCATCAAGAATTTTGACTCTTTCTGGCTTGGCTCTGATGATGATACTAGCTTCTACAATATGCAGATGGCTGTTTCAACATTTTATGTATGCTTAAACACGTTTCTTTTTTAAAAAAGTGAATAAATAAAAAATCTTACCTATTAATGGAGACATGGTGAAACTCATGGGTGCATAGAGAGTCAAACGAGAAGCCATAGCCATGGATCGCTTCTCCTCATTAAAGAAGTCAGTGACAATTCCTGGAAGTCCAGATGTATTGCCTCCATACATCAAACCCAAAGCAGATATGGCTACCATTGTCGGATAGAAGCCAGAAACTAGTGTCAGCAAGAAACAAAATAACCCCATCCCTGCAAAGCACACGGCACTAAAATTGCTGTTGGTTATGTAGCCACAGTCTGTAACAGAAGTCAAACAAAAGCGTCCTATAGTATCGAAGAAGGACATTGCCATCACAAAATATACCTCTTGGGAGTAATCAATCCCTTTGTCGCGAATAACGTCGACAATGATTGTCCAACATATATACATCACATAAAAATGCGCACTTTGAATGAATGATACGACTAAAAATGTAGGCTGCCATAGTATTTTTAGAGTATTAAATAATGATTTATTTGATGTTTTTTGGCAACAGTTGTTACTGCATTTCATGCTTTTCCCATTCATTTCGCATGATGCTGCTTGACCATTTAAGTTGGCACCATTTAGTAGCATAGGATTTCCTTTTTGCTTTTCAGCACTTTCTTGAGCAACAGAAAACAAGTTGAAATTTTCTAACGAGAATGAACTTGGATTAGTCTTAGTTACACTTTCAGTACCAACATTGAAATGGAATTCATTTGCTTTATTTCTCAAGACATCTTTTTCTAAGACTGATTCGAAACTCGAGAATTCCACGTATGATTTAAGACTGTCGACACTTAGTGGTTCGTTTTTTTCTTTAATCAAGTTATTAATGTTCACACAATTCGATGTTGTTTGTCGTTCGCTCATCGTTTGGCAGTTTGAAGTATCTAGTTCAACCACACGTGCTTTGCGATTGTACGAAGATTCAGGCAGTCGTTTCGTCAGTAGCATGGCCGCAGGAACACTGTGTAAAACGATGGCGGATATGATTAAAAATGTTCCTGACATACCAACTCCAAATAATATCATTTCTAATATGGGTGGAATTATAAATGCTCCAACTCCACTACCTCCGAAGATGATGCCTTGAGCTTTGGCTCTGTGTTTATCGAAATATAGATTTATGATTTCTGGTATCACAGCTGTTGACCATCCGAATCCAATTCCTGCAGAGTTTGAAAATGTTTGGATTTATTACAAAAAATCAAACAGAAATTAAGAAATCTACTAAAATCTTCCATCTATTCTTATATGTAGTAAGAATTAATTGCATTAAACAAAATGTATATATACTCACTACTCACATAAAAATTAGTGCGATATTAAATTGTACTTTGAACCATAGTTTAAATCATTCTTTCATATAAGTAAGTTTACCAAGTAAGATAATATGGTTTAACTTAATAACCATAATAAGGAAGCACACATTTTGAACCATATTATTGTTTAATACATTCCAAAATTTTAACAGTGTAAGTTTAGTAATTTGAACTGATATAGAAAAACAATTTTAGTTTTAATTAATTTTATAATTAAAAGAAATTGTTTTCTCAACTTCATAAGAATAGCTAAGAAAAAAAATAAGAAAACATGTACCGTATATCAATCCTAAGAAGATATCAACAGCAATTATATTTTGGGCAAAAAAGCATCCACCTACACCTATTGCACAAAATAAAGATCCAGCTATAGTCACTGCCCGCAGTCCGAATTTTTCTCCAACAAATCCAGCAAATGGACCTATAGGTTATCGAAAAGAATTAATTGCGATAACATAAAACCAGGCACAGAAAAATTATTATATTTAAAAAATTGCAGCAGGAAGAGTAAAAGTACTAATTGAATCGGAGTTTACAAAAATGTAGAAAAATTAAAATCGAGACATTTAATTAGAGATAAGAAAAAAATTATATATATGTTATAAAACATATCTAATTATCTAATAGGTCCTTGCAAACTCCTTTAAATGAGTTTTTTCATTTTATTTAACTGGTGGTTCTCAAGGGATAAACATAATCCCTCAGTGCCCCGGTAATCTTCCCGCTTTCATTTTAATTATGCAATCTTTCAAATTAAATCTTCTTTCTACATATCTTATTTTATAGATCTATCTATCAATTCATTTCAAAACTCGTTAATCTAAAGATAATACTTAATTAAAAATTCTATCACTGATTATTATTTTCAATTATTTTATTTAATCACAGGCCGGGATAGCCTGGTTGGTAGGGCGATGGACCCATGTTTAAGAGATCATGAGCTCAATCCCCACAGGCCGTGTACAAAATGGAGACTGGTGCACGCTAACTCTGTCGGGGTTATAAAGTCCTCCAAGTTCCCATAACAAATCAATACCTCTAGGGGTGCTAGATCGGAGAATCCAGTTTTGGTTAAGGTCAAAATTACTATCTGTGGGTGGATGAATGATGTGTGAATGTGTCCTCCCTGTAAAACAGGCTATGATGCATGTGTGTGGCCGAAGTCGAATTCTTGATCATAGATGGCGCCACTAGAAAACAAGTAGAAGCGCACCCCTCTGCTTTAAAAATAGGCTTGCCATTATTGACAAGTGGCATAAGACAACAACATTTAATAATGATCGAAAATGCTTTAAATTGTAAATTATACAAGTTTTTACTTTATTTTAAATCATGTATGTAAATTTAGGTAATGATATCCGAAGTTTGAACAGACTTGTACTCAAAAATTACATTAAATAAATATTGTATTTTTTTTGAAGATTTATTGTTCAGAAATTATTTGACCGATTTCAATAAAATTTCAGACACTAGGCTGTTTTAAATTAGTACTTAGTATAATCAATATAGTTGTATTATATTAATAATAACGTAAAAAACAGTTTGTTTGACTGTGTGTCTCTTTTTTTTTAACTCCAGAATTGCTTGTGCTGAAATCGCGTAATTCAAGCAGTTGGTGCGAGGGGAAATTTTGGACTGCGATTCTGAAAAAAAGTCCCTGAGTTTTAATTATTATTCTTTTAGCTATAAAACCTTCTTTGTCTTTAAATTTCCAATGGCAGTGGAAAATGACAAACTCTTATAAAATTAACAAAGGAATATAAAAAGAACACTATAAGAGAAAAAAAGTCAATGTTCCATCAGCAGTATCGCTTCACCTCGGAATCTCCACGCAGAGCCCTGCATCCCAACAAATGGTTCCTGTCCATGATTTCGTCTCTTCCACAAAGTAGGCAATTAGGACTCGTGAAAATAAAAATTCGGTGAAGGTGGCTCGCCAGGCAGTCATGGCCTACCGCGAGTCTGAATTCCGCAACAGTCTTTTTGCTCCGGGCTTATCTGAAATATTTAGATCTAAGCTATTCCTCCAACTTTTTGAAGAAACACAAGAAATGAGCAAGGCTTTCCATTTTGTCTTATTAGATAATACAAAATTTTGAAAACGATTTTTGATGATTTTTGTAATGTTTCTAAACATCGAAATATATTGTGTTTAAACGAAGCACGCATTCATTTTTCTTCCTACCTTAAAAAGTTCCATTAATTCATCTTTTAAAACGAAGTTCATTCTTTTTTTATTTTAAATTTTATTTGTTTATTTATTTTAGTGATATAATTAGCGATCGAAATGGTGGTGTAGAGCAGAACTCTCTACCTATGGCAACACTTCGCATGCGTTCACCATTAGCATGTGGAGAGTCATAGAGGAAGGAAATACGCTAGTTTCTGTCTTGATTTTCATATAGATTAAAATCTTTTAAGTTTGGAACTATTATATGGAACTGAAAACTACATTAAACATAGTTCTAAAAGAAAGCATCATGAAAATTCTAAAAAAATATTTTTATTAATTAAAAACGAAAAATATTAAGAAAAGAAAAAAATATCGTAGTACATTTCTGTACAACTGAAAAGAGGGGGAGAAGGACCAAAGGCATGGACCGGTCTAGTTTGATGGCACAGTAGGCCTTGGCTCTCTATGGGCTGTAGCGCCATTGAGCTTAGTTTTTAGTGATATAAGGAGATGCGACTATATTGGAAAAAATATAAAATATGTAATAGCATAGGTAGTTAAAATATGTAATAGCATGCACATTACCTGACACACTTCTCATGAGGTATGCTATAGCGAATGGAAAGGAGGCTTCTTTTCTGTTGGTTTCAAAATGATCAAGGATTGAGACAAACAGCTGTCCACCAAGTCTCATAGGACATGTGGCCAATAAGAAAACTAAGCTGCCAGCTGCAGCTACAATCCAACTTTCTATACTATCCAGGCCTCTGCGCTTCATCTTCTACTATCAGATATGCATTGATATAGTCAACAAAATGTTTTAAGGATGTTTCTCTTGCCAAGAAAAATTAAAAAAAGTCTTAGTTTAGGTACCTTTATAGTATTTAAGTCAAAGTTACAATTTTAAACTATATGCACAGTGCTCGAGAAAAAAACGCGGACCGCCCTGAATGACTTTTGATCTAATGATCGGATCTTCAGATTCTGGAACTCAATCTTAATGGCTCGCGGGGTTGACTTCCAATATTCTAATTAATAATTGTAGATGATATTTTAAGTTACTAAATCAGACACAAAAACGTATTTTCCCCGAATAAACATACCTTTTTTTCGACGGATTCCGAATTCGAATCCATTGAAGAAAAAAAAGACGTATTTATTCGGAGTAAATACGCAGGACTTCTGACTGCCAAAATATAGGGGGTGGTAGCTGCAATCTGGGAGATATGGTACCCATAGTTTAGTCAGGAGAGCGATTCGAACTTTGGACCCCTTAGTGTTAATTTTTCATTTTGCGTAATTCGCCATATCTCGAGAACTTTTTAAGCAAATTGAAAAAATTTTGCACACAATTATACAATTTGTTTACTCAGAGATAATTCCATGCAAAAAAATAAACTTTAGTAAATATTTATTGTAATTTTATTTAATAACAGCCGAAAAAATTTTGATCTTTAAGGTATGCAATTTTTTTACATCATTTTGAAATATCTAATTTTACATGGCTAAATATAAAACTTGAGAAACGGTTGAATAGTTTTTGAGAAATTGAATTTTAACATTAATGTAATCGAATTTTAACATAATGTGTAATTTTAACATATTGTAATTTTAACATTAATAAACTTTGGACAGCTCTCCTGCCCAAACTATGGAGACCATATTTTCCAGATTTTGGCTACCCCCTATATTTTGGAGGTCAGAAATCCGAATCCGTCATAAAAAAAGGTATGTTTATGCAGAGAAAGTACGTTTTTGTGTCTGATTTCCTAACTTAAAATATCGCCTGCACTAATTAGCGTATTCGAGGTTACCCTCTTGAACCTTTAAGATTGAGTTCTAGAGCATGAAGATCCATCAATCATTAGATCAAAAGTTATTCAGGGAGGGTCCTTTTTTTTGGCCCGCTGAACAATCTATACACAGACTAAAACTATACTAACTATATGTACGGTCATAAATAACTGTTACAAACTCACAACAGTGTTAAAAATCACATATTATTAACTGTTAATACGAATACTTAAATCACGAATAACTGTTAAAACTCATAGTAGCAGAACTGAGTTAATCTGTAGCACAATCTCAAAATACGGAATATTGACATTGTTGGTATCTCCTTTCCCCACATTGGTGATCTGCGGATGTGTTATTAACACGCCTACTTCGATGGATGGTATACATTGAAAAGTTAACTTATTGCTATGTGTGACTACGTCATCGTCCTCCTCACGTTGTTGCTTTTCAGTCGCATTTACACACAACGGGATCCTGCACTCACTCGATTGCTAATAGCAACACAGGAAAGACCACACACACTACCGTGATAATACAATTCTTACCACAAGTGCTCAAAATCCGGTGAACTTAACACAGCTCTCTCGGTCTTTGGTAAATAAGGCAACTAGTGGTATCCGTTCATCAAATTCTATCTCTGTTATTAAACATCAATTCGTGAGTATACAGGCTAACTGGAATCAATCTTGAGATATTGAAGACTTTCATTGGTTGATGAAAGTTGGTATTGTCGATAATACCGTCTCCCCACAGAATAGCTAAGATAAATAAATATAAACAGCACATAAGTATAACAAATGTACTTTAAATGGTTAAAGTGTAGAACCGGGGGACCCTCTGATATTTGGCGATTTGAAAACATGCCTATGTATATCTGTTATCAAAATAAAACAGAATAATTTATTAGCATACACAGATTGTGTGTGAACACAATAAGAAATACTGTTAAAAACACATAAATAAATAATTTATAGGTAAATACCGTTATGGCATTTATAAATGACAACAAATATTTTTTTCAAGACAACAAATAAGCAACGCTTTTAGAGCTTTTTATGTTATATAAAGGTAAGTAAAAATTTATTTTGAATATAAGACTAAAAAATTATAACAATTCTACATTAAATACTTACTTCGGTCGGTAAAATTCAAAACAAATTCCTATTACGTCTCATTTTAATAACACTTGATCGATCATAGAGATAATTCTAAATTCACCCAAGAAGTGTTTATATATAAGTTACATCTTAATATACTCTCTGTCCTTTATATGTCTAGTGAATTACTTGATCTCATGTTATCAGTTAGTTATAAAATAAGTGATGTATTTTATGATAATTACTCGCTTTACAAGGTTATAGCAACGCAACAATTATCTCAGTTTTCATCAGAAAAGAGTGTACAAAGATGCAAAGGGAAGAATTATCTTGAATTACTTTTGATATACAATGATTAAATTTTTTTACTCTTACATAAAATTACGTGGTTCTGCTGTCGAAATTCAAGTACCTGGATAGTTAACGAAGTCGTGCAAAAAAGTTAATACGCAAGCATCTCACGGGACTAGGGGGGCCAGGGCCTGTTGACTTGCCGATTCAGTTTCGTTAGTGATTTGATTAGTCTATTTTAATATAGACATTACATTTCATTTCTTACTTTTTTTTATAACAATAGCTATGCTTCAATGGCTAATTAATATTATTTGTTTTTAGTTCATTAAAATATTTATTTATTATTTCCAGTGTCGTAAAATCTGGAATTTTAAATGGTCATTAAGTATTTAAGGACTATTAAGATTGGAATTAAGCATCCAAATTACAGTCAAATCCCTTTTTAGTGAAATAATCACTACGCAATAACGAAAAGTCGTTATTTCGATATTACGAGTTTTAACACCAAGCAAAATTACTTTGATACATTTTATTTTATTTTACAACCGCCGTTGAACAGTCGACCCAATTTTATGGCTTTACGACTACTAATGTTCAACTCCGTAGCGTCGTCATTTTGAACCCAATCCAGAAGACAAGGGAACTCCTGGATCGAGTATTGGGAGAAACTTGTCTTCGTCGAGGACTTTTTGATGGAGAAAGCCCGCATTTGTGTTACATGGAGAGGAAGACAACCTCCCACGGTTAGCCTGACGGCAAGGGGACTCTAATTCATGACCTGTCTACCACTGAGGATATTTCACGTCAGCGTTGTGGTCGGTGCAAGCCGGATGCGGAGTTCGTATCGACTGGGATTCGAACCCGGTTCGCCTCATTGCAAGGCGAACGCTCTATCCCCTGAGTCATCACGGCTCTATTTTGATACATTGCAATTTTTCGCATAGCCCCGGGATAACCTAGTTGGTAGGGCACTGGGCCCATGGGGAGTTTCCTTGTCTTCTGGATTGGGTTCAAAATTACAATGCTACGGAGTTGAACATGAGTAGTTGTAAATCCAAAATTGGGTCGGCTGTCAAGCGACGGATATAAAATGAAATAAATTTTTCGTATACAAAAATTTATTTACAGTTTTGATATATTTGTACTCAACATTTAAGAATATATGAGCGCAGTATTTAAAAAGCTCACAAAAACTATTAAATTTACGCAAACAAAGAATTTATTAACACTACTTATCAAACAAACATCTATTCAGTAACTTTTTTTTTCGGTACAGATGACTTAGAACCAGAAGGTATTATTAAACTTCTCCAACTTATGTACATGTTTAAACAAAGTATTAGAAAAGTTTTTTTGTGCCGATAAATATCACTTCACAGCTTCCAAATCAGACAAGGAAAAAGGCACAGAAACGTTTTTATCAACGCGTTGTTTACTTTTGTAGAAAGGAAGAAATGTCTCGTTCAGGAAAGAATGGTTGCTTTTTTTCTTCTTCGCTAAATGGGATGATCTATTTTGTTAATATCGCTATTTTAAATACATTGTTTCTATTAAAATGCCCTTGGGGATTCGAAAAATATTCGTTACTTTGAAATTTTCGGATTTCATTAAAGAGGGATGTGAATGTACTAAGAATATTTTTGAAGGATTGTCTATAATTTTCTAATGACGTAGCGAAGGACTTTTTATTTTATTTTTAATTTCGATTGAAACTATCTTTTTTTTTAATTCTATTATTTAGGTAATTATGTTAATTATAATGTATTATGATTGTAATGTTTGGCAAACAAATAAATGAGGATTTCAGTGATAACTACCTCCACACGGTGTAATTTGGTAACTGTTTTTCAAATAACTAGGAGGCTTCGTCCCCTGCTCGCTGGCGCTCTCCAACCCCCGGAACTGCTTTCGCAGTTTATTTCGGATTGCTTCGCAATCCGATGCTCGCTTTACTCGCTCATTGGATACGTTCTTAACGTCTAGCTTTTGTATACTTTTTTGAACACTGAAGTTCCGAAAACTTTTCACTGTAGAAAATTCTAAACCTGTGCATTTCAATAGATATTAATTTGAAATCGCAAACAGTTCACATATTTTTCGTAATCACACTATTCTAAATTTCAGTTGTTGAGAAAAGTAACTGTTGTAAGTTTTGTTTTAGAGTCTTTCCTACCAGAGGGCTAAAACCATGTGTTGTAAAACAATATGAAACAGTACTGAGCACCGGATGTAAAGCATCGGCTTCGACGAAGATAATTTTGTGAGAAATTTTTTGATAATTCGGTGAGAATTCACCCGATTAGACATATGATGCTCATTACGTGCTCTTGCGCGCCGAAGCCTATCGATTAAAACGTATTAGCGTATTATATAATGTAGATTAACCATATGCTGCTCACTATGTGCTCTTGCGCGCCGAATCCAATCAATTAAAAATGAAAACTGTTGCCAGCGCGAGAAAAGAAATATCATCTGTTTTATTGATACATACGTACGTATTAGCGTTTTATATAATATAGATGCCTATCCTGAAAAAACGAAAATGTTTGAAAAAATTGATAAAACAGAAATAAGGATGATTACATTGGAATGTATTCAGTAAAATATTTTAAGTGTCAATATGTAAAGGAAAAAAAACGGAAATAACAAAGAGAGGAATCGAAACGTGGTTCTTGGGCCACGTTTCTTGGTTCTTGGGCCACGTCTATAATGTTTACTTAGTTTGATTTATTATTAATTATTTTAATGAACAGAAATTTTTATGCTATACTTAAGTGAATAATTAATTCGATATTCTTGCTTATTTTCAAAAAAAAAATATTTATATATATATATGTACACTCCTCAAAAGTGAAATTGCAACACCAAGAAATAATGCACGTAGCGTCATGCAAATTTCAGGAGCGATAGTAGTGAGATAGATATGCAAATGATTAAATTTGCGCCTGCATCTGATCACGTGGTACGCATATTCGGGCTATAAAGGCCAGCAACTTTCCCTTCTCATAAACGGCATCTGAAGTTTTGCGTAGCATTTGCGACTTTCGAAAAAGCGTAGAAAATGCCTCTGAGACGTCGGCGAGCTCAATACCATCAGTTAACGACCGAGGAACGTGACCGTATTATCGAACTCCATGAATTTGGTTTGTCGCTGCGCGCAATAGCAACTCGTGTTGGGCACAACGTGAGTACCATCCAACGTTGTGTCACACGATGGATTCAGGAAGGTCTACATGCACGCCGAAGAGGAAGTGGTGCGCACAGGTGCACGTCAGAGGGCACAGACCGGCGTATTCGCCAGTTGACTATTCGAGACCCTTTCTCCACGGCACGTGCCATCCGAAGCCGGTTGCTTTCAGGAGCAGGTGGATCTGTGTCCACCCAAACCATACGCAACAGATTGCATGAAGTACAGTTACGTGCACGGGTACCGTTGACCGCTTTACACAGGGCTAGACGCCTGGCGTGGTGTCATCGTCATCGTACCTGGACCATCCAATGGCATCGGGTATTGTTCACGGATAAATCTCGTTTCTGTCTGTGGAGAAATGACGGGTATGGCGGCGACCCGGAGAACGCTACGAACCAGCCCATTACGCCGAGCGTCACAACGGTTCAACACTGGGCATCATGGTTTGGGGTGGCATAATGTTTGATCGCAGAACGCCCCTGGTACACATTCACGGCAGTTTGACAGCGGACCGCTACGTCACACAAGTTGTGTATCCCGTTGTTCTGCCCTTGTTGCAGGGCGCACCCAACACGGTATTCCAGCAAGACAATACCAGGCTGCATGTCGCACGGCGAACTCTTAACAGCCTGACTGGATTTGACATCCTTCCCTGGCCGGCAGCCTCTCCAGATCTGAATCCCGTAGAACACCTAAGGGATCTCATTGAACGTGGCATGAACAGAGGACCAATGGCGCAAACCATCGATGATCTGCGCACAGCAGTGGATGTGGCTTGGCAAAGGTTACCTCAGGAAACCATCAATGGAGTCATTGATAGCATACCTCGCCGGATTGAGGCCTGTATAGCTGCCCGAGGTGGCCACATTAGATATTGAATAAATTGCTTTATAATGATTTTATTAGTCTGTATTTTTAATCATTTGCATATCCATCTCACTACTATCGCTCCTGAAATTTGCATGACGCTACGTGCATTATTTCTTGGTGTTGCAATTTCCCTTTTGAGGAGTGTATATATATATATATATATATATTATATACTATTCGAATTCTATACCAGGTTAATTAAGTATTTCTTTATTGCTGTTTTTCTTTGAGTATTTCATTATTGCAATATTTAAAAAACGTATTGTTTTTTTATTACATTTATTTTGTTTATTACGGATATTTTAGGAATTTTTTTTAATAACGTATTTGTTTTTTACGTTTGTTCAAATTTGGATTTTTTTTAAAAAATGTAACTTTTTTAAATAAATAGTTTTTGATTTTGAAAATTGAAAACGGCACATTTCTAAAAGGGGCGCTAAGTCAAAGTTCACCACAGTCGGGTCCTGCCAAGTGGCGTGCAAAGAGGAGGGGCACTCACCCCACGTATATATACCATATGAGGGTATCCAATCGAATAGCATGAATACTTTAAATTATCAACAATTATTTTAATTATTCACGATTTTATGAAGAAAATAATATGCTAACAAAATCAAAATGAAGTTGTAGTGGGTTAAAATACGGAACAAAAAGACAATTTACAAAATGTATTATGCAGTTTTATGTTAATTTTTTTTTTATTATGAGAAAACTATTTAAATTTTGGGAAGAATATTAAGAAATAGTTTGAGAACGCTTTTGTTTGATTAATTCGCTTTATTTGCAAAAGAGGAAATTCAAAATACAATTTTTAATTCTTATAAACATATATTTTTCAAAATTTTTTTTGTCCTCTCTGGTGTGTTATAGGGTCATTTAACCCTGGCCTCTACTTTTTTGCGTACCCAGACACTGACCAACACTTCCTAGAAAAGAAAAAGCCTCCGCACGGGTCATCATAAATGAGAAATCCGATCCTTTAGTAGTCCGAACGTAGTGACATCTTTCGTATTTTTCCCTCACTGCGCAGTTTAGTTGCCGGAGCATCCTGACATATTTCGCATTTTATCCCCACTGCGCAGTTTATGTTTACAACGTAGAACTTCTAAATTTATTCATGCAGAGGCCTTCTTTCCTCTAGGAGGTGTTGCGATGACCCAGCCAAATGAATTTTACTATCTCATATGCGAAAATAAAAAACACCGAAAGCCCAAGTAACATAGATTTAATAATGTTAGTCGTTTTATATTTCTTAATTGCGAAATATATAAGACGGTTCTTAAAAAAAAGACCCGGAAACTTTGAATTCTTGATAAATAATGTGAAAATACACAATAACAATTAACCAAATAATTAATTTTCTTTCATTCGTCGTTCTTTTTCCTTCCTTAAAAAAATTCAGTTGCAAAGTAGTTCAAATTTTTATGACGTTGCGATAAATTAAGTCAGACTCAGTAAATAAATGAAATAAAACTTAAAAGGCGTGTCGAGACAATTTTTTCCATGATTATTAAAATTAAAAAAAAAAGAAAGGAAAATGCAATGACGTTATCCATATTTGAATCTGGAACTCTCCGTCCTGTTACCATTGCTAAGTGCTTTAATTTTGTTATATTGATAGAAAATATTTTTTTCTCTGTCTCTTAAAAAAAATGTGCAAATTTATTAAAATACAGTAACGAAAGTTTTTTTTTTTATCAGTTATCGCTTAAAAAGGTTTATTTGTTTTCACATGTTTTGTGTAAAGTAGGCTTCTTTACTAAATCTGATGCAAATAATTGCTGAATAAATAGTGAGTAAAAAGAAAAAAAGAGAGATCACTAGAGCACCTCGGATAGTGGAACCCGTACCAAGAAACATGAATCTTGAAGTGGTGTAAGATAATTTGAAAAAAAAAGAAAGAATAACGAAAGGAACCAAAAATTCAAATCTGGAGCACTCGATGGCACATATTCTAGGGTGCAGATATTTGAAAAGGAATCTGAAAATGTGATGATAATGGAACACACTTTGTAATTAAAAATTCATTATCAAATTCAAAATATCTCAAACTTGTATCATTTTTATAAAAATATAATCGAAGAACCCAATATATAAATTGTGAATTTTGAAGTTTACTTTTTAAGTAATCATTTTTTTCTCAAAGGTATTATACTCATAAAATATTTCTGTACATATTTTCAGATAAATTGCAAAGAAATATAAAGCTTATATATATATATATATATATAAGTTTATAATCTGAAGTATGACTACTATAATTTAACATGAATGCTTTGCCAGAACATTTTAATTTTAATGACAATTACTCACAAGCCACATTGTAAGAAAACTACAAAAAATTTTAAAATTTCTTTTTATTTATCAATTAAATATCACGAGAAAATATTTCAACAGGGGCACAAAATCTTCAAAAACAAAGTAAGAAAAAAACACATCGTAAAAAACAGTCATTCTTCAACAAAGTTGCCACAACCAGGAAAAGTTAAAAAAGTGGCCGAGAAGATAGAAGAATCAAGTAATTTATTGTTATCTATCAACCAAAATATAATAGAAAATTAAAGGACCAAATATACGTTTGTAAAGACGTCCAACTTATTCCCTAAAATAAAATTTCTGTGAAACATTCACCACTTTTTAAATTTTCCCTATTTGTGGCCACAGTGTAAATTTCTTCTGTAAAGGCACATCAATCAATACATACAAGTTTCTTTAATATAATGGCACATTTTTTGTGGTAGCCAAAATTTTTGCCATAAATTCTAGTCGTGCAAACCAAATTCCAGAGAGTTCTAAAATATTTAGTCTAATATAGTGGGCTGATTAATCTATAAACATCATTAATTGTTTTTGTTGTGATTAATACATATTCAATCCATCTATATAAATTTCACTTACGTGGCACCAATAAAGCTGCTATTTCTCTATCTAAATTGACAACTCACTATAGTTACCTATAATAATTCATTTCGTTCGGTTGTCGTAAGTAATAACTAAAATAGAGTTCAAAGTTGAACATTGAGTTATATGTTAAGTATTTATTTAGATTCATTTTGTATTTTTATGGAAATAAAAACTAAGTTACGAAGTAATTATTTAGATTTATTTTTGATCATTTCTAAAATGAGTAAAGAAATTTTAAACATAAATTGAAATCAAAGGGGCTAATAAATTGACTTCTAGGGGGCTACAGCTAGTATTGTATTAAATCAGTAACAATACTGTGAAGTTCTAATTAAGCTTACTCTATTCAACAATTTTATAAATGTAACTAAATTTGAATGTAAGTTATAACTTATCACAAAACTAATTTATTACACTTAAAAATTTATGTTTGATTGATCACGTTTATGATATAAGTAAAAATTCATAGCAGTATAGTAAATCATTATAATATACATAAATTATTTATTCGATTCATAAATTTTGAAACAATATTTATTCCAATAAGTAGTAAATTTAATAACATAAAACGAATGTATTTATTATATCATTTGCAATAGTTTCCTAGTTTATTAAAATTCAATAAGAATGTAATATAAAATGTTTACATCTGGGGAAGATACTGATATGTAATTCTTTTTTTAAATAATGGTTTGGTATAATTTCAACATTTTCTACAAATATATTTCTTAACATTTATTTATTCAACTGTTATATTTAAGACATAAAATTTAATTTTAAATAAAATATTTTTAAATCTAAGTGCACAAAATCAAAAGTAGATTAATAATTACTTAACAATATTAAAGCTTTCCCAGGTAAAAATTTTAATAGAATATGAATTGGCTCTCAGAAATGTATGGAATAGGACTCAGTTCAGCTTTAACTCGATTCATAAAGTACATTCTATAAAAAAAAGGAGCTTCAAATAATTTATTTCCATACATTTATACACATCTTACTATGCACATATATAAAATATATACCCTTTACCTCAATGTAAAAAATCTTATGGGCATCCTATGAGATCGTAATAACAGAAGTGAAACATAAGCTAAAACTGTGATTATAACTTCACTAATCAGAAGGTAAACACTTAACACATTAGACAAAAAATGGAAGTTTGCAATTCGTCCTGATTCATTTGTTATATTCTATGAAAGCTGAGTTTTGAAATGTAAGTATGTTAAAGGAAACGTCCTCAAAACATGCAAATTAAGTTGGTTTAACAGCTTTCATTTTACAATAAAGTTAAACACAATATATAATTAGAGCATAAATAATTCAGTTAAAAATTACAAACAATTATTTTGGTATAACAAGAATCCAACTTAATTTCAGAAATAAAAGTTCATATCTTTCCTTAGAAAATGACAGATTTCAGATCTCATTTTTTGTTAAACATGACAATATTTCATTAGGAATATTTAAATAAATATGCATTAATAAGTTACTTTTTGTTGGAAAAGAAAGTCAAATTTTACAATTAGTAAAAACAAATTTCACTAGACAAAGGATTTATGTAGATTTTAAAATACAAAACTGTATAAATTATAAGTAGGAGCAATATTTAGAATAAGAACAGGAAAAATTTAAAAACTAAATGTGATATAAAATATTAATACAGTCAAATCTGTAATGTAGCCCTCGTATATCATAATAGTGGTTATATCTTAATAGTGATTTATACAGAGAGCTTAATTTTATAAAAAAAATATTGTTATGAGCCTAGTGAACAGAATTTAATATATGCGCTGTATTAAAAAAAAATTGAAGTAAGAAAGTGTACAGATTATTATCGAAATTCAATAAATCTATGAAAATTTAATAATGCTGCAGCAGAATTTTACAAGGAATAATAGTAAATGCTAGGCTTAGTTATTTCACTGACTATCTTGCGCTCCTCTGAGATTTAAGATTGGTTATTTACCAGATTCGTTGCAAGATTTTTCCAGTCTTTGACTGAAAAAAAAATATTTCTCTGACCTTTCCTCCCCCCCCCCTAAAAAAAATCTAAATCTCTAAAATTCCAGGTTTCCTTAACCATTGGTAATCCTATGTGCACCTCCATTATGGAGATAAATAGTGCATTGTATGTGTAAATATTACATTGTTGAACTGTGATAAATAAGTATATGTGAAATATTTGCCTCAAACCATGTATATTACAGCAATCGATAATATCTGTAATTGCTTACATATGGTTACCATTAGGTAATTAATTACTTGTAATTGCAATGACAAGCAATTACGATTACAAGTAACCATCTCTGATTACATGTAGTCATGATTAAATATAGTCAAAAGAAGAAACGACTGCAGGTAATCATGGCTACACGTGATCAAAATATAGAATTACATGTTACCAATTAATCAAAAGATGAGGCAACAAGTAATTATAAATACCTGTTATCGCGATTACACGTAATCACGATTGCAAGCTATCAAAATATACGATAACAAATAATTAAGATTAGCATTCAAATACACGAAAATCCAAGCACAAGGTCAAAAATTATTCAATGTCATAGTTTTGGCAAACTATTCATCAAATCAATATAAAAAGCACAGTTACAGTTAGAAGACTTTTATTTGAATACATATTATTTAATCAGTGGCAATAAGTGCAGGATGGATGACATTTAATGCCATTTACACCACACTTGCAGCCTGCGCTAGTATCCCCTTGACCCTGCAAAGTAAAATAAATCATACATTATTAGTTACAAATACAGTGAAAACAATGCTTTTGAGTAATTTAGTAAATATTTAAAACTATAATGAAATATTACAAAATTGTTGATATCAATTCTACTGCTGCAGTATACAACTATTCTGATTATACAGGGAATTTTAAATTAGACTGATGACAAGAAAAAGTTAAGCTTAAATGTACAATTCTAACGTCAAATTAATTTCAGAGTTCTTGGTTTTAGTTGGAAAAAATTTTCAAACAATATAAGTTCCTTTCAATGTCCTTTTTTTTTTGTAATGTTTAAATGCATAAAAATTCTATTCCCAAATTAGAACATGTGATTGTGGCTGATAATAGATATTTCCAAAACATTATAATGCACTTATCATTTATAAAAACTGTGATACAACTTCTAGTATTTTTTCCTTAGTTTACAACTAGCAGTGTCATCAGTTGAAACATTTTGAATCTAAAAATAAGAAAGCTGGGAGGAAATGTGTATGCTTTAACATATGATTTTGATGCAAGATTGTTTTTTTCCTTTCTAAACTTAACTGTTTTCGCTTTATAAATGTTTAAAAATTGTCATTTTTATTCAAGACATAAATTTAGAGTATAAGATACCCTAAATTTCAACCAATATTTTTTCGCCATAAATTTTTTAATGATAAAAAAGATTGACAGAAATCAATAGAATCGGGTGATAAAAAGGAAAAAAAAAAGACATGTTTATTCAGAGAAAGTACTGTTTTGTGGCTGATTTTGTAACACAAATAAATATTATCAGCAACTTAGTTTATTTAAGAACTATTTCTTTAATGGCTGCAGTTAAATACGATCAATTAGTTAAATACAATCAATAGAGTAATAATTGTTCAGGGTGTTTAATTTTTTTTTAATATTTTGCACCCTACACGTTTTCATCCTTAATAAATAGTAATGAGGCAAAAACTATTACTTATCATTTTTATTTCCTTCATTTTCTTTTTCTTTATCAAGATTTGTTAACTTTCAGCAGTGGGAAAAGCAATTTTTCTTTTTAACTTTAATACATTATTTTTATGTTGACGCTATTTAACATATTAAAAAATAATTAACAATAATATAATTTTTTTTATACAAAACTCTTAGGGGATTTTTTCAATTAGCCACAGAATTTCCAGGTACCATTAATAAGCAAAATTTGCAGATCTAGAATGAAAAGAAGAAAAAAAGTGTACCAATTGTTAGTATTTACCAAACTACACACCTGTAACATAATTATAAGAATAGCCTGAGAAAACTAAAAAAAAAAAGGCAGAAAAAAAAAAGAAAAGCATTTCTATAATCTAGCATTTGAATTGAATAAGATAATAATTGTTTTACTCACAGCAGGACCCCATCGTGGGCCTTTTGTAATCCAACAAATCTCTGTCAAACACACACTACACTTCAACCAATCACAGCCCCATCTTTTCATGAGTATAAGATCACACTTTGGACATTTCATGGCTTTGCCATCTTCAATCAGTTTCTGTGAAAACATTTCACTCCATTAACATACGTTTCACAGTTTTAACATAGCACGATTTTTCTTATAGAGGGTATTTCACAATGATTGATATTAACATGTATCAAGGCTATAACTTACCCAGAAATGAAAAAAAGCTGGCATTTCTTCCTAAAAGAAGTTTAATTTTTAACGCCTTTTAGGTTAAAAATTAAACTTCTTTATAATTATGGGATAATTAGTAAAATATACATGATTACCCCAGAATATTAACTGCAATTTACTAGTAAGAAATTTTACCAGCAAATATGCATGCTATCAAGAAGAAAAAATGGTAGATTTGCACAATCTATGTCTTTTCAAAAATGAAAAAGTATCTCAGTTGTTTTCTTTAATTTTTTTAATATCTTTTTGAAGAAAGTTACAGCACTAGTGAACTTTCAGATCCCATTTGAAAAATGGCATAAAAAAATTTGCAATTAAGGGGCCCCGAATTAATAATAAATAAGCAAATTTATCTCATGCCCTTTTACCTTCATCAATCAAACATATTTTGATGCTTTAATGTCTTTTTTCTCAACAGTGATTGCTCACATTTTGATAACATTTTTAATTTCAAATAATACAAATTAAGATTGGTGAATCAGAAACACTTCACGTAATAATATGGGAGGACTGGTTTTGCTATACGTGGAGCATGTTGAAATGCTACCCTCTATATGAACAAAGCACCAAAGGGTCAAGAAAGATTTAATACTCCAGGTTTAAAAAATCATTAAACGATCGATTAAAGAGCTTAGTAAATGTACATGTTAAGACAAATTTTAGTAAATTTGAAAAACCTGATTTAGAAAGAAAAGAAACAACAGGAAGCTGAAACAAAACACCTCTATTCCCCACAGAAAATTTACAGATTAACAAAGTAGAACTAACTGCACAGCAACAGTGTCTTCATAAGCATGGAAAAATTGACATGTTTTAAAAATAATACTTTATAAAATATAATATAATACTATATATTTATACAGTCAATTCGCTATAACTCGAAGTACGATAACTCGAATATTACTATAACTCGATTTTTTTATGAGGTCCCGACCCTTTTATCTTCAATTTCATGTTAATTATTCTCGATTACTCGAATTTTACTCCCTTTAACTCGATTTTTTTTTTGATCTTTTAAAGCAAGAAAAAAGAACCAGGAGCTGATATCTTGCCCCTTCCTTTGCAAAACACGCACAATGTCTTTCGCATTCTTCATGGAGAAGCTAAAGCTGTCCCTCTTGAAGTATGTGAGCAGTGATTAAATGGAACGTTACCAAATTTAATTCAAGGATACAGTTAAAATGATGTTTTCACTATTGATGAGATGGGTTTATTTTTTAAATGGAAGGGGGGGAAATGAGCAAGGAACGTTTGAATGTCCTAGTTGAAGGAAATGCGTCTGGGTCAGAGAAAATGCCCTTACTTGTTATCGGAAAATACCAAAGTCCCCGATGTTTCAAGAATTTAAAAACATATCCTTTGGATTACAAGTCTAACAAAANTAATAATAAAGTCTGCAATTATAATTGCAAATAATAATAAAGTCTGCAATTATAATTGCAAATAATAATAAATAAATAAAATTTATTATTATTTGCAATTCCTTGCATTTATCAGCTTTTACCTTCAACAATTAAACAGATTTTGACAACATATTTAATATCAAATAATAAACAATTATGGGTGGTGAATCAGAAAGACTTCGTGTAATAATATGAGAAGACTTGTTTCGCTATATGGGGAGCATGTTGAAATGCTACGCTCTATATGAACAAAGGATCAAGAACGGTTTAATAATCAAGGTTTAAAAAATCATTAGACAATTAAAGAGCTTAGTAAATGTACAACATGTTAAGATAAATAATAGAAAATCTGCTTTAGAAAGAAAAGAAACAACAGGAATCTGAAAATAAACACATCTATTCCCCACAGAAAATTTACAGATTAACAAAGTAGAACTAACTGCACAGCAACAGTGTCTTCATAAGCATGCAAAATTGGCATGTTTTAAAAATAATACTTTATAAAATTATCTTTAACTAAGGTGCCCATAGTTACATAACTACATGATACATAAACAGAGATTGAATGTTTTAAAAATGATACTTCATAAGATGTTATTCAACGAAAATGTCCTTAGTGACATAATGCATAAATTGAGGTAAAATGCTTTAAAAATGATAATTTAATAAGATGTTCTTCCACTATGTTGTTCACAGTTACATAATTACATGATACACAAATAGAGGTTGAATGTTTTAAATATACTTCATAAAATATTCTTCCACTAAGATATCCTCAGTTACATAATGGCTTAGTTTATAAAGTGAGATTAATTGTTTGAAAATGATACTTTATAAAATGTTATTCCATTAACTTGTCCTCAGTTACAAAATGACATGATACAGAAATTTCTACAAAATGGTCTCGAGAAGCCAAGGGAACAACAACTCTTATATCAGGCAAATTATAACTTTCATGATAGTGAATTAGCATTAGCGTTTCCTTCCCACATTGCTCTCTACATAGCAAAATTCTAATACCATTTTTGAATACGAAAGCTTAAGCAGAAATGATAGATGAAAGAAATACTTCTAAATTTCTTTGACACTACAATTTACATTAATCTGTTAAATAAGCAAAACTTCAAACAGTTTTCACACAGAAAAACTGTTTCCATACTGATAAAAATTCATGGATAAAATTAAAAAAAGAAGAAAAAAATGCAGCAATGAATGAACAGTACAACCAGGCTTCATAGATTTTTTTAATTTATCATATTTCACTTTGATGAGCTATTAATTTGTCCTATGGTCTGACTGGCAAGGTTTGAATTTGTATCAGTTTTTGACAGCTTTATAAACAATTATAACATTGTCATTTAAAGAATTGCTTTAATGTATTGAGAGAAATATTATTTTTCCTAGTGTAAATAGCATATTGTAGGTTGTATTTGAGAAGAAATATGACATATTTCTTTTTAAATGTCAATTAAAATGTTTTGAAAAGAAAATATGATGCAAAAAGCCGCTTTTATTACATAAATATATATTAAACCTAGATCTATATATATTAACAATAGATCTGCTGGTAGCTCTATAATTGTAAAGCTGCTTTAAAGGAAACATTTTAATAATTGAAAAAGAATTTTACACACTTATATAATTACTCATCATGGCATAATTTACTTACATAAAAAAGCAGGTTAATATAAAATAATAAGTCTAGCTCATGTGAAAATTCTGTTAGAAGTGTAAATTCCTCAGAACTTTTTCGAATTTTATTTTATAGTATTAAATTTTATGTTTTTTTAAACAGTTATTTTTCTTAAAACAATTCGATTATAAATTAATTCAATGTCATAGTTCAGATTTTATGCAGTTTTGACATTTCTAATAATAAAAAAAGGAAATTAAATACTGTCATGTCATAAACCAGGTTTTGATGTCAAAATTTCCAACAATGCTAAAAAGCATTGTTGGAAATTTTGCATTTAACAAATAGAAGAAATGAAAATGTTTAGATAAAACTCACATTTAACAATGCAAGTGACTTTACTGAATCACTGTCTAATTCTTTTTGGTTCTTTAGTTTTTCCTGATATTGTTTGCAGTTGAGTCCTTCGTGGATGGCATTGCAGTTCAAACAGTTATAGTGAGAGCACACAGGACAGTGATAGATATTAAAGTTTTCTTCAAATAGGCACCATCCATCACAGTTTAAGGTCTTGCAATGAAAACTCTTCTCTGCAATACTTTTGGCTGTATTAATGCTCCTTTGTAAATATCTGTCATAAACATGCTCAGAGACAAGCTAAAAAGAGACAAATATATATTTAAAGAAATTAAACTGAGAAAATTTGTTTCATTTCTAAATTACTATACTCAATAGATACCTATAAATTATGTAGGTATGATTTTGGGAATTTCTAACACTTTTTTTCATTTTCAAGAAAATTAGTCTTTTTTCAAACTAGGGATAATTTTTTTAATAATATTTTTATAATCTCACTAGTCTAAATAAATAAAAAAAGTTGTTTTCTGAATTTTTCCTAAAATTGAAGAAAAATTTCAAAAATTTTCGACAACATAGGTGACATTAAAAAAATAAATTTTTTTAAAAAATATTTTTAATTTTTTTACTTCTTATTCAATGCACAAATTTGCTAAATAATTTGAATATTTTTAAAAGATATTTTATATTCTCTCTTTGGTACAGGCTTATTATTAAAATTTTTTTTTGTTGTTGAAAAAACATAATTTTACAGAAAATAATTTAAACATACGTTAGAATTATTACTTGTAACCTAGTGGGTTACTTATTGCTACCACAAATTCTAAGTTCGATCATTTTCCAGGTTTATTGTAAAATTTTGACCATTGAGAATTTAGTTAAAATCTGCCTAACTTTATGTTTGGTTCAAAATTCATCATTTTAACTGGAAAATGTACAGTATAAAATATACAGTATCATCAAAATACATCTTTACAGTTTGTGATCATTATATGAGAAACAGAGTAATATTCTCTTAAAAATTGCTGCTAATATTTCGAAACAACCAGGCTGTCTTTAAAAATTTCCATTGGCAATAACTGTTTGGGGGCTAAAAGTATATACTCCATTTTCTTTAACACAGGTGTACACATTAGAGTTCAACAGACAGACACAACTTAGTTTTTAAAAGACTAGGAAGATTTCATAAATCTACAACCATCAAAATAATATCTACACTTTTATATCTTAGCCAACTATCTTTATAAGTAAACATAATTTCCAATTGAAATATTTCATAAAATTATTTCGACAAATAAATATGACAAACCAATTTTTTTTTCTTAAAAAAAAAAGAAAGAAAAAATTGAATTTAGAAAATTATGTCATAAAATTTTTTGTACGATAGAAAAGACTTAATTATAGTTTTCAACAAATAAATAAATAATTTTACTCAAAATAAATTCATATTATTAATTAGTAGCAATCTATTCCTAATACTTTAGAGATATCAAATACATTACAACCTTGAAAATCCAGATTTCTAAAATCTGGGAATCTCTGAAAATTAAAAATTTTTTTTTTCCAACTTGTGCCGAGAAAAAAGTTAGCTAAATGAGTTTTAAACTACAGTAAGATGCAGAAATAAACATGTTGTAATGATAATGTATTAAAAAAAAACACAAGGCATAAATGGAAGATTTTAGTTTAACAAAGAAACATGAAGATAAAAAAAGGAAGTTAACTTACAGCCTTTATTTCCCGATGTTGCAGATTACTTGGACAAGAATAATCCTCATTACGAAAAGGGCAATTAACAATGATATCTTCAGAATATTCTACTGTCTTTTGCAGGCAATCACTGAAATAAGAAAAAAAATAATGCATTATTGTGTTTCATATAAATATAAATTTATTTAAAACATTACCTGCTGTTAGATTAAGGTTTAAAAAAGACTTAAAGTTTACTCAAAAGATTGCCATTTACATACTATGGCATGGAATATTAAATGATAGTCAATAGCTGTATATTAGAAACTAAAAAAATTAATAATTAAAAAAAAAGTTGTAAAGCAAGATCAGTCTCTAAATTTTTTACATTAATTAAAGCTGTTCATGTGCAAAACTTAACACTTTTCATGATATATTTATTTATTATCTATTGAAACATATAGAAATTTTAACACAAAATTAAGATATACAGTGGTGATACACTGTACATTTTCAGCATCAGTGTACCCTATTAATAATCTTACCTGTTTTCAGTTATATTTACATTTTTTTAAAATTTAAATATTTTTACGTCCAACTGCCGAATCAGTAACTACATGCTGGTAGACACAGGGTAGTTTTTGTGTGCCCATGTTATACAAGTTCTCCGCCAAGTCCTAGAGATATAGTTTGCGCAGGAAGCTGACATAGGTAGACTTTTTTTGCCTTCTGGAAAATCACACAATAAGTGCTGCCTCATAAATAGAAACATTGATCTGAGATGCATTTTAGAACAGAAATTTAAATTTGTTGAAAAAAGAGCAATGTTGAGCAAGTGTCAACTTACACCAAGACAATGGTAACAAATAAATTAAGATGACTGGTTAAACCAAAAGAGAAATTAAATGTTACCAATAAAAAGTTTTCTTTTACATCAACTTAAATATGAGATTTGAAGCTTGGGTAAATTTTCAAAGAAGAGGAGTACAACATGAGGAAACACCATCGAAATAGAATATTTTATTAAAAAAAAAAAAAAAACTCACAGGTACCACTTTTATAGCATGTTGTATGGTTTTTACAGGAACTACTGACAATAAACAAGAGCTTTTGAACTCATAAAGAATTTAATTTTTTAAAAATAATAATGATTGAAGATATGGAAGAGAGGTATTTCAAAAGTTATTAAGGAAACATGAAGGCACACTTACAGACAAAACATGTGGAGGCATTCATGCAAAATCACACCTTCACCACTTTCTACTTCCTGGAAGCAAACAGGACATGCAAATTTTTCAGCATTCTTGACTAAACTCTGGTTTTCAATTTGTTGCCACATTTTAAAATTTTCAGCCAATTCTTCTTCCAATTTGTAACAATTCTAGTAAATAAATTAAAAAATATTGTATAGATACATTTTCCAACATTTTTGACAACAATAATAAAACTTCGCTTCACACACTCTGAATTTGAATATTAATTAGTAAGAATACAGACAGTGTTCTCTATAGGCATTTATTTTACAGGCAAACAATCTTGCCTGCCTTCAGGAAATAAATGAACTCTCCATGCCTCTTTGAAAAAAATTTTCCTGGTAAAAGAACTAAACTCTTATTCACTTATCTATTAAAGGAACAACATACATTTTAAGTTAAGTAATTAAAGTTTTGATAAAATAATGAGCTTTACATTAAGAAACAAAACAATCATGGGGGTTGGTAAAAAAAAACGAATAGGGATGAATGCTTTTTGAGAATACCATTACAGAAATTTAGATATGAGAGTTAACTGAGTCTCACCTATATTAATGTCAATAATATTCAAATTAGAGTCGTGGTGGCTCAGGGTATAAAGCATTCGCCTTCCAATGAGGTGAACCGGGTTTGAATCCCAAAGATGGCTGGTCGATACGAAATCCGTATCCGGCATGCACCGACCACAGTGCTGAAGTAAAATATCCTCTGTGGTTGACCAATCTTGCTGTTAGGTTAACCATGGGAGGTCCCTCTAAATGTAATGCGAATGCAGGTTAGCTCCATCAAAATGTCTTCCACGAAGGCAAATTTTACCCAATACTTGAGCCAGAAGTTCCATTGTATTCTGGATCGTGTTAAAAAATACAAGGCTATGGAGTTGAACAAAAGTAATCATAAACCCAAAAATTGGGTCGGCTGTTCAACGACAGTTATAAAATAAAATATTCAAATTAAGATGTATCTCATGGTATTACAAATTTCCTATTACGAAGTTATTTATATTCATAATCCCTTTCTCCTAAACTGAAATTACTCTCAGGTTAGGACAGAGAAAGTTATTTTTTAACTGGAAATAATTAGGATTCTATATACATGAGTAATTTTGACAGAAAGTAAAACAAAAATAAAAATGTTTTAAAACATCAACAAAAAGCAATTCATTATTATGGATACTGCAATTACCATTTGTTGTTCAGCATTGTTCAAATCCAAACTATTCTCAATTTCTGAGTTTTCACTTTCAGAAGGAGCTGGAAAAAACATATTAATAAATAGTTAGTAAATGAATAAAAGAAAAATATTGTCTAATAAATCCTAAGCGACAATGACATAATACATTTAATGCGTACTAGTTAAGTTTGTATACATTTATTGTGTAAATTTTAAAAAAAAAATATATATATCCTATTGTAATTGATATTTTTTTGTATTAATTGATGTTTCTTTTATTTTAAGCAACTGATAAATTTATGGTGAAGGGTACACAAGCAAAGAAGTTGTATTTCACTAATTTGAAAATTAAATAAAACAAAAAAACTATTTTCTGTATAAAATTGAATAGACAGTTACTTATGTGAAAGAAGTTTTTTTTTTTGTATTAATGTGGAATACTAATTCACTAATTGGTTAAAATTTTTTTTTTTTATATTTGTCTTTTGCCTGAAGTTTGAATACCCACTCACTTATGCACTTCTGTAATTTAAAAAAAAGGAGTATTTAAAACTCCTTTAAAACTTTTAAACTTTAATTAACTGCTGTAAAACTTTAACAATACTTTTCTTTTACATGTGTATTAATGAATAAAATTTAAACTTTTTGTAAATGTTTTACACATAGTTTAATGCAGCCAAAAAATTTCCTTGAAAAAGTTTGCATTTATGTATCTAGCAACACATAAGCAAATATTAGGAAAAGAACTTTTTTTCTATTTATTTTTCCCACAGTTCTAACAATTAACACAAATTTAATTTTTATAGTCTAATTTTTCTTTCTTTTTAAAGGATGATGATTAACTGATATTACCTTCTTTGTGAATGCAAGAAGAATGTGGATTAAGGTTTGTTTTGAACATAGGATATATTTTACAGGCTGAAAAATAAAATACTACTCAGCCAAATAAAGGAAACATGAAGTGCTTACAATACACAAAACTGTTTGCACTGTTTCAGTATACTCGGTAAAAAAGAAAAACATCATAATGGATTCCCAAATAAACACTATCTCATGTGTCAACACGATACTTACTTCACCTTTGCAGAAATTTTTAATATGACAAAATTTTATGAATGTCACTATACTTTTAAAAATTTTTCAATATGCATGCATCAAAAATTGAGAAATCACTGGCAAAGATTAGGAGCAAAAATTTAAACTGAGTTATTATTAGTAGGAGTGTAATAACATTCACTTCAAGGAAGAAATTTACTATTCAAAGCGATTCAACACAGCACAAATCACAGGGTTCCAACTCAATTTCAGAAGAAGAAGAAAAAAAAAATTCCCTGTCTTTCCCAGGTATAGCAGGAAAATTTCAAATGGAAATCCAGACTATATTTTATCTAAACCATGCAATTTTTCACCAGAAGATTTTGATTTTCTTATTTGTAATGTCAAACATTTGATTTTGGAGCAAAAAAAATATCCTTGAATCAGGATGGAAGAGTAGAAGAGCTTCACTATAATGTGAAATTTTAACAACAAATATCTGAAATGGATGTTAAAATTATTTAACCAGAATCTCAATAACTAACAAGTTTAAGAATGGATATTTTCCAGGTTTCTGCAAGAAAATGCAGCTTTTCCTGACTATTCCCTGTTTTTTAGAGTTAAAATAAAATTCTAAATTTCTTTGAAAGATACTCAAAGTATGTTTGATAAACCGAAAAACATAATTTACATTAAAGAAACAAACACTTGTATTCAGATATTCAAACAATTTAAAATTAGAATTAGGTACCTAAAAAGTAAAATCTAAATCTGAAATAATTATGTTAATAGGTAGGGGGAGAAAATAGCAGATGGTTATTGCATTTCCCGCACGCAAGCTTCATGCGTTATTGATATGCAACATCTAAAAAAACTTACTTTCCAGTTCATTTTGATTTGTTGATGTAGAATCGATATAAATAACATCTTCCAATAAATTGGTAGCAGAAGTATGCAATGTTTGATTTTCTAAAATACAACTTTGTAATGTACTTTGATATTCACCCTTAGTATTATCTTGATCCTCAAAATTATCAACTGAAATAAGAGTCAAGTTATGCTCTAAAAGTTTTTCTTCTTCAGTGAGAGATTTACCAGGTTGTTCAACTGAATTCTGGGATAAATCAGGGACAGTTATGTCACGCGTTTCAGCTTCGGTTAGTTCTTTAGAAATACATCTCGAAAATGAATCCAGTTTTTCATTCTCACAATTCTCTGGGTTTATATCAACTGAATTTATATTTTTAGAAAAAGATATTTGTGTTTCATCAATAGGAACTAAGTGTTGAGTTGAGTCGTTGTGACTGACATCTTTACTCTGCTCACAAATAAGCGAAGAAGAAATTGTTTTAGAATTTTCTCTCAAAGGACCATGTGAGATGCCTAAACTTATATTGCTTTTTAACCCTTTGACAGCTTTTATTTTTTCAATGAAGTTTCTAAAGCTTTGTAAACTGGATTTTCTAGGTGTGACTATTGTGGGAAACTCTTCAGCATACAATGTTTTCACATGTTCTCTTTCTAGATTTTCCAAACTATATGTTTTCTTAATTTTAGTTCGTAGAGACGGAGTAGATGAACAATTAGGTGTCATAATCTGCTCTTTTTCTATATTTAAGCTAAACAAATTTGAAAAATTATGCTCATCAATTTCAGCTTCATTATTAGAAGAGTGCTGAGGTGATTGCACAGGCACATCTTTAATGACAGCTCCGTACTTTAATTTCTGAAAACCAATTTCAGCTTTATTACATAAAAAGGGCTGTGTTAAATTAACGGGCACAGTATTTTTAACTGCACCACCATACTTCAATTTCTGAAAGTCAATTTCCTCTTTATTACCAAATGAGTGCTGAGGTAAATGGACAGACACTAACCAGTCTTCAATTGCAGCATCATGCTTTTGTTTCTGCAAACCTGTTGATTCAACAGAAATGTTATTTATTTCACAATGTCTTAAAACATTCACCTGATTGCGCTTCAGTCCCTTTAAATCTGTTTTGTCACTTGAATCAGGTTTCAAATAGTTATAATTTTTTAAGAGATTGGTTTTAGAATTATATTGCTTATTAGAGTCTTGACTTTGTTTTTGAGAACATTTCATTTTGTCTCTGCAAGAGTCAACATATAAAAACATAGAAGAATTTGGAAGAATCCCACAGTCATTTAATGTCAAATGATCATTTTCAACTAATTCATTGCAAAAAATCCATTTTTGAGAAGAAGTAGGAATGCCTAAATCTTGTTCCACCTTCAATCAATATGATACATTCAGATAACATACCAAAAGTACAATTTCATATTTATAAACAAGAATTAAATCGCATAAACTAAATATGCTAACTGATATTCCATTGTCAAAGAACAAATGTTTCACATTAAAAACAGCAAAATAGAAATTAAACAATAATTTAAGATAGACACATAATATTCAGATATATATTTTAAATTTTTGTTAACAGTTTGAATTCATTAATTCTCGCACCACTACAAAATTTTACCTCACTGGGGTTTTAAATATGTTTTAATTTTTATAGTTAGAAACAAAAAAGTAGTAAAACACAAACATTCATATCTTTTTGATACAAAATAAAATATAAAAGTCAGAAAATAAGATCCATTCAATATGCTAAAATTATGGGAAATTAATTACAAATATTTCAGATATTAATGCAGGATATTATATTTATCTGTGGAATATTAATTACAAATATTTATAATTAATATCACACAACTGTTAAACAAATAAAGGAATCTTTAACATTTAAAAACATGATTTTATGTATTTTAAACATACAGAATATTGAAGAAATAAAACAATATTAATTAAAATATTTGTATCTATATTTCCTTTATAAAAAAATATCACCATTTAAGTTTTCTTAGTGACCTTTAAATTCATATAAAAATAGATAACAATGAACTTAATGCTTTTAATTAAGTTTAAATTACAGATAGAACAAAAAAATACAATTAAAAAACATTAACAATACTACATTCTATCAGTAGAATAAGATTGATATTTTTCACTACTTTTAAAAGCTGAACTCATAATACAGTAATAAAGAATAATTTAAATCTATTGGAAAAGTTTTGAAATATTAGTATAATTTTTTCAGAAGTTTTGAACACAAATAATAAGAGAGAGGATAAAAAAAATGTACCTGCATCTTCAAGAAAAATAAATTCATTTCAGGATGGACCATTAATAAAAAGGTTCCAAAACGGGAAACTTTATCTTCGATGATGAGGCTGATGCTATAATGATATTAATAAACTACTATTAAATTAAATAATAAAGGTAAGAAAAACACATCTTTTAGACATAGAAAAATATAAAAAAGAATTTTTATTTAATAAATGACTCCTTTGGAAATCACGTCTGTAAGAAGTAAAAACCAGATTCTTCTTACATGCACATTTTTGGCCACAGAAATCAGAAAGGTCAATCTTAAAACTCCTGATTAATTATTTCATTTAATAATTAAGAAGGCAAAGTATGTGTGTATATTATCTATCATTGACTACCTATAGATTATGTCTAAATGTAAATCTATAGACAAAAATCTACGATTTTGAATTGCTTCAAATTGAATACATATACATTTTAGGAAATGAAAATCAACACTGTCAAACTTAAAACTTCTTTCGACTACTGGTTTGCCTGTTAAAGCAATAAGAAAGAGTTTTGAATAGCCAAATTTGAAAATTAGATAGTAGTGGTTATTACTTTTTTCTATTCTTTGGAAGATAATATCAATAACTTTTGCTAGCTTTTTTAAGTAATTAAATCGATTTAAAAAAATTTAAGTATGAAAATTAATAATAACATTTAAACAATCTGATTAAAAATTGTTTTGTAAATTTTCAAATTATTGATTTCATTTAAAAAAAAAAAATCAATTGATAAAAATTGAGTTAATTAATATTAACAAACCCTACTTATTTCAAGAATTTCATACTGTTCATACAACACTTGTAATCAATAAAAACATATTGAAAGTCCCAAAGATTTGTTTCCTTCCTAGTTTTATTTTTTCCTTTTCTATTTTTGAAGCCTTTCAAATTATCGGTCCAGACTGATATCATGAACTTGGTGAAAAGCTAAAGTAAATCAGATGCTAACATTGAGAACTATCTAAATTTTGTAGCTAGCACACTTATCTTTCTTGGTTCCTTTGAAGTTCTAATATTTTGCTATTTTATGAGGTAAATTGAACAGTAAAAGAAAGTCTTGAAAAATCTTTTCACATTGTCATTTTTATGTTTTGTTTTCAATTGCTATTTTTAGGCATTTTTTTTTTCAATTGCTATTCCATTCATACTTGGAAATATATACAATAATTTTAAAAAAAAGTACATTCTTATCAGAGCAATGTCAAACTCAACAAAAATTGTAAGCAACAATATTAGCCAATTTATTATTGTTACATCTATAAGCTTGGCCAGTAAATTCGTAAATAGCGATTTACAGTTTTTGCAATGTTTAAACACGATAAGCTGTGTAATATTTGGAAGCCATTACAATACAGCAGTTCTTATTATAAAATTTAAGATATGATGAAAATATTACTAACTTAAAATAATCTTTGTAGTTTGAACAGGTTTCTTCATTAAGCATACCACCACTAGCATTCCACAATTCCAATTTCTCTGTGTCACCTGAAACATGAATTCCTTATATATTAAATAAAGGTGTTTTAAAATGGTACAATCTCAGCATACAGCACTATCCTTGTGACAATTTTGAAAATTATTGCCAATACCAAAATTATAGCAACGACCTCAAATTAAAATGTTAATTTAATAAGTTTACAAAGAAAAGGAAATTAAGATGCCCTATAGGAAGAAATCAGGAATTTTGTGAAAAAATAGATTTCGTCAAATCCTGTATGCACCTTATACTAGGATTGCACTTAAAAGAAAAGATTAAATTTAGAAATTGAAAAGAAATAAAAACATTGCATCATCATCATTATTATATATATATATATANCCTGCTCCTGTGTAAAATCTTAAATAATAATGTCCTAGAAAAAAGTAAAATTTTGAATTTATCTTGAAATGATCACCTAAAAGTGAAAAAATGGTACACAATTCTTTTTTAGTATAAAATGATACTTTTGACTCTTCTAATGACTTTTTGTACCATAAATGATATTTTTTTTTTAGTATAAAAGGATACATTACCTCATTTAGTCATCATTTTACATTATATTCATCTAGTTTCGACAATCTACAATAAAAGCTATAATGTTTTGAACATGAAATAAGTTACTCAGGAGGGGTATCTGCAGAGGACAGGTAATGTTCAGTGTCTTAATAATTAAAATAATTTTCAGTATTAATTTTCTATTTTGGTCACGCAAGTGAATTTAGCAACTCTATTTAGTTTTTGATACATTAAAATAGTGGTTACCTGAAAAAAAAGTTGAATTTACTTGCTCTGGGTGATTTTGCATTGGTGACTTTATCGCCTGAGCCAACGAAATGGAAAAGTACCAAATCTTGCTACCGATTTTAGGTTCTATTACATAGGTATATGAAAAGGAATAAAAAGACAATAGTCTCAATATTTCTAGGGGATCTGTATAAAAAAAAAGTTCATGTAAAAAAAATTATAGAATTAAAAATAATATTCATTTAAATATCAGGATGACTTCTGCATCAATACAAGTGTTTATGATTTTCAGGCAGGGGGATAAAAAAAAAACTTTAAAAAAAAAAACTTTGCAGACTGGAGCAAGATTTGAAAGAAAATACTAGTAACCATTCCCTGGCAAGACTGGAGCAAGATTTGAAAGAAAATACTAGTAACCATTCCCTGGCAAGACGTGTAGATTTTTCTATAATTTATTACAAAATATTAAAACTGGTTCATTACATTAAAACTCAGATAAAAATACACATAATCGCTGATTTCTTAAATATGTATGGTTGTTTTCAATACAATAAAAAAATTAAAATTCCGGCAAGAATTAAAAATATGCCTTGCAAACCACACCCTTAGAACTGCAGTGCAAGCATATTTTAATAGTTACAGAATGATGCTAATAGGCTATCAGTCCCCGTTATGCCCCCTGATGAATAATTGAAAAGGAGATGAGATAATTAAGATATTATTAATAAAGAAGTCAGATATTCTTTAACTTTGAGACACTGGTGCAAATTATTTAGATGAGCAATAGGGTGAGTCACAACAGTTAAAATTTAATTAAATTACTTTTGTATAATTTTGGGTCACGGTTAGCTGAAAACCTTAATTTCAAGTGGCCCATGGTATCTGAAAGTTGATCACTAGATTTAATAGCATGAGGAATATATTTTGGGTCCATTTGTAAATAATTAAGAAAATTTTCTTTATTTATATTGTTTTGGGAGTAAGCTTTTAGTAACCTATTTCTGCTACGCTCGTAACCAAATAAATAAAATAAAATAATTCACAAAATAGGCGTCGTGTTAGCTTAAAGCTTACTAAATGTAATATTCCAGATTAAGCTTCCCTTATGTTCAATAGTGAAAAAATAGGTAGCCGGATGCTTCTTATCACACAACGATTTGACAAGCTGCTTTTGTTTTGATATTTTTTACTCGTTAGTTTCGAGCAATCTTAAACTAATTAATTTCGAAGCAAACTATTTATAGATTTAACCACAGTTTTGTAAACTGTGTTATTAAGTTGTTTCATTCGCTTTTAATGATATTATTGTTTTAACAGTAGAACATATGTAGGTAGTTAAACATAGCACTTGCGAGTTATAATTTCAGAGTTTTCCTTAAAAATTTGTTTTAAGAAATCTCCTGAATAAATTTTCAATATGACGACTAAAGCTGCATATTTAGAGCATTATCTTGATAGTGAGTTAAATTGAAGTTATTAATTTTCTTTCTGTTTATATTTTATAATATTTTTCTGTTAGTATTTATGTCTGAGACCCTCAAACCTATTCTCAACGGGTCAAATGTGATGTAAAACGCTTTTTAAATGAATCTCAGAACTGTCTTAGATATTAAAATATTATATTTGTATTAATTTAACTATATATATAGATTATATATATATGTATATCATCTATATATATAGATTATATATATATGTATGTATATTTATATATATAATCTATATATATATACAGTACAGAACCCGTTATCCGGAAACCGGAAAACCAAAAAACCGGAACAAAATTCAATAAATTTTCTCGCCATTTTTAAAAAAAAAAAAAATTCTCATAAGATTTTAGGATTTTTCTTTCTTTTTTGAAAGATGTTTACCTTACCATCATTTTGGAAATAATCATTAGTGTATTACTCCATCGTTTTTTCTTCTTTTTAAGATTATTTCCAAAAAAAATTTTTTTTTAGTTGGGTTTAACAATGATAAAAAACGGCTTTTTGTAGCGATTCAGAAAACCGGAAAAATCAGTTATCCGGAATAGCGATGGTACCGATCGTTCCGGGTAATCGGTTCCCTACTGTATAATCTATATACATAGATTTATATGAAAAATGTGAAATAAGTTGTTTTTTGTGTTCTATTATCTATCTGGTTACTGATCTAGAGGATATTTTCGTATCGTGATCTGTCATGCCAACTATAATTGCTAAGCTGCCAAATAGATTTTGAACTCGCAATTTCTTTACAAAGAAATTATGTAGCCTGGGGTAGGCTACAAGTTAAACCTTTCGAGTTGGTCCCTTTCTGTGTTGCTCTTTTTAATTTTCTCGTTGGCTGCTGCCCAGAAGTTGCCAAGACTTAGCGATTATTCTGCGACAGATCATGATACAGAAATCTCTCCCTAATCTAGTTCAGTTTTTTTCTATTGTATTGCAATTATTTTATTTTGCACATTTTGTCATGACAATTTCATTGTTAATTAATGAGATAACGTAATTTAAAAATATTATAATATGAATTAGGTATAATATTTGAATTACAGCTTTTGCATTTATCTTCTTCATATTCACAACAAATTTCGTTTTTGCACAGATACGGCTTAAAAGATAATTTCTAAGACAAATAAGCATTTTACTATCCTGGTGTTTTTCCTTTTGTTGACTTAGTAATTAATTATTATTAACTTTGTAATCTTGAAGCAATTTTTTAGAATTATTTATAAAAATTTATTTATTTTAATTAGTTGTGTTTTATTGTAAAAACTTGTTATAAATNTATTATATATATATATATATATGATCTATATATATATAATCTATGTATATAGATTTATATGAAAAATGTGAAATAAGTTTTTTTTTGTGTTCTGTTATCTAGTTTCTGATCTAGAGGATACTTCCGTATCGTGATCTGTCATGCCAACTATAATTGCTAAGGTGCCAAATAGATTTTAAATTTGTTGCAATTTCTTTAAAAAAATTATGTATCCTGGGGTAGGCTGCAAGTTAAACCTTTCGAGTTGGTCCCTTTCTGTGTTCCTTTTTTAAACTTTCTCGCGGGCTGCTGCCCAGAAGTTGCCGATTATTCTGCGACAGATCATAATACAGAAATCTCTCCCTAATCTAGTTCAGTTTTTTTCTATTGTAGTACTTCGGGTTCGATAAAACATCGATTAACGACACTTTTTGGTCGATCCAGAAAACCGGGAAATTCAGATATCCGGGATAGCGATGGTCCCGAGCATCCCGGATAATTGATTCTCTACTGTATTGCAATTATTTTAATTTTCACATTTTGTCATGATAATTTCATTGTTAATTAATAAGATAAGATAATTTAAGAAGATTATAATATGAATTATAATTTTAATATTTGAATTGCAGCTTTTGCATTTATCTTCTTCGCATTCATATCAAATTTCGTTTTTGCCCAGATGAGGCTTAAGAGATAATTTTTAAGTCAAATAAGCATTTTACTATCCTGGTGTTTTTCCTTTTGTTTACTTAGTAATTAATTATTATTAACTTTGTAATCTTGAACAATTTTTTAGAATTATTTAAAAAAATTTATTTATTTTAATTAGTTGTGTTTTATTGTAAAAACTTGTTATAAATGCCTAGATTATTATTATTAATTTGAAATAGGATCTAAATTATGCCTTGCTCCTGCGTAAAATCTTAAAGAATACTGTCCTAGAAAAAAGTAAAATTTTGAATTTATCTTGAGATGATCACCTAAAAGTGAAAAAATGGTACACAATTCTTTTTTAGTATGAAATGATACTTTTGACTCTTCTAATGACTTTTTGTACCATAAATGATATTTTTTTTTTAGTATAAAAGGATACATTACCTCATTTAGTCATCATTTTACATTATATTCATCTAGTTTCGACAAATGAAAGAAGTTAAACGTTTAATGCAAACATTAATGTTTTTTAAGTGGGATTAAGAAAAACAACTATTATCCTTCAATCTGTTCGTTTGACAAAGATGTTTCATTTATAAAAGTTTCAGCTGAAAGCAATATCTACAAAACAAGGCCAGATTTGTGTTTCCACAACTATTCATTTCTTGAGAAAAATCCCGATATTTTTCAAATTTTGAAGCTCAGGGCAGAGCCTAAATATTGTTATTAATTTTTTTTATAGCTGAAACATTCCGAATATTGCTTTAATAGCAAATGTCACCTTTTTAGAGAATGCCGTCAAAGAAATTTGAACTTTAGTTTCTTACAACCACCCTAGTGCAAGTTAAATCTGTTGAGGCTGAAAGTCCTCTCATTGGTTGTGGTGTGAAAGTTTGGAGAGAGGGGTACCAGCTCATGAGCTGCCTATGTCGAATCGAAATTTCATGGCATCTCTCTCATTGCCCTTCTTAAAAGTTAAGCACTAAAAATGTGGTTAGGTGCTTGGCCATGGTTGGGTGATTTGTGCACCTAAAGGATTATGACCATTCTGATATTGATTTGATTTGACCCATCACAAACAAGACACCTCTTGTTATGCTTTAGTCATCTTCATGCTCTGTGAAATGTTTCAGAGTCCATCTTTTTTTGCTTGACTTGAGCAACTTTTAAATGGCGTGAAATTAATGGTGGTCATTGATCCGAGGTCATTACAATTTGGTTCAAAATGATTATCAATGAACCCCGTGGCTAGCAATTTATGTAAAAGGATGGTATGCTATTTTTTAATTTTATTTTAAGTAAGTCTCTTGTTTTTGTCTGTGTTACTGTCACAACAAAATAGCATATTTTAATATGCTATTAGCAAAATAGCATTGTAAACATTACACATTCTTTCTCTTGTAATTAACTTTTTTTTTAAATGAAGAATCTGACTAAGGCATGCAAATCACCAGTGAAATGTTACAGGTCCTTTGGTCCCGCGTCTAAAATTTCTTTATTTTTACCCCTGTTTTGTCCATATCTCAACCATGCATTGACTCCGTAAAAATCCAGCTGTACTCTAGTTGTGGTGCAGTTCTTCATTGTTTAAAAACACACGGAACTTGATTATCTATATGTTGCTTTTGATGAAATGGTAGAAAATGTTATCTATATGTTGCTTTTGATGAAATGGCAGAAAATGTTCATCAAAACCAATTAATACCAAGTTATATAAATGACCAAAATTTAATTAAGAGAAGCAAAGTTTTAGATAGTGGACAAATTATTATATATATTTCATTATCCATTCTCAGTTAGTATTTTTTCTTTGGTTTCAGGTCTAGAGACTTTACCTGCTGAATTGCAAAGAAATTTTAACCTTCTGCGGGATTTAGATGTCAGAACATTTGGTAAGAACTTTTTATGTTATCAAATTTTCTTTTTAATTTCTTTGTTATTTTAATTAGGAGGAAAGCTGAAATACTTTTATAATTACTTTTTCATAATTGATTAAACAGGCATGTGATTCTTCCACTAATTTGCAGAAATCCACGAATCTCAAGACTTTTGATTCACAGATTTCTGCTGATCAAAAATTTAAATTTCTGTAACTTATGCAAAATTTCGTTTATGAGACATTTATTCAGCCCTTACCAGTGCCCCTTGTTTTTGTCTTTTTAAGTTCTCATGTCACATGCCATAATGACTTTTTATGAAGATTTGTTATAGAAAAATGCAACTTCGGATAAACTTCGATAACATAAGACAAATAATTCCATTACTTTGGCCAGAATTAATGAACTACTGAGGCAAACACATAAATAAAAACACACAATAAAGCACACAAGTATAAAATTGACAATCTAAGAAGTTATTCCGAAACAGCAGAAATTTAAAAGATCATTCACTATGTTTTTTCCTCTTCTGTTTTTTTTTAACCTTATAATTTAGTGAGTAGCAATTTTGTTGTAAATTTTGATTTATATCAGAATTATTTAATCACCACAATATGTTTTCTCTCTTTTTTATTTGGCTACAAGTAGATCAAATAAATAAATTTTTGTTTTGCAGTTAATTCCTTTCATTCTCTCGTGGTTTTTAAAATTCCAATATTATTACAACTTGCAAAATTTAAATTGCTCAGTTGAATAATATTTTTGACATGCTTGATTGTGCCAAAATCCGTGCAACATTTTGATGGAGCTTTTTTGGCAGTTATTGCTACGGATTTACACACAATTTGTACTGCCATGATTCGGAGAATTCAAATTGTAAGCCGGAGTATATTCACTCTTTGACGCTTAGTATATTCTATCATTTTTCAAACAATTATCTCTATTGATTAAGTTAGAGAATAAATTAAATTTTTATAATGGTGTAGTTTTTTTTTATTATCAAAATCTAATTATAGATAACTGATGTTTTCTATTATAGATGAAGTTCGCTCCCTTGATAAAGCCGCTGTTGAGTTTTTAAGTAATATTCAAAATCTGTCTGATGAGCAAAAGTCTGAAATCACTGGTAAAATTAGGAAACAATTCAAGAAAGCCTTAGACTATGGAGATGATAAGGTTCAGTTGGCCATGCAAACCTATGAAATGGTGAGTTTATATTTTGTTGGGGCTGTTTTTTAAAGGCTCTTTTGTTATTTGAAATAATGGCTTCTAGTATATTATTTGTACCATACAAACCAAAAGGCTCCATAATTGGATATCCAAGTTCCTGGAAATTATTTTCATCAGTAAACGGAAAATCTGGCATTTTTATACCCAATAAATCAATAAGCCCTCTACAGATAGATTCTCTTCAGGATTCAGTTTCGATTTCAATAAACTCTTCAAATAATTCCCCCTTGATTCTAATCTCATTTTATAATTCTCCAACAGATACAGACTTGAATCTAATGAAAGATCTAATTTACTACAGTAATAAAAACTTCTACAATTATCCAACAATAATTTGTGGAGACTTCAATTCNAAAATTTATCTCATAAACATTCAAAAAGAAATTGGAATTCCTGGATATTTGCTTAGTTAAACATATCTAAATTGTAAAATGTCAACAACTCTATCTATTTTATTCATTCTTACCACTTTGTAAAATTATGCCAAAATTATATTTAGAAGTTTGTAAATATTTTTGCTTTCAATAAATTCTTGCTGACTGGGCTCGTTCCTAGGCTGGAGTGGAGCCGGACCAGTAGCCAAGCTTTGGGCTATATGGTAAAGGGTCCATAATGACCTAGGTACATGTCCAAAGCTTGGAGAAAAGAAAAAGAAAAAAAAGTATATTATTTGTTGTAGAATTGTTCAGTTTTGTGCAAATTTTCAGCAGAGTTTTTCTATGCTGATATTAGAAGTGTTATGATATGAGATCTTAATAAAATCTATAGTTTTTTTTTTTTTAAAAATAAAAAAGTGTTAATAATAATATTTTTAAAGGTTGGAAAAGGAAACTAAAAAAAACAGCCTTAGATAATATAAAACTAGAAAAAAGATGAATCACGTTATGCATGATTTGTCTTATGAGTAGTTAAGGCATAGGTTGGCATTTCGCCTAGAAAAGACCTATCTCTTTGATGGCCTTGTAAAAAGTTGAAAAAACAAACATTCACCTATACAATTGTTTAATGATAATGCTAATAAATTAATAGTTAGGAGTTTTAAAAACAAATACTGAATATTGTGTTTAAAGATGAAATTATCTAGGAAGTAGTAAAATATTGCTTGGTGAAATATTGTTTGAAAAGTTATTACTTTGTTAAAATTATTTCAATTGATTAAACTTTTATTGAATTTTTTTTAAAAATCCAATGCATATTTTAATAATTTTTGTTTTTAATTATTTTCTTTTGCTGTTTCATTTAACTATAAGATTATAAGTAGATATTTTTCTCTAAATTCATAATGTAAGTAAATTCTTAGGTAGGTAGTTTGAAGCTATCAAATTGTAAGAAAGAAAGAAAAACACAACTTTAACATTTACATTGAAATAATTATATGTTTAACACAGTTTAAACACAAATTTTAGCTTAAAATTTTATAGAAAGTTTTGTTCCCCCCTTGATAATTTTTTTTAAATTTTATGAAATTAATCTTTGATTTAAAAAGGAAATTCTTAATAATTTGTGATTAAATAATTATGGTTAAAAATTCTTATGTTTATTTTATAAATTTTAATTCCATTTTTATGATTAGGTACATAAAATATATAATTTGTATTGAATATAATAATTGCCGTTGAACATATTATCTAACGATTGTTTTCAGTAGTCTCATAATTGTAGTCATTCTAGTCTTTTAAGGAATTCATTGTTTTTAGCATAAGTTATCTACTGTAAAATAAGTAACTGTAAAATAGGATTAACAAACTATAATATATATAACCTTGGGGCTAAAGAAATTTCAAAAATGAAGTGCTAAAAATTAAGGGAGGGGGGAATTAAAAAAATTGCATTAATTGCTTTTTTTTTTTCGATTCTCCTATAATTGCTCTCTACTAAAGTTTAATAATTTTTATGAAAATAAAGTATAAATAAATATAGATTTTTAAAGAAGAAGTAAAAAAAAGTAACATTTGTGTCTTATTGCTTATAGTAGTACTTTATATTAATCTAACAAAATTATTAACATTTTTCTTTCAAATGTGTAGGTTGATAAACACATTCGACGTTTAGATGCTGATCTTGCAAGGTTTGAGGCTGATTTGAAGGACAAAGCATTGAACCCCATTGTGAATGAGACTGATTCTAATACCCATAAAAGTAATTATTTTGAATTACTAATTACTATTTTCTCTGACTCATGTATGATATAGTCTTTTTGTAAACACGATTTTAAGTTATGAGATGTTTTTGAAGTATAGAAGTTATTAATTGCTCAAAATAAAATATTTTACTTTAGTTTTCGATAGAGTTCAGCATAACTCATTCAGCACGAATGATTTCTGAAACATTTATAAGCTAAAAAAGAAATTATTTTGAAACAAATTTCTTAAAATTTTATTTATTAAAATTACAATCTATAATTGTGCATTATTCTTTGAGCACATAACATAGTTTGTATGGTTTATAATGATGACTTCATAAGATAATAATTTCTTATTGATAATTTAAATACATTTAATTATTAAAATAATTTTAATTATTAAAATAAAGTTTATTCGTGACAAAAAGATTTTACAATTTTCTACAAAACCTTTAAGAAGACTTTCGCATCTGAATGAAAATAATATTTAAAATTAAGCCAATTGTTTAAATTAAATGTCTTGTTGGAAACAAAGTACAGACTTGCCAACCTTTTGGATTCAGGCCGGAATCTCTAAACTTCGCTTCTTTTGACACGTCTGGATTTAACACAAAATCTCCAGATTTTTTCATTAAAAAAACCCGGAAAAAAAGTGGTTGATTTCAAAATTTAGAAATAAGAGAAAAGGGTAAATCGTTCCTTACTCAATCATTAAAAGAGAATGGTGTACATAGTGCGTAGCATTTTTAAAAAGTTTTATTATATCATACATTTTATTATAACATGTTTTATACGTTTTATTATATCATACGTTTAAGATATCTTCCTTTTTCTNATAAGAGAAAAGGGTAAATCGTTCCTTACTCAATCATTAAAAGAGAATGGTGTACATAGTGTGTAGCATTTTTAAAAAGTTTTATTATATCATACATTTTATTATAACATGTTTTATATGTTCTATTATATCATACATTTAAGATATCTTCTTTTTTCTAATCTCTTAATAAGCTTAATACATAACAGAGAGCTACTGTCAATTTAAATTGATTGTCATTATAATATTAGATCATGAAATATTGTGCTCTGATAGTTTATTTTGAAATTAATAAGAAAACAGCCTTTGTTAATACATTTGAAAAAATGTCAGAAATTATAGATTGAATTTGAGGCAAAAAGTTCCTTATAACAAAACACGTTTTTTACATTTTCATGTTGCATAGTTATTTTAAAAAGTGTTTAAAAGGACTTATTTTCGATTTTCGTTTATTAGAAGCCATTAAAGGTGCTTTTTTTATTGTGTGTTTTTAAAAAGTGCTTACTTTCCCCTTTTCGAAAATGAGATTTTTTTTCTTTACTCTGTGGATTTTCACCTCGTATTATGCAAAACCTTGGTTTTCACATTGTTCTATTCAACGTTTTCACAATTCATTCAAGCGCAATGCATTACAGCATTATGTCGGTACATAGCGTATGAAGGTGCCAATCATTGTACATGTTTGATGAAATATTTGCGGGTCTGCATGTGCGTCTACTGAGCTGGTTTCAGTGAGGATTCTTGTATTCTCATGTACAACTCTGCTGCATTTTGCAAGATATTCTCAATTTCAGGCTTTATTTCCCACTCCACCCTAGACTTTCTTTTCCAGGCTTTATTGTCACCAAACCGAAAAATCTCTTTTATCTTTTTATGGTGGCTAATATAATGAAAAAAAGAGCTCTTTATCAAAAACTAGTTATTTTGAAATGATCATGTAAAGTCTTTGGTAACTATTTTTCATTTTGTTAATGTATATAGTGCTTTAAAATATTTTTAGTGCTTAAAAAGAACTTAAAAGGTGCTTATTTTTTGTTGAAGGATTTGGCTACACACCCTGGGTTTAGCATGTGAGAGTTGTCTTGCTTGTGTTTTCACTAAATACCATCAGCCACAGTTCTGTTTTTTATTTATTATCAAATAAAAATTTGGAGAGCTTATAGACTGTTAAATCCAAAATTAGAGCTCCTTATTTTGAACAAAACTTTAGTCATCTATTTTTTTGAAAAGCGAAATGCTGTACATTAAATTTTCTTAAAGAATAAAACTTTTTTGATAATTTTCAATCTATTTATTTGTATTCTTGGGAGTAATATTTTATTATTATTAGCTTTATCTATATTTATATATTAACAATGAAATAATTCGGAAACATATATTATTTTAAGAAACAGTAATAAGTGTAGCATAATGATTTATTAAATTTGTATTGACATATTTTTAATTTATTTTTTGAAATCTTCATTTTTAACACTATGCTGGGGCTTTAGAAAATGTCTCCAGCTTTTTATTTTGTAAGGTTAGAAAGTCTGAAAATATAGGTAGTGAATCTATTTATAAGCAAATAAAATTATGAAATCTTAACTAATTGTTTTGCATAATTAGTGGATTGCATGATGTATACAGTATTAAAATTAATTTTCATGTTCATATTTTTTTATTCAAGTAAATTATGTTTTATTTACACTTTAGAATTGAGTCTATACGTCACATTAATTGTGTATTCCAGCTAAATGATTTAAATGACATAAATTATTCAGGTGCATATATATGACCAGGGGTCTGTCCAGGCCATATTTACTACCGTTTAGAGGTACCTTCACAAATTTTAACTTTACGAAAAACGGTAGTTTCACAAAATACTTTTTCTTAAAATTTTATTTTTGTATCTCGTAAGAAACAATAAACCCATATTTTTACCATATTTTTGTGTTGACTTTTTATTATAATTTTTAATTTTTCACGAATTATGTCCAAATTTTCACAAAATAGGTACCTCTCAGAAAAACCTAGACAGACCCCTGATGACAATAGTAGGTTTGAGCATTTGGTCTTTTACATATTTGGAATCATTTTTTAAAAAAAGAATTAGCAAAAGCAATTTTGTTTTTTGTTATTCATGTAACTTAGTTATATTTTATGCAAATAAATCATATTAGAGAAGGTTATCTCCATTATTTCCTTTCTTCTCATTCAACTATTTTATCAAATATTTTATTTTTTGCCAGTTTTGTATTTTTTAAACTCAAATTTGATTAAATCACTTTTGTTCATGTGCAGAGAAGAATCGCAAAACCAATGAAAAAGAAAAGAAGAAACGCCGCGGAGCATCTGATGATGACGAGATCCCTAAATCTGTTCGCAAGAAGTTGAAACAACAAATTATTCAGTATGTATAGTTTTTTCCCTTGCATAAAAATATTCTGTTGTTTCATCATGTCAATCTAAAAATCTTTATCATTTAGCTGTTGTTTATTAGTTCCAAGCATTAATTTCACAAAAAAGTTTAATGAAAAGTGACTTGAAAACTTAAATGTAAAGTGACCTGTGTTTGGAAACATAAACCGTTGTGGACATTCTAAACAATGAGTCATTCTACTCTAATGAGTCTGTGACAATATTTTGGGTAAAACCCATTTTCCCTTGAGCAGATAACAGATCCATTCATACATCTCGACTTGGCAACGATGGTCCCTAGCAACAGTTTCACCTTGGTCCCAGTTGGGCTAATAATTGAGTCCTATATGAACATGCACCGAGAGAACAATATTGGGATGTTTAGATTTTTTAATATTGGTCCTATAAAAGGCCAATATCAGACTAGATAGAGCCAATATAAGGCTAAATAATAAATATAAAAATATCGGGAGAATCAGACAATTCTATATAAGGCTGATATTGGTTGTAAAATATCAGATGAATTGGACATTTCTTCTATATAAAAACAATATCGGAGAAATAATGGCCCTTTTAACCCATATAGAGCCGAGATTCGTTAATATTGGCCCAATGAGGGCCCAAGTTATTTTGCTGCTAGGGATTTGACGAAATGAGTATTTAAAAAACTGGACTTACTTCCTCAGAGCGTCAATCTAAATCCCATCCTACACCTTTTAGACGAATTAAATTGCAGATTACTTAGCTAGCTAAATCGACAATCCCCGCTGCTGGTACTCACTTTAAGTATGATAAATGTTTGAAAATCAATTCTTTTGTTGACCTATTAAAAGTCATGGTGGATTGCATTTTTAAAAAGTACTTAAAGGTGCTTTTTTTCAATTTTTGTTTTTTTAAAAGCCCTTAAAGGTGCTTTTTTCATTGGGTGTTTTCAAAAAGTGCTCAATTTTCCCTTTTCAAAACTGAGATTTCTTTCTTTCTTTAACACGCTATTTTCCTCATGTATGTTATTTTTACATTTGTACTATTCAAGGTTTTAACAATTCATTCAACCACAATCCATTTTGGCGTACGGTCGGTCCTTAGCTTATGAATGTGTCAATCATTTACATGTTTGGTGAAATAGGTGACATTATAGCACTCTTGTGTGCAACTCTGCTGCATTTTGCAAGATATTCTCAATTTCAGGCTTTATTTTCCACCCTCCGAAATCGAATCGAAAAATATCTCGATCTTTTTGTGGTTGCTAATATAATCGAGTAAAGAGTTCTTTGTCAGAAACTAGTTATTTTATCATGATCATGTAAAGTCTTTACTTTGCATTCTGTTAATGTATATAGTACTTAAAAATATTTTTTGTGTCCTTAAAATGTACTTAAACGTTGCTTATTTTCTGTTGAAATGTTTGGCTACGCACACTGAAAGTTGATAAAAAAAGTCTACCTTGTGTGCAGGTGGGGATGCAAGGGAAATACAGTAAAACACAGATTATTCATGAAATAGGGTGGCAACGGCACCGCAGTTAGCAAAACCGGCATATAATGGGAAACATTAAAAAGTAAGGTGCAAGCGCGATAAATAATTTTAAAATGTATTCATACATGTGTATGAATATGCCCAATTCCTCTCCAATTTTTTTCTTTTACACCTAGAAACTTTAGTTGGATTCACTAGTATTAAGAACCCCCAGAACAGCTTCATCTAATTTATTGTATCTAAGTGACTAATCTAAATGTCTAATCTTTATAATTTCTGTCTATCATTGTACATTAATTCTAAAGATTCATTAGGATTGAATGTAATCTGGTGAAGGCCAGCATTCACATAGTTGCTTTAGTGGGTTCTGAACCCAGGTTTTTTTATAATTTTATAACCGTTGTTGAACACCCGACCCAGTTTTTGGGTTTAAGACTACTACTGTTCAACTCCGTAGCCTTGTAATTTTAAATCCAATCCAGAAGACAAGGGAACTTGGGAGAAATTAACCTTCGTGGAGGAAATTTTTTGATGGAACTAACCCGCATTTGTGTTACATGGAGAGGAAGACCACAAGAACCTCCCAAGGTTAGCCTGGTGGCAAGGGGACTCTAACCCATGATCCGTCTACCACTGGAGGATATTTCACAGTCAGCACTGTGGTCGTTGCAAGCCGGATGTGGAATTCGTATCGACCAGCCATCACTGGATCGAACCCCGGTTCACCTCATTGGAAGTCAAACGCTCTATCCCCTGAGCCATCGTGATTCTGAACCCAGGGTTGGTGAGGTTTTGAAAACACTGTTAAGTTCCTCTGCAAAGCCATGATTTTTGTCATAATATCCAAAATAGTTTTAAACTGACCACTGCCATCTGTAAACTGTCCAAAACTCATAGCTTGTTAGATTTTATTATGAGGACAAGAGTGTGAATGCCAATGAGAAATCAATGGGGGGACTTGAACTGGAGTCCCCTGGTTGAGAAGTTAATGTTGGTTGAGTTGTTACTTTTAATGAAAAACATGGGAGATTATTTAACACAATTAAAGGCGTTTTACATTAAGTGCTAATTTTGTTATTTTTCGATCTAATTTATGATGAATATTGTTTCAGGCCAGAAATCACAGCTCTCCCAGCTGCTCTCACCATTACTCATCCTTCAGATGTCCTAGACATGCCTGTAGATCCCAATGAACCTACCTATTGCTTCTGTCACCAAGTGTCCTATGGAGAGATGATTGGCTGTGATAATCCTGATGTAAGTAGAAATTTGCTTTAAAAGAGGTTCACTCATTTAATGATTTTAATTTATTTAAATGAGATCAAAAGTTCTTGATTGCAAATTGTGTTCATAAAAAAACATTTTTTTTCAATTCCATTCTGTTAGTTCACACTCTCCCTATGTCTTGTTCAAATTTTCAATCATTAATAAAATACTTTTTACTTTTACATCATCTCAAGTTAAAATACAATTTTTTGAACTTGATGATACTTAATGTTAATACAGTTTTTTTTTTAAAAATATTAATTCATTAGTTAAATAGGGATGAGCGAAAAACGAAATGGAATTTTCTGATGGGTTAAGCGCTAGCTTTGTTTTAAATTTTACTATAAGCGATTCAGTTTTTCACACATTTTAAAAATAGCATCAGTGATCATTTCTAACTTATAGCTCTATTATAGCAAATTATAGCAAATCTAGCAGCTCTATTATCTAAATTATAGCAAAAAAATAGTTTATTGCGTACCTTTAAATATTTAATTATTTTATATTTGTTGTATCAGATAAATTCAATAAAGAACATTATGTGGTAGCACGTGTGGTTGCATGTCACAAAATGTATACTTTTTTAGTTATCTGATACCACACGCATTTCCCTTCCAATTCCTACTATTAGTTCCCACTCTCCTTGAATATATTTATACAGTACAGAACCCGCTATCCGGAAATCAGAAAACCGGAAAACCAAAAAACCGGAACAAAATTTGATAAATTTTCTCGCCATTTTTTTAAAAAAAAAAATTTTTTTCCTCATAAGATTTTACGATTTTTCTTTCTTTTTTTAACAATGTTTACCTTACCATCATTTTGGAAATAATCATTAGTCTATTACTTCATCGTTTTTTCTTATTTTTAAGATTATTTCCAAATTATTTTTTTTTAGTTGGGTTTAACAATAAAAAAACGGCTTTTTGTAGCAATTCAGAAAACCAGAAAAATCAGTTATCCGGAATAGCGATGGTCCCGACCGTTCCGGATAATCGGTTCCCTACTGTATATCTTGTTCAAATTTTCAATGGTTAATAAAATACTTTTTTATTCATCCATTCAAGTTCAAATACATTATTTTATTCTTGTAGTCAGAGCCGGATTATACCTTTCGTAGGCCCTAGACACAGCCGTTTATGGGCCCTCCCCTTTTTTATTTTTTTAACATTAATTGTTTAGTAGAAAATTACTTAATTATTAAAGGAATATCAGAGACTGGAATTAAAAGAATATGTAATTATGACATCTTTACTTGATAATAATAGCTAGGGATGTAACGAATATTCGGCCCTTTTGCCGAATATTCGGCCTAGCCGAATACTGAAGTTATTTGGCCGAATAATGAATTATATGCTATTATTAATTATGCTGCTATTATTAATTATTTAGATTTGTGAAAGCCTTATTGTTGGCATCAAGATATTTAAAATATTACAAAAAATAGTTCTTAATTTTCTAGTTCTTTAATATAGTAAAAAGTTCTTAATTTTCTGAGTTTTAATAATTTTTCTGACAAAAAAGAAAGTTAAGAATACATTTAACAGTAGTAAGTAATGAGTTCTTATCTTAAATAAAATAACATATAAATTACAAGTATAACTATAACTAAAATATATATATTATTAATTATTTAGATTTATAAAAGCCATATTGCCTTGTTATTGGCATCAAGATATTTAAATTATTACAAAAAAGAAATCAAGTTGTTAAAATTTTTTTAAATATGCAAAGATTAAAAAAACAATTTTGTTAATATTTATTTCATTTTTAATTTAAAATTTGAAAATTACTTTAATTACACTCTAAAGAGAAATTTTTAAAAAGTAAGCATTCGGCCACCGTATATTCGGTATTCGGCCTAAAATTTGGCCGAATATTCGGCCCCATCACTATTCGTTACATCACTAATAATAACCACACAAGCACTCAGCACTTGTATCTATGTCCCAATTGGATTTAATTCTTATTCTTAAATGAAAGAAGAGAAACCTTCCTTTAAACATTTATAATTCTTAAAAATACATGTTTTATTGAATAAATTAAGTTAAAATTTTGTTGACTTAATAAAGATAAGTTCTTTGTAAATTAGATTATAGGTCACCAAAATTTAAACTCTTCTGAATTTCGAGAATTTTTTTTGAAGTGCAAACCTTTTATTTCTTATTTAAGTGACGTGTTTAAAACATATTTTTAGGAGAGTAAATTTCTGAGAATTTCTATAAGTTTGAGATAGAAAATAATGTACTATAAGTTTGAGAAGAAGACAATAAGTTTGAGATAGAAAATAATGTACACAATTTATTCAAATTTTTCTATTTTATTACTATGCTGGTTTACTAAAAACAGTTAATTTAAATATGACATTATTAAGCTTAGAAAAGTATTGGTCTTAAAATTACATTAATTAGTAGAATATTGTTATGCAAATATGTAATGTAATTCAATTTTTATAAAAAGGCTAAGTTTTTTTTTAATTCTAATTAATGTTGTAATATGTTTAATATTTTGTTTTTTCTTAATGCTACTGAGAAGATGTATACTGAAATAAAAATTTTTAAAATCTGTTTTTAATTACTAATTTAATTAGCGGCAATGGAATTACATACTGGATAACCGAATCATGTTATTTTTCTTATCAGAATGGAGTCCATATAGAAAGCTTTTTATTTTTAATTAATTAATTATTCTGTTCAGTTCAATGAATTTTAATATTTTTGTTTATTTAGATGAACTTAAAATTTAATTAAAAATAAGATGCATATTTCTTTAAAACTTGGCAAATCTTTTTGTTATGTTATAAAATCTTATTTACATTATAATTTTAAAATTATTCATTAATTTCTTCACCTGCACAAATTTAAACAATTGGTTTAGTTTTTTTAAGTTCAGTTGTACAGTTAATCTGAGTAGTAAAATAATTTAAAACCTGATAATTGACAATATTTATATTATTTCATGTTATCATTTAGGAAAAAAAAATCTTATAAGTGCAATTATTTATATAAGAAATTGTTCAAAAAAATATATAGAATTCTTTTATAAGAATACCTATATTTTTTAAGAGCATGGTGATACAATTAAACCTGTTTATAATATCAGATAAACACATGTGATTTCAGTAGGCTTTGGTTAAAGGTTTCCATATAACTGATAATTAAAAATGGCTGTAATTGCTACAGAAGAGATGAAAAGACTTAGAGATAGAAGAAAGAAAGAACAAAAAAGGAAAGGAAAAAAGATTGCAAAATTGAAGACAAACAAAATGCTGGAACTAAAATAAGAGAAATGTTTTGCAGAATTCAAACAGAAAAAACCATATTTTCTTCAGCACTCATATACTAAAAGAAAACAAGCTGAATATTTCACAACTCAAAAACAAAGTGTTCACCAAATAAATTAAGAAACAGTGGTTAAAGTGGATTTTGCTGAACATTACACTATTAAACATGAAAATGAAATACAATCATCTTATTGGTCATACAACCAATTTACACTCTTTGCAGTTTGTGAATGGGAAAAAGTACACTGAATGATTGTGATCTCTGACTACCTCATCAAGATGAGTATGCAGCCGTATGTTTTTTTATTTTGAACTGATACTTCAAGAATTGAAAGCTGGACAATAGAATGAAGTGTTCAGTCAATTTAGACATAATTATTTGCTGTGTACTCTCACTTAAACAAAAACATAACTCTATGGTTTTTGCCACTAGCAGTAGTAAAGGTACTGTTGACGGAATTGGTAGAGAAGCTAAAAAAAGTGAGAACTTCTGAAGATTTTTAATGTATGGTTTAATTACGATGGAGAAAAAGCAAGATATTCTGTGGTGACGTTCTCTGAAATCTGAAAAACATCCAAGAGCTGGAGAAACAATGGGAAAATATTTTAACTATTCTTGATGTGTGTGTAGACTACATTTTGCTAAAATGTTGTTTTTTTTATGATAGGAAAAAAAGTTCTCTTTTTCATGACTTAATTTGACTTTTTCATGACTTAATTTAAAGACATTAATTTGAAATTGCAAAGGTTTTTATCTGATGGAATATTGCAGGCAATTGTGATCACTGAACTTTAAACTTTTTTAAAGGTTAACACAGAGTTCTTCATTTGTTAAACCTTCACCTTCAGATACCTTGAACCATGAAAAATTTAAAGCTACAGTACAGAACCCCTTATCCAGAAATCAGAAAACCAAAAAACCGGAACGAAATTCAATAAGTTTTCCCGCCATTTTTTTTTTTTTTTTTAAATTTTTTTTTTCCTCATAAGATTTCAGGATTTTTCTTTCTTTTTTGAAAGGAGTTTACTTTACCATCATTTTGGAAATAATCATTAGTGTATTACTTCATCGTTTTTTCTTCTTTTTAAGATTATTTCCAAATATTTTTATTTTTAGTTGAGTTTGACAATAAAAAAACGGCTTTTCGTAGTGATTCAGAAAACCGGAAAAATCAGTTATCCGGAATAGCGTTGGTCCCGATCGTTCCGGATAATCGGTTCCCTACTGTACTTAAAAAAGGACGTCAAACAGTTTTACATCACATAATTATATATATGAAACCTTAAACCTTTCTATTTTAAGAGTCTTTCCTTTAAGAATAAGGTATATATTAAATATGATTTAATCATTTGTAGAAAAATTACTAATGTTTAACATTTAAAATAAATTTTGAAGAAATCTCATTCTGTTTAAGAAACAACAACATAGTTACATAATTCTTTTATGTAAAAGTATTAATATATATATATANATTTAGGTATCAGTTTGACAGATTTGTAGTCCACTCTTTCAGGAGCACCATATTAGGCGGGTCAATGGATCTCCCGTAGTTAAAACAGATTGCACAAAAATTAAAAAAACATACATGCTTTATCCGGCATTCAAACCCCGGACATCTCTTACCGATGTTAGCTGCCTGACCACTACACATTCCAGTCAGCTCAATCATAGATGTTTACATACAGATTTCAACTACTCCTGATACCATGTTTTAGTCTCGTTTTCTTTATCTTTATTCATATTCGCAAATCAATTGATTCCGTAAAATTGCAATAGAATTCAAAAATCAGGAATATATATATATATATATATATATATATATAATGACATGTTAAAAACTATGCTGCCATGGTACTTGTTATACAAGCTAACAAACTGAAACACTGTGCTTAAGTACCCCCCTTTTTTTGCAGTGCCCAATTGAATGGTTCCACTTTGCTTGTGTGGGACTTACCAGCAAACCCAAAGGTAAATGGTATTGTTCCAATTGCTCATCAGAAAGAAAAAAGAAATAGTTTTATGGAGAAGCTCAGCCTGAATTGTATATACTTCATCCGGTTTCGCAAAAATCATCAATATATGTGTAGTAAAAATCATTTTAAATCATCCCCTCCTTGTTCTATATGATGCACAAGACAAGGGGCAAAATATGAAAGTTTTAGTTATATTGTTACATTCTCTTTTTTATTTTGAAAATAAAATTGAAACTTGTATTAATGTTTGTTCTTTCTGTGTCAAGCATTTACCAAATCAGATATTGACTTGCATTTATTATTTGCATTTTAATGTTGCGTCATTGTTGCATCTTAGCTCAAAATCAGATATAAAAAAATGATTCGGCATTGTTTCTTAATAAGATTTTTGATTTCGAGGGAGAAGTTTAGGATAGTTAAAATAATTTAGTTAATCACAAACAGCTGTTTTGATATGCTAGGCTAGTTGGCCAGACTTTTCAAGATTTTTGCAGTGAACTTACGTTAAGATTAGTTGATCTTAAGCCAAGGTAAGTATAAACTTAATCATGATTTATATCAATTGACTTTAAAAAAACTATTTAAATCAAATGCATGCCCTCCAACTACACAGGTGTAAGAAATTAAGGAAATTTGCTGACTTGGTTGATTATCTCTAGAACTACTGGACCAATTTTAATGAAATATGATATGTTGCATGGAAATTCTGCTTACATTGAGCTGGATTCTGTAGGAAGGATTCTTGCAATCTCATGTGTAAGTCTGTTGCATTTTGCAAGAACTTCTCAATTACTCTTTTTAGGCTTCATTTTAGAGCCCATAAAGGCCCTTTGAAATTGAACCTAAAAATCTCCTGAATTTTTGCTGATCATAGGGACCAACTTAACATTGCCAAATCCCCCACCCTGATAGCTAAAGAAAGTCTTATATTTCTTGATAATTTCACTGGCAAACCAATGGCCTTAGTTCTTGCTCTATTCTATTTATAGATTAGTACCATAATCCTTGAACTTGACTTGAGGATTATTCGCTAATTGTATATTTTCATGGGGGTGCAGATCAGTCAACTATAACAAAGCTTCATCACCTCAAAATTTCAGTCTTTCTTTTATAATGATAAGAATTAATTGAGATTTTTAATCATAGAATTGTTACATGTGGGACCGTCCACTAATTGCATAATTTTTATAAAACTTTTTATTGATCTTTACTACTTCTAAAATTTTTAGTGCTCCTAAGTTATTTTATAAAAAAACTCAATAATATTTAGAGACTAGTTTTTTTTTTTTTAAAAGTGTGAAGTCGGGAGCTTTTTACTATTTAGCAAATGCATTAAAGAATAACTTGATTCAGATTTATCATTCCAAAAAACTTTAATTCATCTCTTAATGATATGATTTAAAAACAAAGTAAAAAAATTCTATGCTCTCAGATTTATTAAATATTATGACCATATAATAATTTACTTTCGACAAAAATGTTTTGCTTCAATACTTATTGTATTTATATTTCAAAATTATTGACCAAGTTTTTAATCGTTTCATTAAAGGAATACTGAACCAAGTTACAAGTTTTATAATATTAATTTGTTAGGTTTTCTTAGTCTGCTTAATTTTTTACGTATCTTTATAAATTCAGTATGATCAGTAATATTAATCTTGTTGATGTGACCCTGTCAATTAAATGACTCTATTTATTAAATAGCCTGCAGATATTTTGTACATATTTATGAGCCCCGAAAATTTTTTTATTGCTTTGCTTACAGGACATCCTTGTGTTATGCTAATGAAATAAATATGAAAACATTATTTGCTTATTTACTAAGCTAAATTTACTTATTAACTTAAAGTTATATTGTAATATTAATTAGAAAAAAGTATTTGAATGGAGTCCAAGGGCAGCTTTTAACCTAACAATGGGTACTAAGATTTGGTATAGGAAAGTACAAAACGACACATAATTTAATTTATTACATCAATAACTACACATAATATCATGTACAAATGATACAAAGTCTTTTTTTTTTCCTGCCCAAAACATGCTTGTCGGTGCATTTTACCTGCACGAGTAAATTTAAAATTCCATTTTAAATAAGGTTGAGAGTTTTGATTCTTCCTCCCCCAAAAAAGATCTGCTTAGCTCACCTATTTTTAAAGTACGTATTGTCGTTCCATTTGATCTAGCTATTCAAATGTCTAACATGTAATTGTATCTATTTCCTCTCCGTATCAATCAAAAATTATATACACCATCATCCAAATATACTTTATTTCACTTTGATATGAAAAAGATAGCCTCTCCAGAATATAATTTCTCAGATAGCAGCTGGAATTGGATATGAAAAAGATAGCCCCCTCCAGAATATAATTCCTCAGCATCTGGATTTGGATATATGAAAAAGACAGCCTCTCCAGAATATAATTTCTCAGATAGCAGCTGGAATCAAATGTGAAAAAGATAGCCTCTCCAGAATATAACTCCTCAGATAGTTGATGGAATCGAAGCTAAACAAATTTTTTTGTTCCACAGCAACGTGATTCTTTTTGACTCGAGTCAGAAAAATAAAAATTTCTTGATGGAGATATATATATATATTTATTATCTTGTTTATCTTCTGATCTTCGTCAACATCTGACTAGCATTCATTACGATGTTTACTGAATCATTAAGATAATCTAAGACATTTGCTGCAACATTGCTTCCTTTTTTTTAAAAAAAATTCTCTATGGTAGTCTCTGCCTTAGCTGAAGCCAATATTCTTAATATGTAACGGGTGTTCTTTGAGAATAGTTATATTACAGATAGAGTACACTTGACGCCCGGCACGTTTCTCTTGTGCTTAATCCAGCACACCACATGGTCCTCGTGATTTCCATAAAGAATTTTTGTTACATTTGCATAAAAATCTATATTCACGAAGAAGACATTTGGCCCATGCATAACGCACTGTCTAGCTGACGACTAGAGTCCGAGTGCAAATTGTTCTCAACGGTTTTTCGATCATCCGTCCGTCAGAGAAGCAATAGCAAAATAAGTCCTAGACAAGTCACCATGTTTGAAGCGTGCAGCGTTTTTGCAATACTGATGTTTCTCTCAGACACTGAAAAAGAAAGGAAAAAAAAACATTTAGGAATTACAATAGAAACTTATGAAAGTTCAAGAATTGTATGCATTACGTAAAAATGGGTTAACACGCCGTCACGTTTTTTAAGTGTAATAAAAAACGTTCTCGAGTAGCAGAATAAAGAGTTGACAGTTATGAAAGATGCAGCATCAAAACAATCTGTAGGACATGTGCCGTACTTAACAGCAACATTTTGTCATGCATGTTGCTTTTTTAAAAGTATATTCATTGTTTTGTTTCTTCAAGTTTTTCTATTGCATTGCATGTCATTTATTTCAACTTAAATAATTTATTATGAACTAAAAATGTAAATTTTTTAAAGGGTAATTAGTTTTAATCATTGATTTAGATTCTTAAGATTTTACGTTAGAACACATTTCAAATGGGTTTATCTTAGCAGCGAGTGAAACGAGCATGGTTTGCCAAGGAAATCACATAAGATTTCATAGCATTTTTAGGAAGTTGATGGGCGTTAGCGAACGGGGGACCAACTAATTAAAATTATTTGTCTTAAATAAAATTGAAATTTCATTAAACTCGTTTAAACAAAGTGAAATGTTTCATAAAATAGACTGAACTACATGCCAAAGAATAATCTGAAGTAGGTTTTAAAAAATTCTGTTCAATAGATTTTGAACAAATATATCCTGAAAGATATAATTTATTCCGTACTTAACAGCAAACTCCTGATACTTCCGTATATGAGGAAATATATCTTTCAGACATTTTCTGTATTAATCCTGATTGAGAAGAGCAGTAGGTTCAACACCAAGGACATCTGCTATGCGCTCAACATTATCTATTAGAGATATTTCTACTGCAACGAATGATAATTCGTTTAAAAAGTGAGTAGTTTACCTTTTCCAAAATTCTCTGCCACCGTAAGTCCAGATGTCCTGTGGTTACCACCCAGTGTGGTTTCTTCACTTCTTGTCTGTATCACCTTAGAGAGGGTGGCTGTGCATTTTAACCTCATCTCTTCGTTCTCGTCGAGATGTTTGGTCTGCACCCTCAGCCGCAGACCAAGCACTTCCTTATTTTTGTAACGAATCAGGTGATGCTTTTCTACCTGTAAAATAGATGCAGAGAAATTAGATTGTTAAAAACCGCAGATGTACTGTGATATTATTGAAACACCAGAATTGGAAGGAATCCTAAACACAATTTTACCTTGGCCCAGGTGGGCTCAGTATGGGTCTTATATGAACATGCACCAAGGGGCCCATATTGGGATGTCTAGATTGTTTAATATCGGTCCTATATAGGGCCAATATCGGCCTTTACATGGCCATTACGAGGACTAAATTGGCTGAATAACGAATATAAAATATCGGGTGAATCGGACAATTCTATATAGAGCTGATATTGGTTGCAAAGTGGGTGAAAAATATCGGGTGAATCGGGCAATTCTATATAAAGCTGATATCGGTTGCAAAGTGGGTGAAAAATATCGGGTGAATCGGGCAATTCTATATTGGGCTGATATTGGAAAATAACGGCCCTTTGAATCCTAATTGAGCCAAGATTCATGAATATTGGTCCAATGAGGGCCTAAGTTATTTTGTTGTTAGGGGGTAATATTTTATATCCGTCGTTGAACAGCCGACCCAAATTCTGGGCTTACGACTACGAATGTTCAACTCCGTAGCCTTGCAATTTTGAACCGATCCAGAAGATAAGGAAACTTCTGGATCAGTACCTCCAGAGGTATTGATTTGTTATAGGAACATGGAGGACTTTGAGACTCGACAGATTTAACGTACATCAGTCACCATTTACTGCACGGAGAGTCTTCGGCTGGTGCGGATCGAACCCACGAATTCTTGGACATGGACCCAGCGCCCTACCGATCAGGCTATCCCGGCCTACAAGTTCAATAATTACATGAATGACGTCACTCATGTTATCAGCAAAAGAAAATATACCTGTCGTCATCACACTCCAACAGGTCCCGCAGTGGACTGATCGTTAAGACTCGGTTCCCAGCAGATCACCGAAGTCAAGCATCACTGTCTGCGGTCAATGAGCGGGTGGGTGACCACTAGCATCAGCCTTCGTAGGGACCGAGGGTGTGTAGTATTGATCCTCGTTAAAGAGTTCTACCTTAAAGTGCTTGGCTTCGCGTGCAGGTCGCCCCTTCTGTAGAGGATCAAAATTGTGATGGTATGTCTTCGGATGTTCGTCGCCAAATGCCCATTGTGCAGCTCTAGTGCGACGTTAATGAACTGCATAAACAGCAACCACAAACCGTTTCTGACTTTTCACTGCAACTTTCTGCTATCCATTTAGCCTCAACCATAAGATTCATAATTGGAAATACAGATCTATAAGCTACCCAAAGAAAGCGTTGCACTACACTCTAAATAAATAAAAAAAAACATTGGGACCGAGCGGTATCGCCCGCCAAACGCAGTGTGAAGCGTGGAGGTGGCGGGTTCGAATCCCGTCTTAACCCTGGATGTATTCTTCGTGATGTCCTTCTCTAAATTGTCCTAACTGTTCTTCTACTTGACAAAGGTTTATAAGCCTAAATTGAATAAACGAGTCTGCAATTGCATGTAATTTCAATAAAGCAACAAAATAAACATTTTGGTCCATCACTCATGAAAAATCAGATTTTTTTCCTCTTGAAAATCGAATTTTGATGGTGTAAATTGCATACTAAGTTGAGTTTAATTCACTATGTGACCATCCTGTAAATGAAATAAACGAACTCACTTCTTTATCGTTGAGAAACCACTGTAGTTCTGGAAGCGGGTGGGTTACGTCGGAAGAACAATTAACATCTAGTAAATCTCCAACTTTGTAGTGTGCCTGACCTCCTGTGATTACCGGACCATCTCTGGATATAACTGCTATGAAAGACAAAACATGACATTTTATTTCTTCCTCATTGTATGTAAAATTAACGCAAGTTAACCATGCCTGATTTAGAAGAAAGAGGTTGCTTGGCAAAGTAAGATTTTTAATCTCTTAATTATCTGTTTTTTTCGATTCCCACTATTAGTTCACATTCTACCTATAACTAGTTCAAATTTTCAATCGGTAATGAAATAGTTTTTATTTATCCACTTAAATTCAAATACATTATTTTTAAACTTATAGTGCATGACACTTGATGTTAATACAGGTTTTTCAAATACTAATTCATTAATTAATTTTAATTAGTTTTAGTTTTATACGGGAGAAAACTTTTTAATTATTTAATAAAAAGTAACTAAAATAAAAAAATTTCTTTGTTGTCTTTAGTAGGAATTGACTTTAATTTTTTTTATGTTGCTTGTTTTCTTATTAAAATTATAACCCAATTCCACCAAATTCGTGTATTAATTAATGTGGATTTTTTAAACAAATGAAACTCATGCAGAGCTGAATTAAGAATTGATTTAGGAGACTGTTTAAAATATCCAGCACGCAATTGCATAATTTGTATGTAACATTGTAAGAGTTTCATTAAAATAATAATTGAGATCGATTATCGTTACCTAAAAATTTCTCATTGGTAATGTTTACTTGTTTACTGCCATCGTCTTTTATAAAAAAAAATTGTTAAATTTAACTAAAATAAAAAAATAAACATGCGTGAAAGTATTCCTTTTATACTGAAAAAAAATTTAAGTTTGTTAGATATTAGCTTCGATGAATAGCATTTTCTGCTAAATCTAATTGCTCAAATTTTAACAAATTTACCATAAGCAACTTTTTAAACCAAAACACTTGGAATTAACATGTTTTATTTTATGATGATCGTAATTCCTATAAAATAATTGTAAAATCAAGAGTTTGTGAGAAGAGTAGATATCGACAATGTCAACCTTCATCTGTGGAAAGGTACCCCACCATAGAGTCGAGTTAACATGTCTTATACACTAGTGAATTGTAATTGTATTTTTGTAGTGGTAGACACACTACAGTACTCCACCACCAGAATTATAGCTGTGATAGAATTCGATGAACGGATACCACTAGTTGTACCACTGCTGTTTTGCAAGAAACCGGGAGAGCTGTATTAAGATCACCATGCTTTTGCTGATCGTGAGAGCTGTATTAAGTTCACGGTCGCGGTTGCTCCTGTGTTGCCATTAGCAGCGGAGTTAACATGTCTTATATACTAGTGAATTGGAATTGTATTTTTGTAGTGGTCGACACACTATGAAGTTCATCTGCTGTTGAGACTGGAGGCACCAGGAACAGCACTGTATTATGGATGACACAAGTTTCGAATGAAGTTCACTTCAACTTTAAATTTTGTTTCTTGAAATATTTTTGTTTTCAAAAGAATACAAATGTGTTTTATTCAAATTTTTATTCGACGAAGTTTGAGAAATTAATATTCAGAAGAATATACCGAGTGGAATTAACCAAAATATTTGCGAGGAGAGCTATTTCTTTGCAAATATTTCGATTTTGTGGGGAAGAGTTAGAACTCTCATATAACGTCATTACTCTGAATAATGTTTGAAGTATCCAACACTGTGCTTTATAAAAACGAAATTAATTTTTGTATAAAACTAACCAAAGTTTTTTAAATTTTTTGTTGAGGGAATTCGAAAAACTTTATAAGTCCAGATTTGTATCGAAATTTTCATAATTTTGGTTTTAAGACTATGTGAGTCATTGTTATTGACCAGTGGTTACCAACTGGCGGCCCGCGAAGCCTTTTTTGTGGCCCGGGAACTAAAATATATTAGCTGTCATTTTTATTTCGGACAATTTTCGCAAAAAAACATATATGGGTTTAAAATACTTTTCTTTCGTTAAAAAAACCCAGATTCCTTCGATTCTGTAAAATTTAACAACAACGGTGCAAAAATATTTATTTCTCATTTAAAAATGTACTTCTTATTTTAATTTTTAATTCAATACTTTTGTTTTGTACATCTTGATAAAAGTCTGACAGTAATATTTAATGTTCATTCAAACATAAAATAGTCCTGTATAAAATTTTGATAAATTGCAGCCAGCCATTTTACTGGTGTTTTAAGTTGCGGCCCCGGCCTCATGCAAGTTGGAAACCCCTGGTATAGACATAATTGCTATAAATGGGCATGCTTTATTGGTCAATGTTTATTAACCTTTTCAAGACCAGTTATTTTCCAATAAAAAGACAAATTAGATTGCAAATAAAAAGACTTAAATATATCAAATAAGCTAAAAATAACAATATCCGGGCAAAATGCAAAATAAAATAACTATTTGAGAAATAGGGAGGGGTTAGGACACGTGTGTCCCATCGGGACTTTTTTAGACGGGACACATATAGTTTGTTTACAGAGAGAACTCCCCTCACCACTAAGTCCAAAGCAGTCTGTTGCTATGGAAACAAGAAACCGCGCATTTCATAGAGGAGAGCTTCTCTCTATCTCTCTCCAACCCGAGTCAAAACCAGTCTTTAATGACCCAATAACCCTACTTGAAATAGTTAAACCTCGTAACTATATGGCTCGTGACGAATGGCTAGGGGAGTTCCTTGCGTAGACAAACTATATGTCTCAGTGGTGTTTTCGACTGTTGGGCCGAAAGTGTTAAACAATAGGGCCTCTTTTTTCGAAAAATTTAAGATTTTGTCTGAAAAACGACACGTTTTTTTATGACTTTATAAATTTAATTTCACTACAGTGTTGAAAGGCTTACAACTTTTAAAAATCAAAATTGACGTAAGGTTTTTGGAAAGCAAACTTGGCTCTTTAAGTAAAGAACTGCAAAAATATTTTTAATCAAATTTGTGACGAATGCTTCGAAACGAACAATAGCATCGAGCAATCAAGTCCAGGAATGTTCTATTGACACGATAATATGGCTCAAATATAAACAGCGTATTAAAGATTCCGCAATTTATCCCCATATTGCTCGCTATAAGCGTTCTAAAAGTGTAATTTTTTTAAAAGAATATGTTTCATTGAAGACTACTCACTGAATGGATTAGAGGGAGAAGCTGAATATCTGTCTCCAACCACCAATTCTTCGCTGGCTGTTGAGTATGTCTGAGAGACGGTTGCTGTACACCGCAGCGTGATGGCACCTTGTGATAAGTCAGTTGGCTTCACAGCGAACACGAGGCCCAGAGACGAGGTCATCAATCCATTCTGGTGGTCTTCAGCGATATACGTTCTTTCCAGTCTGGGATCCGCCTGCGAGTTATAATGTAACAGATTAGGTCCATTCTCTCATGCATTGTAAATGATTTACGACAAAGTTTATTGAGTAATGAAATAAGCCCTGTTTCTACTTGGCACGAAACGTTTGCTTACATTAATGAGTGATTATACCGTAGACATTTGGCTGTTATAAATTACTTACTACAAAGCTTATTACGAGATAAAACAAACCCGGTAATTACTTTGTAAAAGGCGTTTGTTTGCATCCTAGTTGTTAGTAGGGAAAAAATACCGTTATAAGTGTATTGCAAACAAGAGCAATGATATCAGGGTGGCGAAAATGAAAAGTGGACAACGTGCGGTAGCATCAGCATTACAATAACTATATAACCGATAATATACTTCAAGGCTCCAAAAGAAGGTAAGAGAAGTACACCGAAGATTCCCCATAAGATTTACCAGTTCACTAGAAAGCATTTAGAGTGAATGTAAAATCGAAATAAGGTAGATGTGCCCTGATTGAATGTATGGAAGAAGAACAATTTCTAATTTCCTATTTTGATTTCAAATTTTCTCATAGGAAGGAGCTATTTATACGCCATTTGCAGTGCACTAACCTTAAATATAAAACTATTAAAGATGGCGTGGCTATCACTACTGTATTTCTTACGCTATCACGAAAGTTCACTTCTCATTTGGGCTACCTTATGTTTCTGAATAAGGAACTATCCTCACCTCTTTCCCATTGATGTACCATTTGAGTGAAGCAGCTGGTCGTGAAGGTCCGGCTCTGCAAGTCACATTCACGATATCTCCAACTTCGTATCGTGATTTGCTCCCTAAGATTGTGGGATCCTCCTGAGGCAAGACTGGTAACGATAAATAAATATACATCGCATGATAGAACAGAAGAAGAAAGGTGAGCATGTAAGGTCTAAGAAATATACATTTGGACCTACCATATACATTTATGAAACCATATTTGCACTTACCATTTGAGCATCTGGACCGGTTTGTTTTGTTTTTAATTGTATTTCACCATATAAATTAATTGGTGTTTTTAATGAAGTCTAAAATGTTCATCAAATATATTAAGTTAATTTAATCTATAGTATCAATTTTCCCAATTTTTGATACAAAAACTGATTAGTTTGTAGCAAATTTAGTGTAAGTTCATAAAATATTTGTTTAGAACAACAGATTAAAGAAGCCGAACTGAATAGGAGCAAGAGTTCCACCATTACAAGTTAAAATCAATAGTGTGAAAATGTTTAGGTTTTAAGCAATTGAGACGCTCAGGTAGGGAACATCAGACCTCAAGTGTGTTAGAAAATAAGAAAAATCTAAGAAAAAACTTCTTTTTTTTTGTGATGTTGGTCATTGCTGTTATCACTAATTGAGAAATTTAGTTTCAAAACCAGCTTATATACATATTTTTCGAAATGCATTTGCCTATGTTTTATTATATCCAAAACTTATGCATCTTATTCCTCAGTTTCTTTGATCTTCAAGGGAATTTACTTCCTCCTTAATGTAAATACGTGTTAAAAGATGCTGGCGAGAGATTTATTCTGTTTCCGTTTTCTTATCTCCGCTTGTTGACTTAGTTTACAACACCATTTGATTTGATTACGTTGAGTACATAAGGTCATATATGTTGGGAGCAGTATTACCTACTTCTCTTTTGTTAAACTCTACATTTAACTCACGACTCTTTAGTCTCGTAGAGGGACCCTGGTCAAAAACAGCTTCTTTAAGGTTGGTTGAGGAATATTTACTATGGCTCGAATATTTTTCGTTTTTCGAACTAACAAAAATAATTTTAAGTAAACTCGATGCCCCCAATGACTAATGATAATATGAAAAATCAGTTAAAGAGAAATGGAAGACGATAGAAATGTATGGTTAGTTGAGTTCTGTTTAGTTAACGAGAAAATTTGCCCTTAATTTTTGAAATCAGTTTCGAAATTCGTTAGTATATAACGCTGTTAGCTAGAAAAGTTTAAAACAATGTTACAGCTGCATGTCAGAGCGTTCTACATGAAATATTTCCATGGGTGTTTTAATTTTTTCCCAAGGCTTCACCGCTGTTACTGCAAAAGGTGGTTACCTCGAAAATATTTGTATAGTTTTTGACAGTTATCTACGCCATCTGTTGCCAAACTTTTCAACTAATTTTAAAACATGGCAAGAAAAAAAATGGTTACTTAAGAGGTACACTACAAACAATATATATATTTTTTCCGATTTTCTCTTGATTGATTTTATAAACTGTTGATTATTTGGTAAACCCAGCAGATCTTTAATGGAAGTTATGTTTTAGGGTACTTTTTTTTCTTTTTGGAAATTATAAATTCAAAATAATGTTTAATCCGGACGAGTTTTGATTGCAGATTTATAAAATAAGATTAGGATTTCTAATATACTATGAAAAAAGAATTCCCAAAGTATCTAAATCACATCTTTTAATCTGCAGATTGAGGGAAAAAATTCTCTCAGGAATAACTTAATATGCCCGCAGACGATTTCTGTCTTTTATTTAATTTTAGAACGGGTATAAACTTCCGTGAAAGCAAGACCGCCTACTGGAATAACAAGTATGAATAATAATAGTGAAACAAAAAAAATATATGGAAAAGAAGTAGATGTCAATAACGAAAGATGAAAAAACACATGTTAAATTACAATCATAAAAACCTCTGGTATTCGAATATAATATATTGGTAGTAATTTTGTTTCCAACCTAGGACGAAGTATCGTCTGCATATTTATGTTTGACTTCGGGAACACAACTTCGACTTGCAAGAGGAGAGAGACATGGGAGAGGAGCGGATAAATTTTGATATTTTGTTTTCATCTTGTTTCGGGCGAAGCTTATCGTAAAATTTTATTGCGAACGAACTGATTTGTTCTGGATTTAAATCCTGGATGCTTCAGGTAGATAGTTGTAGTTTTTTTTTTTTTTACTTTTATATTTTTACTGCGTACCCACTTTTTATTTCGTTTGAACAAGGTTATCGTCTACTTTTTTTTTATTTAAAATATAAAGGAAAGAAAATTTCATATCAAATCGAACAATTTATTTGCGTCTCTAAGTTGTTAAATTAATAAAATTCTATTTAAGTAGCTCAAAAGGTCAACATGTTAAATACTTTTTTCTTCTGGATAGCAGGTTTATCGCATAATAGTTTAGCGTATAATAGCTATGAGTTAACCTATCATAAAAAAAAAATATTTTTCTTATACAGTGTGTCTTAAAATTTACTCACGAAAAAAATTTGATAAAAAACGCATGTTAGTAATTAAAAATTCTGAGTTTTTCTTGGATTTTGAAGTATACAAAAATAGGGTTATGAGTAAAATAATAGATAAGTGGGTTGCTGCATATCGATTGCTGTATCCTACTCACTCTTTTGCCAACTACTTCAATCAAATTGACGGAGTTTATCATTGCTCTTCAAAGTTTTTCAGAAATAAACTTTAGACTACAAAAGACTAAAAAATTCTAGCATTGTTAATTTCGGTGGCCTGAGCGATGATAATCGTTCATTAAAACATAAATTTACACAACCGGAAAGTGACACAATGTGCAAAATAGTGCTTTTTACTTATTTTATTTTTTTTTAAAAATTATATCAAAGGAAAAAAAAGTTTGGGTCTCTTAGATTATTAGATTGATTGTTTAAATAAGTAGTTTTAATTTCTTTCTCTCTATCTTCTCTATACTTCTCTTAAAAATAACTGAAAAAGTTAATTACGTTTAATTAGTTGAATTTGTTTTTAAAAAAAATTGCGAGTTTTTCTTCTAAGCTATGTTTTTTAGTGTAAAAATCCTATTTTCCACTATTTAAAATTCGGAAATTAAACATGGAGATTTAGTGTTAGTAGATAAAAATCGGTTTCACAGCTATTTCACGGTGTTATAACTTTTTTTTTCCTTCTTAACCACACTTTCCCTATAGTGGTTTTAATGTAAACAGTATTATTTTTATGAATCTGATATAAAATCGTTGACCCGATATAAAATGTCGAAACAAAGAGAAAAATATTGAATTCAATCTATAAAAGGCGATTCGAATGGATGAGGGCCTTCGAATAAAAGGACTCTAGGAAACCGTTAAGGTTGCAGTTTCACTAATCAGGCAGCTGTTGCGCCAGAATCGATAGTCGATATTGTTTAAAATAGAGATATTTCTCAGAGACTGATTCATTGGCTGCTCTAATGAAACAATCTGGGGATGTTTGGAGGTAAACAATCAAAGGGATTTGTTTGTGCGATCATAAAACAAATCAATCTCTCTCGCGGCATACCTCTGTGGCAGATTCTGCGGTTTCGATAATGAAGAAGTCTATCAAGATATTGCGTGATTCCAGGGTTTTTTGCCCTGCACGTGGACGCTTGAAATTAAATGATATAATTATCCGAAAATATGTATTTATGTCTGAATTATCTTAGTAATAAATGTCAGTACTTAAAAATAATTTTTATGTTCACAAAAAACGCGTATAAAATTATAGTTTTTCATTGTTCCACTGTCCCGCAGTGGACTGATCGTTAAGACACGGTTCCCAGCAGATCACCGAAGTCAAGCATCACTGGCTACGGTCAGTGTGCGGGTGGGTGACCACTTGGATCAGTCTGCGTAGGGACCGAGGGTGTGCGGTATTGGTCCTCGTTAAACTGTTCTACCGTAAAGTGCTCGACTTCGCGTGCAGATCGTCGGACTACCGAAGCGGGGGTGCCATCCCCTCTGCAGAGGATCAAAAATGAGATGGCATGTCTTCGGATCATTCTCAGGGATGTTTCCCCGACCGTCACCAATAGCCCATTGCGCAACTCTAGTGCGACGTAAATTAGCAACAAAAACAAATAGAGCTGAATCTAAATAGATGATGAAATCTAAATAGAATTTTAATTGTGGTCTGTGAAGCTTTACACGTTGACTTTATTTTTGACTATGTAATGTTTCGATAAATCGTCAACTATGGATCCCTTCTCATGCTCCTAACTGTCCGTTGAGAACAATTCCTTTACTTTTAATTTCGAATTATTGGCGTGGAGACTTCGGTCTTTCAGTCCCAACTATTGAATGATATCTTAACAGAAATTCTTGATGTTAAGAGAACGATTCTCTGATCCCTTTTCATTATTTCATAATTTTGGAATCTGGCCATGTTCATTATAATATTTATATAATATATCAATTTCTCCTAAAGGATTTGATTTATTTTTCTGGGATAAATATCCCTACATCATATCAAAATTAAAATGTATCTGAAAAGGTCATAATAATTAAATTCTACAAAGAAACTACCACTATTGAAAAGAATTTCGACTAAAATTACCACGAAAGGTTCCCTGTCAGACAGAAAGAGGATTAGTCAGTGGTCTAAAAAACTACATTATTTTTGTTGTTAACTACAACAATAATGAAGTTTTTTAGACCACTGACTAATCCTCTTCCTGTCTGACAGGGACTCTTTCGCTGCAATTTTAGTTCAAATTATTTTAAATAGTGTTAGTTTCTTACTAGTGGCAGCTACAACTACGTTTTTTTTTATGAAATATAGTTTACGTTTTTATTAACTACAAGCCAATAGGTAACAACAAGCCAATTGTAAGCCAATAGGTTCAAATGGTCACAAAGTGTGAGGTTCAAACAAATTCGGTAAATTGGTATCATCAAATTTGGAATAAGGGTGAAAACTAAAATTAATCAAGATCATAGATAAAAGATAAATAAGACAATGACATGCTATATCCAAATATAAATTGTTATCCCGCTATAGCATTGTACTACAACTTTTCCTTAGTGTTCAGTTTCCCCTTAATTTAAATACTCATGATCCTATTTCCGGCCTTAATTTG